CGACATGAGATGTATGAAAATGAAAGTGGAGGTTTTAGATTTGGTCAAATCTACCATTTTGAAAAATGGAAGACCAAAATCAAAGAGCACCTATCCCTAAATTTTTTTTGAGATTAGAGAAAAAGTATATATGAGAATTGAAAAATCTCTCACTATCAAAAATCCTTAATGATTTTGCAAAACACTTTGGGCCTACCAACTATTGCAGGGGCACCAAAATTGTCATTTGTTACAGCATCTTGCATCTATCTTCTAATAAATATTTTGATCATGTATCATACAGTAACAATTTTGATAGAAGTGATATGGTTTTGGAGTAGTTATATAGTTTTTCAATATTACTTTGATTGTTCTTGAAGAAAAACCAATGCACTAAATTTAAATCAGTTTTGTTAGTGGAAAAGAACTCATTTTTTTCTATAAAACGACCTTCTCCTTAAACAGATATTCGAAAACTTCTCAATTAACCCTTTTTCAGTGCGATTTCATATCATTTTTACCTATCCGTAAATGTTCCAATGGTAAGAAGATCCGGATTCCTGGTTAATAGAAAAATATATATATATATCCTAAAAGTTTGGTTGTTTAAGTGCCAGAAAGTATTCTAACATATTAAATATCCAATTAACTCATTTTTTAAATTTAATAAAAATATAAAAACGCTCAAATTAATTGTAACCTGAAAGTCATAGGCGTTAAGTTGAATCTGAACGCCCGATAATGCCTAACAACAGAATGCTAACAAAAAATTATACATTATACCATTTTTTTTTTTGTCAAAAAATCATACCAATTCATATTCTCATGTATATCGCTCAACATCTCATAATCGGGTTAATTGTTTTTATCCGTCTGCATATTAACATAAAATGTTCTGATTAATTTAACTGGTTAAAATAGCCAAGAATATATCAATAATCTAAATACTAGAAGAGTATCAATCAATAACACTCTTGACCATGCAGTGGAGTCGGTTTATCCTCTACATGCACAACAAGTATAAGAATTTGTACTTGATATAGACCGCATCCGCATACAATCGAGGGTGGAAAGAGAGCAAATGTTCCATTAATGGGTCGAGGACCAATGGGGACCCTATATAGCTCAGCCAATTGAATCTCAAGATGGTGAAGTGAAGTTGCAGTTGCATAAAATTATTGATTATTCCCTTATTTATGTCTTGTTTTCTTTCTTATAAAAAAAAACGAAAAAATATGTGGCCAATTTGTTCGAAACACTTACTTTTCAATGAGGCAAATTTAACTTTCCTTTATGGTTCCACATTGTTGGCTAGTGGTGTCCAAATATGAACTCATTATCCAATTCTCTCCTTTAATGCTCGCACGGGGTATTAGTAGGATTTTTATGCATGTACATTGAAAATTATGGTTAATTGGTTATCATTTTATCGGTCCCTTTCTCGTAGACATGTAAGTTTTGATAAATCTAATTTTGTTTTACTAGAAGCTACTATTAAATTATTGTAAAAACGTTTTAAAGTATATATATGAATTTCAACTAAAGAGATTCAATTTTCTATACAATTAAATGAAATTTATTTTAGTTATTCAAGTATACAGAATCTGTATATTGATATTTTAAAATCTTTTTTGTGAATAAAACATTATCAATCTTTTCAGCTCAGACAATTATATATATAGAAAACTCAAAAATAAAATTTCAAGGTGACAATGTAACATATATAGTCGGTTATCACATGTTACTTAGTGATTTGTGATATCATTGTCGTTGTATCAACATGTAGCTAGATCTAAATTAGTATAATGCATATTGTTGACTGATAGAATGTGACATGCATGGTTTTGAAGTTGATTACTTATTAGAAGAAGTCTTTTTAATTCTTTTCATAATTTTTTTTCGATTCAATTCGTATACACAAATGTTAGTTGTATAAAGCTGATGCCTGATGTTATGCAAATTGTCTCTACATATGTACTAGGGGATTAACTGAATAAGTTGTACTTTCTAAGCAATAATAATTTTAGTAATATACATGTGCATTACTTGATGAGACTATCACGTCACGCGAATGTATTGTTGAATGATGACATGCTTAGACAACTCGTTTCAATTTTAGATTATTTTATCTTTCGTAAGTCATATCAATTGAACATGTGAGCGGTTTGATTCTTAGAGAACAGAATAGGGACTAATGTGCATGCTAAATGGTGTTGTTGTGTCAAATTCTTGAGATTGAAATGGTTGGATAAACTCAAAATTGCGATCTCATCACATAATTTTGTTTGTATGGTATCACAATTTAATTGTCGGTATGGAATAAAAAAAAAATCATAGCTATATATATATCCGGTTTATAATTTGCAGTCGTTGCAAGATATTGATTGTTTTTTAGATTACATTTTTCATTAAATTTTTGGTTTTTGAAAGTGTGTAAATACTAATATATTCCAAAGATGAATAGATACATAGTGCCATGTGATTGCAAAATGGTGTTTATCCAAGTCTTGAAGGGGACCAAAGTGCTCAATCGCATCTATTATTGATGTTTCCATCTTCTGCCTCCAACCCCCCAAACTTGATAACCTCATTTCTGTGGAAGGAGTAAAATTCTAAGGGTTCAGAAGAAAAGATCGTATTTTACTTTCATGCATGATCTAAATTATAGACTAATCTTGGAATTTCACGTCATGTGATAATACATTAATCACTTGCATTTGAGTTAGCCGTAATCGATCAACAAATATTAATAGAATATTGAAACGTTAATGCTTGATGGTTTTACAAGTGACTTAAAAACTTGGGAGATATGTAGTTAACTAAATGATGTTAGTCCAATGTTTAGTTTGATCATTATCATAAATTTAAAATATTCTAGCTTTATTTTTGTTTTAGCTAATATAATTTTGGCATGATGATTGTAAGAGAATTTATCCCACAAATCAATCAAAACATAGTAAATACGCAATTACCGAAAGTTAGCTACTGTTTTTGTCTGTTTCTTCACAAATGGTTGCAGACAAAACCAACGATCCTTTGTCATTTCTGCAACTACTTATCCTTTTTTGGTTGTCAACTCCAACTACAAATCCTCAAAAACCCACTGTTCTATAAGTATCTCCTCATTCGTTTTTTTCTTAAAAGTTTTTTTCCTTTTAAATTTCGACAATCCCCAGCCTAGCTAGTGAATATATGTGCCTAGTTACTAGTCCACGCCTTGGCCTGAAATGGGATCTTACGTTTAACAAAAAAACAAAATGGGATCTTACATATTCTCTTTAATTAAAATTCCTCAAAAAAGTCATATATACATTATTAAATTTTATTTTTCGCTTGACTATAGGCATTTCTAAAGGGTAGTTAATACCCACAGAGAAAAAAAGAAGAAGCAATTTTAAGTTGTTAAAATCTTTAACAATTTTTTCTACGTCCATGCATAACATATATCAATTATCTATTGGCGTCGATGAAGTGAAGAGGGACGAAGAGTTTGAATAGAACGTATAGAACATGTTTTTCTTTGCTTAAAAGAGTCTCAAAAATTATTATTTGCCAAACACAAACCAAAAAGAAAAATATAATTAAAGATTTCAAAGTCTAATGAGCTAATGAGACATCAAACGAGCACCAAGACATAAACTACAAGTAAGTTTTTATAGTGAGATCTCTCTTATGTGCAGCACTTGTGAAGTATCTCATATATATTGGGATGTTTTAGTGTATAAAAAAATCAAGCCAAGCCCGAAACCGAATTGAGATTGCCCAGAAAAAACTTGAATTTGAGAAGCCCAACAGATTTCGAGTTTAGGTGGGTAAAGCTGAAAAAAATCTGATAGGTTTCGCCGTTCCGGGTTAGCATATGGAAACCCAAATTTTTATACTTGATTTTTTTTTTCTTTAGATTTAGATTTATTTATGTTTTATATGTACTTTTGTTTTATATTCTTTCATATGTATCTAAATTGTTATATACTATTCTAAATTCAATTTGTATTTTATAAAAATTGGATGATATTATTTTAAAATAATTACTTAAAAATGTTGAAAAATTGACATTCCAAATTTGTTCAATCCAATCACACCGCAAATGAAACGTTACTTAAAAATATAAAAAGATAATTGTAAATTGCACATGTATCTTTATTTTGTACTGACGAGTCTCTTAGGATGATCTTTTTGTCGATGGATGCTCCTATTACACTCATAGTTTCCGAGGCTTCCAAACTAAAATAATTAAAACAAGAAAATCCCTTTGTATTTTTGAATGGGCCTTTAATGGGCCAGATTTACTCTGCATCAAAGCACGTTAGTTTCAAATTCAGGATCCCATATCTGATTTACTGATGGTAACCTCAGGTGTGGCATTGGGAGGTTCGAGTAAGAACCATGAACTGTGAATGCAACAACTTATTAGAACAAATATCTACATTTGGTGACAGGCTTGGCTCATATACATATTGGGCCTTGTACAAATTAATTTTATTTTACCCAATTTATTAACATCATGCAATTTGGGCTCTTACATATATAAAAAATGGATCCCCAAACTATAAAGATTTTCTTAAAAATCACTAACCCACCTAAGAGCGTCTCCAAAAGTTGGCAAGGCAATGCTGCAATCCATAACGCTACTCATGTTAAAATTCGGTTCGGTTTTATTTGCCATTAGATGGTTGGAATGGAACTAAATCTTGACACACATTAAGACTTTTAATAATAAGTTTGTACAGAGAATTTACTTATCATATAGTTTACCACTTTAATAACAACATTTCATTTTTACTAATTTTCTATGATCATTATCTTTTAGTATTAAATATTAACATACTAGGTTTGGCGCAAGAACACAATATATTATTATAGGTTTAGTTATGATACAAAGTACAGCGGTAATTAAAGCCCAACTACTTATTCCTTTGGTCCTTATTTATGCATTAATTAATTAAGCTGCTACTATAGTATTTTTCTTCTTCTTTGAGTCTTATCCTCTTATGCATGTATGTTTGTGTTAAGGTAGTAATAATAACAAGAAAGCTTTCTTTTAACGGTGTTGGCTCCTCTCTCTACGACCTGGAGATCCTCCACCATTTCCACTGCCTGAGCCACCGCCTTCACCAGCGTGTCCGGTCCCACTTCCATGGCCAGAACCACCGTCTGTGGCTCCTCCTCCTCCCGAGCCAGACCCAAATCCAGTTCCTGAACCTGAACCCGACCCAAACCCGAATCCAGACCCTTTTCCTCCTCCATCTGGTGACGAACCCGAACCAGAACCATAGCCATAACCACCTCCTGGGACTGAACCCCATCCCCAACTATATCCCCAATTAGGTCCATGAGCCGAACCGCTTGAACCGCTGGATCCTCCGGTTGGACTACTTGGGGTAACGGCTGCATTAGAAGGTGTTCCAGGCTCTCCTCCTCCATGGACTAACGAGAAGGCTAAGAGTAGAGACATTATTGCCATCAATGTAAAAAACTCACTCTTCATTTTCCTCATGAAATATCTGGTTTAGCTCTTACTCTATGGCCTCATCCCGTTAAGACTTTATATACGCAATAACACGAGAACGCGCATTAGACACGTATTTATTTTACTATTATTAATCTAATGGAAAATCTTAAAGTAAATGCCAAAAAGAAATAAAAATCTTTTAAGTAAAAAGGAGAGGAAGTTAGTGACATCCGTGAGATGTCTCTCTTTTCAGACATGTGAGAATCCGATTTTAGGGTTAGAATTAAAATGTCGGTTTCTGTGATATCTTTTTTAAGGCTTCCATAGTAACGAGTCACACCACTCATGCTTTGTGCTATTTTTATTATTACCCCACTAACTCTTTGGACATTGTTTTCTTTTTCTCTTTCCTTATTTGGGTCAAAATTTATATCGTATTCTTCATATTATTTCAATAATAAAATGTAATAACAATGTTGTAAACGGTTCCCGTGAGATATGTAACGCTTTCGAGAATTATTTGCCATGCGTTTTTTTTGTGTTAAATGTTTCTTACGATAGTAATGAGTATTATTCTCATCTTGTGTATAATACAAAAAGTAATGTTGAGAAGAATTATAAATTTTTATTGAAAGGAAACAGTTTTCGTGACTTGTTGACAAATGGCAGCTCACATTCTATAAATCTGTCGCTATCTCTCTAGAGATTTCCACTGAAAGAGTAATTGAATTATGTTGTTGGCAGTTAAGATAATAATTCCCTACCTCGAAGACTTTTTTCATGTGTTTCGAGGGGTCTGTGACAGTGAAATACTTTATCAATAATTTATTTTGTTGATTATAAATTCAAAAAAAAATTCTCATATATTTCTTTTAAAACTATTGATAAAGTATATATTAACTTGTATAATAGTCCTTTTCCATATATTCTCCGAGAGGAAACCATTAACTCCTGGTGTAGAAGCACCTAGATTTAAGATCAAGTTAGTGGCTATTGGCTAAGAGGTTTCCTTTTTTTTTTTCAAGTTGGAAATGTTTATAATTTAACGGGATATTTTCACATGTTCTGAAACATGTCTATATCAACAACCTCCTACTTTCATTAATAGATCTGAAATAGTTGGATGTAAAGACCTGTATATTTACATGGCATTATACAAGAAAATATCTATATGCAAATAGCTAGAATGGTTTATGAAGGAAGGTGATCATGCATGTATGTTTGCTCAAGAAAATCTATGGATCGAAAAAGACATAGACAATAAAATAGTAAGTTTAACCGATTAAAAGATTATGATCCATGTGGTTATGTAAAGAGGTCTATCTACTGACTACTGTCATAAATAGATGACATGTTTTTTTTTTGGTACCAATGTTAAGTAAATGACATGTTAGTAGCTTCAAAAGACATCGATCACATATATGTCGATGAATACATTCATGAAGAAAAACTAGTCGAAGGATCATCCACTTGATAAGTGGGTATTGAGATACTAAAATGAGATTCAGAAGTTAGTCTAACATTCACAAATAATCAAAGTTTAAAGTTTTAGAGCCTTTTGCGAGTCTAACTATGCAATAGGTTCAGTCATGAGTGTTGAATATATTATTATGGGAAATTATATAAGATTCCTTATTTGGTTTATGCCTTGTAGAATAAGAATTGTTTTTGGAAAAGTTATTACGTATTCTCTTTGTTTACTTTGTGAGATTAGAGAATTATCTATGTTTCCTCTTTTATGGATTTGTTCCCAATAATTTATTCTCTACATTAACATTATGATTATGATTGACAGGAAATCCAATTAGAATAGGAAAGAGACGTTGGTGCTTTTCCTATAAAGAAGAAGACGTGGTCTTCATTGTGAACACACACAAGAGTGCTGTTAAAACAGAGAAACAGAAAACAGAGTGTTTTGATAAGTTTGTGTGAAGCTTGTGTTGCTGTTGAGTTTGGGGAGAGATCACCTTGGGAAGAGATTGCTATTGGTGTGAGGAGCACAAAGCAAAGACTTCTCCAAGAAGAATGCATACATGATTAAGGGGGAGTAAAATGAGTTTACTTGTTAACCTTAGTTCATGTTCTTAGATAGATGTATTAGAATTGTGTTGAATTTCTAAGTCTATCTTGTACTTCTTAAAGTGATCTAATAAATTCTTGTTGCAGCCGAGGACTAAATCTTGTGTCGTCTCGTTATTGCTTTATTGTTTAAATCGTTTCCGCTATATAATTATTATATCTAGTCTCTCTAGAAATTTTACAATGAGTACCTATCACTTGGATAATCTTCCCAGTTGGAGGTAACCTTTTGAGTAGGTTATCGAACTAATTCCGGTTCAATTCTTGATTTTAAATCATCAGTTTGTAACTCAAAACTAATTGGCTGTCTCGTAAAGAAAATGTTTTACGGAAAAGGTTGGCCCAAAACAGAGAAGATGATAAGAAGCCCAAGATACACATATTCTTCAATTCTTGTTGTTTATTTGTGTTGCTCCGTCTCTGTCCTTGGTTTGTGTTGTCGCGCCAAGATGATTTCCATATGGACAAAAAAAAAAATGTAGCGTGGAATTTACAAAAATAACCTCTACTTAAACATTGCCGACCTGAAAACAACATCTCTAACCAAACATGAGAATAATCCCAAAGACACGAAATCTGTGAATTGAATTAACCCTTTGGATTTTCATTTTCTCACTGAATTCCACCTTCGCGATGCGATGAGATTTTCCTTGTTAACTCCGAGTTCTTACAGATTTTATCATCCAATACCGTTTCGATCTCTAGAATCGATTCCTCCCCTCTCGGTTACACCTCCTCGCGTCGAATCTGGATCTCCCTCTTCTTTCAAGGTACGGAAATTTTTTCATTACCGGAGATTGATTGATTGATATCTATGGAAAAAGCGTTTAGTGTTCTGTATTTATAATTCGCATCCATAAACTCGTGATTAAGAGAATCAACATTTGTAGTGATTTGCTTTATATTTTTCAGAACATTGGTGTCTCTAAAAGATTTGATTGCTACAAGAGAACTAATGTGATTCTCAATTTGATTTTTGTATTTGACATGTTTGATTGCTTCCTTCTTCTCGTTTCTAATTAATGTTTTTGGATTCAATGCAGTTCAGTGCAGCGAGCTTGCAGAGACATGTATGTAGTAGCGTGAGACATAGCTCTGTCTTTGTTAAGGCATTCGATGATGTAAATTTTAAAATTCTTCTAAATTCATTTGGTTTTTGACTAGTATGTCTGGCATCAAAGTTAATATTGTTCTTCTTTTTTTTTTTTTCTTTTGCCTTAGGATACATTTGATTTTTATACCGGTGACATATTTGCTGCTACATATGCAATTTCGTCGAGTGAAGGCGAAGAGAGCGATGGTGATTATGCGTTGAATGTGGTTACCGAAACTACTGCACAGAAGCTAGGAAAGTTTCCTAGAGGTCGCAAAAAGCACAGGCACGTTTTACTATTTTAACCATGACACTACTTTTTGTTGAATCCACTAGAATGTGTAAGTGAAAGGAGGCTATGAGTCATTTGATTTTAGGATTCGGTGTTTAACAATTCTAGTTGTTAAGTCTTATGACTATCATAGCAGATTGTTTCAGATAACCATGGCACCACTACTCTTAAGCATCATTTGACCGCTATATCTGTTTCCATTGATCCATTTGGAGTGGGGATAAATCAATTGGAAGGTGTGTGTAGGTGAAGTGTAGTATCAAGTGAATGAATTTAGGATCTGGTGTTTGTTCCCTGGAGATTGTCTCTATTTGTTAGCTTAAGAATAGTATAGAAGATTGTTCTCTTGTGAACTTCCATTTGTTTTGACATTGCGTTTTTTTGTCATATACAGAATCAGATATGGGATTAATTTGGGGCTTCTTGCTTTTTTGTCACTCCTGCTTCTATTGATGGACTCTTTTGCTTGGAAGATTGTTAGACTGCCTTTGCCTCCATATTTCTTAAGCCTGCCCTTCTTCACATCGGCGATTCTAGTTACCTTAGCCGGTTATATTTTTGTTCCGCTTCTAGACAGACTGAAAGTGCATGAGCCAATTAGGACACTAGGGCCAGTTCCACATAACCGCAGACCAACAATCCCGACAATGGGTGGCTTGTTCTTTGTTCCAATTGGTGTTGTTGTTGCAATAGCCTTGACTACAGTTTCATCCATCGAAGTCTTGGGAGCAGCAGCTGCAACTGTAGCATTTGCAGCTATTGGGCTAGTTGATGACTCCTTGAGCCTCTACAGTGAGAATAATAATGGTTTATCTGCGAAGATACAACTTCTTTTGGAGGTTTTAAACTAATTCTTCCTCTGTATCTTGTGATTTTAAACGTTTTCATTCTCGTAACTTGATCCATCTGCATCCATATCAGGCAGCTGTTGGGACTTGCTTTGCGTTTTGGTTGGAGAGTGCAAGCATTTCATCTCCTTATGGCATGTATAGCCTCTTATAACTAATCTGATCAACGCATATATGATGGTAACTCGCGTATCTACTTTCATATGAATGTACATGAGAATAAGAATCCACATGATTTGATTCAAACTAGTCCACAAATTAGCTTTCTAGAGTTCTCAAAGCCTGAAAAAATGAGTATTTCAGAAGTTTACATAACCGTCTTCTTGAATCTGAATTTTTTTCCAGGAAAATGTTGGTTCCCTTGCCTTCACCGTTAGGTCTTGTTTGCTTGGGAAAACTTTACCTATTGTTGACATCGTTTTACTTTGTTTCCATGGGAAACTTAGTCAAATCAACCGATGGTCTCGATGGATTGGCGGGAGGTATTGCTGCCTTGGCTTTCGTTGCAATGGCAGTAGCAGTTCTTCCTATTTGCTCTGGTGAGTCCCTAACGATTATACCAAATCATTTACTTTCACCTTTATAAGATTCACAAATCTACAAGCATTGCATTCCAAGTGAAGATAGTGTGTGTGCTCACTACTTTCAATCTGTAATTTCTATTCGAGATCAGATCTCTCTGTATTTGGAGCTTCGATGGCTGGAGCTTGTTTTGGGTTTCTGCTTCACAATCGATACAGAGCATCAGTTTCCATGGGAGATACAGGATCCTTGGCTCTAGGTGGAGCTTTGGCTGCAATGGCTGGTTGCTCAGGAATGTTCTTCCCATTGTTCATATCGTCTGGTGTCGCAGTTTTGGAAGCTGCTTCTGTCATCATTCAGGTAAAAGGATAGAATATCTTTCTCCACTCACAATCGCAACCGCAACCGCAACCCCTGATGATGGATATTTTGGCATGCAGGTCGTGTATTACTCGGCGACTAAGCGTTTAAAAGGAAAAGGGCGTCGGATATTCAAAACGGTACCATTTCATCATCACCTCAGGCTAAGTGGTTTAAAGGAGCCAATGATAGTAACAATGGCATATGTAATATCCTCTTTGCTCTCTCTTTCAGCAGCTTACATAGGTCTTATTTCTGCATAAGCTTCTTTTCTTTTTGCTTCTCTCTGGCCACTTTTTGTTTACTTAAGTTATTTTAAATAGAGTAATATTTATGATAATTTATAGTGACTACCTATTTTTTTTCTTTGGTTAAAAAAATCCCTATAAACCATTTTTAAAAAAATAAATTATTTTCTCTGATCTTCCACCTTTTTTTTACGATGTTCGTCGGCAATCCAAAATAATAAAATAGTAAAATAATTTAATTTTAAGCTACTAAATGTAATGATAACGATTTTTATTTCTTACCAACTTGAAGCTTTTATACATCAAAAATATAATTAAAATGGTCTTGATACTATATTTTCTTTTCTTTTGTTGTTTGTTTGTTTGTTTGAATGAATGTAAAATTTATTCAACAAAAAAACTGTTTACAATATATGCAACTTTTTATTATATTCTAAAGAAACAATATATTTAAAACTGGGGCTGGAAATGATCGAGCAATTTTTATTGATGTGATTTATCCGTAATTTGTATAATTTTCATTAAGGACTACTCTTTTATAAAAAAAATTCAATGGGTCTGGATCACTTTTCTTGTTTTTCTCTCAACTTTGATAACAAAGTGAATTAAAAAGAGAAAAAGTAAAGGAAGAAAGTTGATATAAATGGACTGGCTACCAAAAATTTCATTAGGTATAATTATATATAGTTTGTTAGTGTTTTAGTCGATGGAATCAAAGAAAAACCCATGCATTTGTAATCATTTCGATGATCGTTAAGTCCACCGCGAGACATGAAAGATAATGTGAATTTGTAAAAAGGAAGAGTTCCCATTTGTTATCGTTTGCCTTTTTTTCTTCGCAATTCTCGAGATCTGACAGAGATTACCACTTCACAAACCTTAATCTGTCCAAAATTCCAACTAAAACTTAAAAATTTGGAATAGTCAAAAGACAAATACATGAAAATGAAATATTAAAACAAAATTGCAAAAAAAAATTTAATTAGTTATCACAAATTGTTCACTCGCGATTTTACATAATCATCTTTACTTACATTCATATGTTGCTAGTACAATTCGTTTTATTACTAAAATGCACTTAAAAATTTTCGATGAAAAATAACTATGAAAAGATGTATGACCAAATTCTCTCTAAAATGTTAATTTCTTCTCTCCTTATTTCTTAAATTCGTTTTGCCAAGAGGACGTTGCCTTTGTTTTATGCAAGTTTTATCTTCTCTTGTTTAATTCATGCAGGACATCGAATATATAGTTACTAATTAATTATGTGGTTACTTTTGAAATTTTTACTTTGAAAACTAATTCAATGATGTGAAGACTACATAAAGAGATTAATGAAGTCTCTTATTCAAATATAATTTGTTATAACAGATCAAAGACAATTTGCAAAGGAGCTTATTAATCTATAAGCATATTTGGCATAAATAACATCATTGGAGCCAAGAACAAGTTATTATTTGATTGCTTATATGGGACCAAATTGAAAAGCTAAAATTATTACTTATTAGTCTTATTTATTCCCTTTGGTAACACATAAAGTCCAAAATCTCACATGTGAGTGGTGTGTGTGAGTCTGTATGAGCATATACAGTATACACACACATAAGTGTGTGCATATATTAATTTATCAAGAAGAACAGGGATGTGATCATGATTCAATTACATGAATATACCAAATATACAAATTGAAAATCCCTAAGCAGATAATATATATTTAGTAAAAAAAAAAACCTTTTTGACTTGTTATAATGATCATGATTATGTTGGATGGTATCTTGGATTTGGTGATTGAATTTATAACATCAAGGAAAATTAACATTATAATGATCATTTTGAATTTGGCCCATCCCTCCATGATCAAATTGAATATCATTACTTTAATTACTAAACCTTCAAATCATTCCATTAAAAGCCTCTTTTGCACCAGCCATCACATGCATCCTCTCTATTTGTCTCTCTCCCTCTTATACCTCACATACTTATATATTTCATGCATTTCATGTGTATATATTTCATGGATCTTGGTCTAGTTTTCATAGAATTGATGAACTGATTTAGAGAGAGAGAGAGTGATAAAGGAAATTTTAGAGAGTGGATTTTGTGCTTTGAGATCTTTTTGTGTGTGTGTGGTTAATTAGCTATTGGGATTGAGATCAGAATGAAAATCTCTAAATCTCTCGGGATTGTTTTAATTTCTGTTCTCTTCTATCTTACTTCTGCTCCACCATTTGTCATCTGCTCATCTCTTGAAGTCACCATTGATAACCATTCACCAAGCAATCTCAAGAATAAAGGATCCCTAGAACAAGACAAGGTATACTCTTTTTTTCGTCGTTTATACTTTTATATATTACATAATACTACATTTTGACGATTTGACTACTATCTAAATTTACATATTTTTATATTAAATTTTATATGATAGTTGAGTCATCAAATGATAAATAGCATAAAGCTTCATGGCATTCTCTTATGGGTTTCTATGGGCTTTCTTATGCCATTGGGGATTATCTTCATTCGAATGGCCAATAAAGCTCATGAAAATGGAATAAAAGTTAAAGTGTTCTTCTATCTTCATGTCGTTTTCCAGGTAAATTGATTATTCTTAGCCACTCCATATATAAATATTTCTAAATGATGTAAACGGTGTATTTTTTTGTTGTTGAGAATTTTCTATCATTTTAAAATTTTGAGATATGAAAAAGTAGTTATATTTGCAGATTGATCATAGTTCAAACTCATGATGACATCTCAGTGATCTCACTTTAATCATTTTCTCCACTATAAATATAATATCGAGTATGCTATTTAAGGGACAAAAATATATGATAGATAAGGGATATAAGATTTTAAATAACTGAAAAACAAGAAGCACTCATAGTCTTAGATTTACTGGATTTCAACAGCTAGATATACATGCATTGAACTTAATTATTTTCAAATAGATAGCTTATGAAGGAATTGCTTCTTGAATCTGCTATATAGCTTTGATCATGATTTCTTGAATATAAAGGGAAATGAACTAAGGACACACTATGATTACACTCTTACACATATATTCAAATCCATTTAGTAATCAAATCGATATATATCCATAATAGACACTCTTAAATACTTTTTTTAATTTTTTTTTTAATGGGCAGATATTGGCAGTGGTTTTAGCAACAATAGGAGCTATACTGTCTTTAAGAACATTGGAGAACTCTTTTGACAACAACCATCAAAGACTTGGATTGGCTCTTTATGCTGCCATGTGGCTCCAATTCTTGACCGGTATCTTCAAGCCCTCAAGGTAATATATACAAGTCATTTATACAAAATTTTATGTACCTATAAATTTACATATGCCTCACACTTGTCACGATTCTATTGGCTGCATTGTAGAGGGAGCAAAAGGAGGTTGAGATGGTTCTTATTGCATTGGATTCTTGGAACAATAGTGTCAATAGTTGGCATAATAAACATATACACAGGCATAAGAGCTTATCAAAAGAAGACAACATCAAGTAGATACTCAAATCTTTGGACAATCTTGTTCACAGCTCAAGTCACTTGTCTTGTCTTCTTCTATCTATATCAAGACAAATGGGAACATTTTCAAAAGCAAAGAGTTACTCTTGATGAATCGAATCAGCAAAATAATAACACAAATGGAAGTAATAACCAAAGCATCCAAGTGGTAACAAGAAATGATCATGAACAAAAGGTCATGGTTCCTCAGCCTTGTCGCAAAAGTAATGCACTTGTGAATCTGTTTAAATTGATTTGATCCGTGTGAAGGTCAACTATAATAACGATTTTTTTGAATATCAGATTTCATATATTTGTTTATGATAGATACTGTTGGATTTGCTGCGGTTTGTTTTTTGTATTGTTTTGTAAGTAAATATTTGTTTTTTTTTTTCTTACCTTTCCGTATATAATATATAGTATTTGAATAGTTCATTATAGTTTCAAGGTGAAATTTGAGTTTATCTTTTGTTTCGTAAAAAAAAAAAAAATTCTTAACAAAATGTCGAATTTTTGACGAAATTTTTGGTGAGGTGACGTAAAATCTGACGCGGGATTAACTTTGGGCCTAATAAACCGAAGAAAGGCCCAACAGTGATTAAGAAGCCCAAAGTAATTAATAGTAATCGCTGATGAATTAACTCTTGATTTATTTTAATTTTGCAAAATCTTCCATTCGAAGTTAACCTCCGAGGATAAACGAATCAGAGAGATTCAAAGCTCTGCTTCATAGATTCGTGTATCGCACAGATTTAGAGAACGAGAGAGAGAGGAGAAGAAGATGGTAGGCGAAGAGGAGACGAAGAAGAGAGTAGTCACTGAATCGCTAGGATGGTTAACGGAATCTTCGATTATGCCAAAGAAGCATCGCGCCATCGAAGGTGTTGGTCCTTCCTCAATCATGGAGCTTAAAGCTCAGCTCTATAAATCGCAAGAAGAAGCTAAACAGACGAAGAATTTCACGGGATCCGATGCTCAATACCATCGCGCCAAGGAAAGGATTGCCGCTAAAGATTCTTTCTCCGCGAAAAATTCCGGCGTTGAGAGTCGCAATCTAAAGTAAGTCGGAGATTCATCAAATTTGAATCTTCCTCTGGTTTTTATTGTTGTTATTGCTGTCAATTTGGTGAAACGAGCGGATTTGGGAATTAGGGTTGGATTAGGGTTTGTAATTCCCTTATTGTATATATTCTTTAAATTAAGATTGGATGATAATTTTCTTAGGAAATAGAGATTACTTGTGGATTAGGGTTTTGATCTTTAGTTATCGCGTCGACCGTTCTGATTAAGATTAGATAGTGATGACCAATATTTTTGCTGTTGAACTATCTCTAGTGATTTTACTTTAGTTTGTTCTTATATACGACAGTGGTTTTTTGTGTTGGAAATGAAGGGATAAGCTTGAGCACAAAGCAGTAAAAGATGGAGCAGTGAGTTATGCTGCATTGGAGAAAAAGGCGCAGTTGTATGATAAACTTGTTAGAGGAGAGCTTTCAGATGAAGAAGGTGAAGAGAAGTACTGTGTTGACTTCTTCAGGAAAGGAATTCAACATGAGGATCCAAAACCATCAAGAACTTATACCAGTTCCATTTCAGCACCACCTGAAGATTTAAAACAAGATGGCGAAGATGATGGTTTGCTGTTTAGCACCAAATTTGCTGGACTTGGACACGCAATTGGGACAGCCGATGTAAGTCAACACGTGCGTATGGTCAGGTAATTCCATTTCCATCTCCTTAGTCCTTTCTCCGTTTAATTAGTTGTCTGATAATAGCTAGTAGAAAGAAGGAAATAAGTCCATTGTTATATAGATTTGACTCTGTCTTTAGGAAACGAATCAATCTCTTTCTCTGATTATCTCTATTGTTCATGGAAAATCTGTTGTGTAGGGAGGTTCATGAGGAAGTGAATCAAGCTAGAGAAAAGGCAACTGAGTTAAAGCAAAGGAGACAAGAGCAAGCAACAACTCGTCGGGAGAAACTCAAACAAGCTTATCTTCGGAAGCAGCTCGAGAAACTAAAGGCTCAACAACAACAACAACAAGATGAGCAAAAAACTTGATTTTTCATTTTTCCATTTTTTTCACTTCGTCAAGCAATTGGATTTTGAGTTGTGGCCTGAAAGCAGAGAAGACTATGACAGAGTTGTCCACAGAACCCGATTGAGTTTGATATGGCTGCAACAAGAACACATAAGCCATCATCGAAAATTCCAAGCACTTCGGAATATGTATATGCTCTTAACCGCGATTTATGTACTGTGGATTGTTATGTCAATCAACAGATTCTACACCAAGTTATCAATATATAGACAACGCTTATAACAAATCTTTTATAAACTCTTGGTAGTTACATCCATTTAGACATAGCAGGTATTTTCCCACAGATTCAAAATTACTTGGTATTTGGTGATAGTACATATACAGTACTTGATCTTTTAAATGCGGTTATATAAACATTAATCACAGTACGAACACAAATGACAATTTGGCCGAGTGGTCTAAGGCGCCAGATTTAGGCTCTGGTCCGAAAGGGCGTGGGTTCAAATCCCACAGTTGTCAATTTGTTTTTTTTTTTTTTTTCCAGACTTCCAATAAGTTAGAGACTAAACAATTATCGAATGTACACAAAGGTAAGTTTTCCATAGTAAATAATCACCAATTCAATTGCCATTTTGACGTTACTTCATCCATCAATTGATGGACACTTACTTTGTTACACATGAAAAAGCTCTTTTGAAATTTTTCACAACTTTTTTTGCATCCGGTAAAGGTCATTATCGAATGTAAACAAAGCTCGATCAATGTCCTCATCCATCTCACAATCATGGAATTTACGTTAAAACTTCACTGTCTTCAGCGTGTTTATTATATGTGTCATTGATGAAACCCGTTTTCGTCTTGCTTTGAAGAGCATTAAGCATCTTTGTTGCCCACTCGTTGTTATGATCTCCCTTCATTAAATGCAATACCCGTTTTTGCATGATCAAATCCTGACCAAATCGGGTTTGTGGGTTACTCGCAATGCAAATGGAAAGATTTTGGTCCATAGCAAAAGAGCTTTTACCCATGTTTGATCAGTTTTGGATGCTAAGATATAGAATTGGTTTTAGCCTTGTATCTTCACTCTTCAAATTGATAATGTTATTTTTCAGTAGAACTTCAATGGAAATAGTGAAAGCCTAATGAGTGGCCAATCATCAAATGAGAGCGAATAAAAACGAACGAAAAACAGAAGACAATGACTTTGATAATTTCCAGCCTCAACAAGTTTCCATCTTATTTTTTTTCTAAGTATCTCTAGCTAGTTCTGTAAAATTTATTTAACTTAGTGATTAGATAAAAGGGAACAAAAAAAAAAGAAAATAAAAGGAAGAATGACTTTAGTATTTGCTAGCCTCAAACCATCTTTTTACTTGTGGATTAGGTAAATGAAATTTAGAAAATAGTAACAATGGAATTATACATTTTTCTATTAATTCTTACTTTACAGTTACAGAAATCATCATTTTTTGGCTGTACCATATTATTTTGTTGTGTGAACCTCTAATTGATCAAATGAAACTTTATTTTTTATGTGAATGTTTAATCGAATAAATGGACACCTAACAAAACTAAATCTTATAGCTGAAATTCTAAACTCTTTTTAATTTTTTTCTAGTAAAATAGATATCTACATATAAAATTGTGAATGAAAAATCGTTTGTCCCATAATAGTTAATAAATTGTAAAATCATTCAATAACACCGTCGCTTTTTTTTTCATGAAAAACTTATTCTCATTTCCACTAAATGCAATTACGTACTTAGAAAAAATAAAATATCTCTCCTATTTCTTGGCAAGTTCGCGGAAAATAATAGATTGGGAAAAGGGTAGTACTGTTATTTATTTCCTCTATCTGTTTCCTTCCTTCTATTTATTTTTGTTGACTCTTATCACCAATAAATATACGAAATTTCCTCTATCACCAAGTGAGGAAGAAGCAAGAGAAATTATAACACGAAATTCACTTCTTTGGAACGTTTATCTATTTTTTTCAGCCAATGGCGAAAAGGTTGCCATTGATTTTCCTCCTTGTTTTACATTTTTTAGTATCGGGTAAGACTTTTTTCTTGATTGATAATAATTAAAAAAAATTTGTTAATTGTTTTTTCTTTCTAAGCTTAATATTGCTCGCAGGAGTGTTGTCCATGAGTATTCTTACCATAGAGAACAAGTGCAATCACACAGTTTGGCCAGTTATCTTCTCATGGAACGTCGACTCACAGGTCTTCCCAACTGGCTTCGCTCTCAGAAGAGGGGAGGCACGAGCCATACATGCGCCATCTTCATGGTACGGTCTTATCTCGGCTAGGACGCTATGCTCCACCGACTCAACAGGAAAATTCTCTTGCGTCACAGGAGACTGCGAATCCGGTACGATCGAGTGTCCCGGCAATTACGGTTGGGCTCCGGTGACTTATGTCTACTTTAGAATCAATAATGGTGGGATCAACAGCTACACCATCAGTGTTGAGTATGGTTACAACCTTCCACTAATGGTGGTCCCTTCACAGCGTACCCGGACATGTATCAGCGCTGGTTGCGTTGTTGAACTGAACAAGACTTGTCCAAAAGATCTGATGAAGCTGTCCAGAGAAAATCTAGTCGCATGTAGTAGCACGTGCATGGAGTTTGATACACCGGAGACTTGTTGTACCCAAGACTTCAAGTCAAAGCAAAACTGCAAGCCGACAGTGTACACGCAGAACTTCGAGCGAGCTTGCCCACTCGCTCAGATCTACGCCTACGATGATAATAATAGCACCGTTACATGCCGAAACTCTACTGACTACGTCATCACGTTTTGCCCTTCCTCTAATCCAAACAAAACCAAGTAGAGTTACGGAAATATCCCCTCTGAGCTTTTATTTCAATTTTGCTAGGGGTTGATTACGTCAAAACATCACATGCTTTCAACTTCGAGTACTAGTCAATCGAAACATGATCTTAAAGTCAACGTGTATTTCCTTTTTCTTAATAAATTATAAAAAGAGTGATTTGTGTTCCCCACCTACTTAATTACGTCCACTTGCATTGCATTGTAAAATGACCATACATGAAAGACGAGATCTCAAAAAAAAAAAAAACGAATTGGGAGATCGTGGAAGATGAGATGGGACGACATAAATATAGGCCTCAATCCCTTAAAAGATCCCATCAATGGATGATTAAACTTAGGCCAATAAGCCTTTTGCAATGTACTATATCTCCAAAATTACGTGGACTAGCTAGGCACATCTACCTAGATTGATATCGCCCATGCAATCAGCATTTGTATAAAAAGCAACTTGCTTCATGATACCAATAGTTACATGCATTGACTATAATAACAACACCTTCACATGCCCAAAGAGCCTTCGATAAATATCCCTCCTAGTCCCTTTCCATGTCTAGTTTGCTGGGGCCCGTAGGGGACGACTACGTCAAACATTACATGCCTCCAATTTCGACTAGTCAATCCTTCTTTTTTTTTTCTTTTCTTCTGGATGCACAAAAGATGAAGATATATACCTTCTAAAGTAGTAAAGGTGCATACATAGTAAAGGTCAAAATCCTCGTTAATACACTTTATGCTCATGAGCGTTAGTAATCAAGGAGGTCAAACTAATCGATCAGTTTTAAGTTTGTTATCAAATCTTGGCAATCTGTTAAATTACCTGTTCATCCGCGGTTTGAAATGTAAATCCATTTTGATACTGTGTTGGTATTATATCATCATCAATGTCGAAGACACCGAAATAAAAGAAATGATCGATCTTTGAAACCAATGTCATATGAAGATCAGATCAGGTCGTAAGTTTTTGGTTTTACCTGTCATTTAAGCCTCCAGTTTTTCGTGCAATTAGAATGGAGCCATATCTGTTAGAGATAAATATCTAGAACAATGTTGATGAATGAAATCTAACAAGTACGAGTAGGATCTGAAGGAAAGTTATAAAATCTCTCTTTAACATTACATTATGTAAAATGACATGTTATCATAAAAAATATAAACATAAAAAATATAAATCAACGCGGTATGTTCAAAGTTTGCGTGGAAACCCCTATCCACTTGAGATTACTTTAAAGATAAAAGCAATATAATTTATTTCGCAAATTAACTACTACGTACAATTTGGCTATTTACTAAGAATTTTCTTTTATTTTGTTGTGTTCTATCAATTATAAAAAATAGCCAACTAGTGGCTAGTGGTGTGATTCTATAACTTATCCAAACTCCCCCACACATGGCAACTAGTGCGTAGTTGTGTTAGTTGGGACTTGGGAGACGAAAAATCAAAAGACGTTTGTAGTTTATGTAAAGACGTTGATGTTTATGTTCCTTGAGGAAAAGAGAGGAAATCATTTTTTGGAAACCCACCAACCCAAATAATAATAGGAATGGAAATAAACCGGATTATCCTAAATTATTGTGGTATTCGTAATTTATGTTTTTAGTGATGATTAAATCGGTAGCTGCAGCATTACCAACTTATGTTATGTCGTGCTTCAGACTACCGAAAACAATCACTTCTAAACTTACTAGCGCGGTAGCAAATTTCTGGTGGAGCTCAAATTGTGACTCCAGAGGTATGCACTGGATGGCTTGGAACAAATTGTGCAATAGCAAATCGGAAGGGGGGATAGGATTTCGGAATGTGGACGATTTTAATTCAGCTTTACTAGCAAAACAATTATGGCGGTTGATTACGGTTCCAGATTCTCTATTCGCAAAAGTGTTTAAAGGACGGTATTTTAGGAAATCCAATCCTTTGGAAAATATAAAATCATATTCCCCGTCGTATGGATGGCGGAGTATATGTTCAGCTAGATCTCTGGTTAATAAAGGACTTATTAAAAGAGTCGGATCTGGGACATCCATCTCGGTGTGGGAGGATCCCTGGATTCCAGCTCAATTCCCGAGACCAGCAAAAAGTAATGGTTCAGTTGCTGACCCATCTTTAAAAGTTAAAGACCTTATAGATAGTCGGTCAAATTTTGGAATATTGATCTCTTAAGAGAGATCTTTAATCCAGAAGATGTCGCTCTAATAAGCGCCATACCTGTGGGTGCGCCAACAAAAGAAGATTTTTTAGGTTGGCATTTTACAAAATCCGGAAAATATACAGTCAAATCGGGATATCATTCTACACGGATGGAAAAGTCGGAGACCAATTTAAACTTTTTTGGCCCTAACATCAACCCGTTAAAAGCATATTCTTGGCAAGTGCAGTGTCCACCTAAGATACGCCATTTCATATGGCAAATCTTAACGGGATGTGTACCGGTTACGGAAAATTTACGGAAAAGAGGCATTGATTGTGACACGGGATGTGCCAGATGTGGTGCATCAGAGGAAACGATCAATCATACACTCTTTCAGTGCCACCCGGCACGGCAGATTTGGGCGCTTTCACAGATTCCTACGGCTATGGGGATTTTTCCTACGGAATCTAATTTTACTAATTTGGATCACTTATTTTGGAGAATACCTACGGAAGTTGATTCATCAGTCTTCCCATGGATTATTTGGTATATTTGGAAAGCAAGGAACGAAAAGATCTTTGAAAACATAGACACAGACCCTTTAGAAGTATTACGATTAGCGGAAAAAGAGGCACAATTGTGGCAGTCCGCTCAAATTGAGCTCCATAATGAAAATCATGGTTCTGTGCACTTGGTAGATCGAATTCGAGTGAGGGATGTTTCACTTGAGGCGGAGTATTCGGGATACCGTTGTTTTGTGGATGGATCATGGAAAGAAAGTGATAAGTTCTCCGGTATAGGCTGGTTCTGTACATCGTCAAATGGAGAGCCGCCAACCATGGGAGCTGCGAACCTCCGTAGAAGTCTATCTCCACTACATGCCGAATTCGAGGCCCTTCTCTGGGCGATGAAGTGTATGATTGGTGCAGATAATCAAGAGGTAGCGTTCTTTACAGACTGTTCAGACCTGGTGAAGATGGTGTATTCTCCAACCGAATGGCCGGCGTTTTCAGTGTATTTGGAGGAATTTCAGAGCGACAAGGAGGAGTTTTCATCTTTTTCTTTATCTTTAATTTCTCGTAGGGCTAATGTTAAGGCGGATAATCTGGCACGAAAAGTTCGTACAGAACCGCTTCATATTACTTATGTAAATAACATTCCTCAGGAATGACTCTTTTGAGATTTAATTAATTTCGGATGACAAAAAAAAAAAAAAAAAAAAAAAAAAGTCTAGATCGGCCTTTTTAAATTCGTTTTACTCTGCAACAAATTTGATATATAGTCTCCTGTGATTTTTTTTTTTGTACAAAATAGTGAAAAAAGTCAAAATATAACAAAAAAATTGACTCCTTGGAACACTTTCAATTTTAATTTAAGCTAATGGCGAAGAGGTTGCCATTGATTTTACTAGAACAAATGCGATTACACAGTTTGGCCAGTAATCTTTTCATGGAAGTTACCGATCTCCCCAAACGGCTTCGCTCTCACAAGCGGGGAGGCACGTACCGTACATGCAGAGTCTTCGTGGTACGGTCTTATATCTGGTCGGACGCTCTGCTCAACCAACTCTAGAGGAAACTTCTCGTGCGCTACGGGAGACTGCCAATCCGGCAATATCGAGTGTCCCGACGAATACGAGTGGTCTGCTGTGACTTATGTCTATTTAAGAATCGATGACGGTGGAATCAACAGCTACACCATCAGTCTCGAGTACGGTTACAACATTCCGCTAATGGTCGTCCCGTCCCATAGTAGCGGTACATGTATCAGCTCAGGTTGTGTGGTTGACCTGAAAAAGACATGTCCTGATGATCTTGAGTTATTCACCGGGGGAAACAAATCGGTTGCATTAGCGCGTGTCGAAAATACGGTACCCGGGATGATAAATTGATGAGAGTAAGAACACAAAAGTGTTTAGGAAGAATTATAATAGACTCTCATAAGAATAATTGTACAAGATACATTCTCTTATATAGAGATGAGATTGATCTAGGTTTCCTAATTTAAGATAAATATAAATGTAAATAATACTTTAAAGATAAATGTAAATATTCCTAAACTAAGATATGATAATCTTCTAGATCCTTCTCGATCTTCATGATTTCCATAATCTTGGGCGATCATCTCGACCGTCGATCTCGGTCGATCTCCGGTTCTCCCAATACCCCCGGCAAGCTCATACGTGGTTACACGTGTGAGATTAGACAAGTCTTCAGAATAACGGCTTTTATACCCAGCCGTCGGGTCATCATCGACGTTTATACCCGATCATAGGGTTCAAAGCGGCTACAATACCCAGCCGTTAGGTCATCGACGTTTATACCCGATCGTAGGGTTCAAAGCGGCTACAAAACCCAGCAGTTGGGTCATCGACGTTTATACCCGATCGTAGGGTTCAAAGCGGCTATTAAACCCAGCCGTTAGGTCATCGACGTTTATACCCGGTCGTGGGTTTCAAGTAATAGAAAATAACACTCGCGATTGCGAGGTTCGGATGTAGCTCGCGTGATTGCGAGGTTCAGATGTAGCTCGCGATGGCGAGACTAAAAAACAACTCACGAGGGCGAGAAGTTAAATCAAAGATGCTAAGGAGCGAGAAAACATCATCATCGCCGAAGATTGAACGAACCCATGAATAGGTCCATGTTCATAAACCAATATCTTGGTCTTCAAGAAACTAGCAAATTTGCTAGAAAGTCAGTGTGGCCAATCAATGACCGAATCACCAAACGTAATCCTTCTTTCGAATCACGTCCTTCTTCTTTCTTTTTTTTTTTTTTTTTTTTGCAAAGAATTCGTGACAACTCTATCGCCAAAGAATAGCATCGTGGCGTTTCACCTCCAGACTTGTTTTTCAACACAGCATCACGTGGTGTTGAGTGTTGACTTTATGAAAGAGACGAACACAAACACTTTCTCGGATAGAAAGAGGAAAGAGATGTGAAGCTTGCGTTAGAAGCAAGCAACGCTAGGTCAAAGAAATCAGATTTATTTATTTATTTTATTTTTTTAATTGCGGAAGCAAACGAAACCTTAACCCATAGGATTAGGATCAAGACTCTGATACCATGATAAATTGATGAGAGTAAGAACACAAAAGTGTTTAGGAAGAATTATAATAGACTCTCATAAGAATAAAGTTATAAATTACACACATGACTTCAGTTCGAAGCAAACTTGCAAACCAACACCGTACACACAGAACTTCGAGAAAGCTTGCCCATCTGCCTATAGCTACGCCTACAACAATAATAACAGCACGTTCATATGCCCTAACTCAACTGACTTCGTCATCACGTTTTGTCCCTCCTCGATTCCTAACACCACCAGGTAAATTCCCCTCTCACTACCTTGTTTCTCTATTTTGCTGGGGTTGATTAAGTCAAAACATCACACGGTTCCAAATTTCATTCTTCTTTTGTTTCTATCAATTATAATAAATAACTAACTCCTGCCTATGCCTAATGGTTAATTATTTGACAAAAACAAGGAATTAAACCGTTGAAAAGTCTATTCGGCCACCTAGGCAACTATAGTGGCCTAGTGGTTTGATATAATTTGACAAAAACAAGGAATTAAACCGTTGAAAACCCATCAATCAAAATTTTCCGGGTTACTTTGTCTGTATTAGTTGATTTAGAAATCTATGTAATATAGTTTGGTTAGAAAATTAAATTAGATATTTGTACTATGGTGTGCTTGTGTATAATTATAGATTGAATAAATGCATTTTCACACACACACACACACAAAAAACAAATGAATATACGTATAATGTGATAAACTAATAATATATGTTATTTGCTTGGAGAAACAACAGAAGCTCGATGGCTCCATTAGGACCAAAAAGTAAGTTTTGTTTTTGTTTTCCTACAAATATGTATGCAGTGTTTCTTTTTGTTTTGTTAATCATATTTTTTGTTTGATAAATTTTCAGATAATTCTCAACAGAAGTTAAAACCCATACTCGGTACCACCTTCATTTCAACCATATCTCTCTTCCTTACTCAGCATATAACTAATTTTTGCTTGTTTTAATTTTCAAAGGTTTCTTCATCCTAAGTTTTTTCTTGCAGGAGGCTCGGCTGCTTTAGTTGTCTTGATCATTATTGTTGGGATTGTGGTAATGGTGAGAGGAAAGAATGAGAGAAATTCGAACTATGAGAACGTTGAAGCGGTTGTAATGTTGAAAAGATATAGTTATAAAAACGTCAAGAAGATGACAAACTCATTCGCTCATGTTATTGGGAAAGGAGGATTTGGAACTGTCTATAAAGGAAAATTACCTGATGCCAGCGGCCGAGATATTGCACTAAAGATCTTGGAGGATACAAAGGGGAATGGAGATGATTTCATCAATGAATTAGCTAGCATGAGTATAGCATCTCATGTTAATATCGTTTCTCTGTTTGGTTTTTGCTATGAAGGAAGCAAGCGAGCTATAATTTACGAGTTCATGCCAAATGGATCACTTGACAAGTTTATTTCCGAGGATATGTCAACGAAGATGGACTGCAGAACTTTATACAACATTGCGGTAGGTGTTTCTCACTGGTTAGAGTACTTGCACAATAGTTGTGTATCCAAGATTGTGCATTTCGATATAAAGCCACAAAATATACTCATGGACGAAGATTTTTGTCCCAAGATTTCGGATTTCGGTCTTGCTAAGCTCTGCAAAAAAAATGACAGTATCATATCAATGTTAGGCGCAAGAGGGACTGTAGGGTACATTGCTCCTGAAGTTTTTTCCTAGAGCTATGGAGGAGTTTCGCATAAGTCAGATGTGTATAGTTATGGAATGGTGGTTCTTGAGATGATTGGGGCAACGAAAAGAGAAATATTTGAAAATTCTACGTCCAATATAAGTACAATGTACTTTCCAGATTGGATCTATAAGGATCTCGAGAGGAAAGAAACCATGAGACTTTTAGGAGATCATATAATTGAAGAAGAAGAGGAGATAGTGAAGAAAATGACATTAGTGGGTTTGTGGTGTATTCAGACCAATCCAGCTGACCGTCCACCAATGAAAAAAGTTGTTGAAATGTTAGAGGGAAGTCTAGAAGCTCTAAAGGTTCCACCTAAGCCGACCTTGACTTTACCCGCGGTATTGGCCGGTTGGGAAACTGATGAAGAGAGTCAAGAGACTTCTAGTCTTTTGAAATCAAGCTAGTTTCGGGTCAGAGTAGGCGGTCCGAAATAGACATGTTTCTTGCATGTATCGGATAGGGTATTTTCTTCTTCTTCTTTTTCTATTCGATTTATCTGGCAATGTAATACTATCCTTGATTTCCTTGTCAATGTAACAGTAGCTTTAACCAAACTGGTAAGGTCTGAAATTGTCAACAAATTTTATATATCTCACTAACTGAGAAACGCAAGGCAAAAATCATATAACCAGTTGTTGTAAGAAAAAAATATATATACAGACAAAAAAGAGATCAATTAAGAACATGAGTAGAGATGCCAAAATTCGTTTGTGAAGATTTTAAATTGTAAAAAGAAATTTAGTTTAAAACTTTTGGTCAATTACACAAAATCGAAGATCAAAGGAAATAAGGTCCAAAAAGTGTTAAAAAATTGGTTGGTTTTATTCGATATGAAAGTAAAACGATGTGTGAATAATCGTTGTATAACTAGAAAAGTTCATACTTTTTAGCTGTCCTACAAAAACGATAGAATTTGAATGGTCACAAAATACTGAAAGAATGTAAAAAAAAATTTCAAAGCTAGGTAAAAAAAATCAAATTAAATTAACAAAAAACTTATAAATCATAATGAGAATATATTTTATGTTTAATGGGCTTTTGGTTGGGTTGATATCTCCGAAACCCGACACCAACATGAGAGTCGATATATAATATCCTTACCATAGAGAACAAATGCGACCACATTGTGTGGACAATTTCCTGGAAATCCATTTCTTTTCTTCTCATTCATACTAGTTGTCAATTCTTTTCATTTTTTAAATTTAAAGCCTAGCTAGTTGATGACTATTTTATTGCTTGTGAACTTTTATAACAGTAGATACCAATCCCTACTGACCAACAATGAAGAAGCAAGACAAAACATAACACAAAGTGTATTGATAGTTCGTATTCACTCTTTGGAACGTTTTTGTTTTTCTTTAAGCCAATGACAAAGAGGTTGCCATTAATTCTCCTCCTTGCTTCACACTTGTTCGTATCAGGTACCATTTTTTACCCGATTGATGATTATTTGATTTGCTAATTAATCATTTCTTTTTTTCTTTCTAATCTTTATTTTATTCCTAGGAGTGTTTTCCACGAGTATCCTTACCATAGAGAACAAATGCAGTAACACAATTTGGCCAGTTATCTTTTCATGGCGGTCACAAGTCTCAACCACCGGCTTCACTCTCAAGACCGGAGAGGCGCGTGCCATAGAAGCGCCATCTTCATGGTACGGTCTTATCTCAGCTAGGACTCTTTGCTCCAACTCAACAGGAAATTTCTCATGCGCCACGGGAGACTGCGAATCCGGCGAGATAGAGTGCCCCGGCGCATACAGTTGGTCTCCTGTGACTTACATCTTATTTAGAATCGATGACGGCGGAATCAACAGCTATATCATCAGCCTCGAGTACGGTTACAACCTTCCACTAACGGTTGTCCCGTCAAGCCCGGCATGTAGCAGCTCAGGTTGTATGGTTGACTTGAATAAGACATGTCCAAATGATCTTAAGAAATTCTCTAAGGGAGATTTAGTCGCCTGCAATAGCGCGTGTCGAGAATCCGAATCCCAGGAGAATTGTTGCACACATTACTTCAACTCAAAGCAAACTTGTAAGGCGACACAGTACGTACAGAACTTCGACCGTGCTTGCCCATTCGCCTATAGCTACCCCTTCCACGGTAATAACAGTACCTTCACATGCACAAATTCAACTGACTACTTGATCACGTTTTGCCCCTCCTCTATTCCCAACACCACCAGGTAAATTCCCCTAATTAGTCAAACTTGACACTATGATACATATTCTGGTTAGGTAGATAGTCATTTTTAGCAAAATTAAGTGATGATACTTTCGTAAATAATGCAGTGCATTTTTTCACGTTTGTTTTGAAAAAAAAAAACATTATATCATGTAAAAATGACATGTCATATAAAATATAAATCAACGCGGTACGTTCAAAGTTTGCGTGGAAACCCCTATCCACTTGAGATTACTTTAAAGATAAAAGCAATATAATTTATTTCGCAAATTAACTACTACGTACAATTTGGCTATTTACTAAGAATTTTCTTTTATTTTGTTGTGTTCTATCAATTATAAAAAATAGCCAACTAGTGGCTAGTGGTGTGATTATATAACTTATCCAAACGCCCCCACATATGGCAACTAGTGCCTAGTTGGGAGACGAAAAATCAAAAGACGTATCATTTTCTTGGAAACCCACCAACCCAAATAATAGAAGTGGACTGGAAATAAACCGGATATCCTGAATTTTGTAGTATTTGTGTTTCACTTTGTTTCGTGGCATTTCAAATTCGTTTTTATTCCATCAAAAATCTGATATATATATATATATATATATATATACTGGATATCGAATCTCCTCCTTAGATTTTTTATTTTAAATAAGTAAAAATATAGAAATTCTTTGCGATTTTTGATGTTGAAACATGATATTTGATACCAACATAGAAGTATGCGGTTTTGGTGCCTAAACAATATTATGTGATTGTCTAGCCAAGCCACTAATCTATAGTTTTGGCGCCAACAAAATATTATACGTTTTTGCGGCAAAACAAAATTCTAGGATTTTGATGCCAAAACAAAATTCCAGGATTTTATTAAAACGATAAATCTACATTTCATGATTTAGGTTATAGTTGTGTAGATTTATATAATAGTACTTTATATTTTTGGTTGTTTTGGATGCAATTTAATAAGCTAATATATGCAATTGTGTTATTTGATTGGAAAAAAAACAATACCAGAAGCTCGATGGCTCCATTTCCAGAACCAAAAGGTAAGTTTATTTTTGTTTTCTTCATCCTATAATAATGTATGTAATTAATGTTTATTTTGGTTTTTTGTTAATTAATGTTAATCATAGTTTTTGTTTGATATATTTGCAGATAATTCTCTAAGGACGTTAAAACCCATACTTGGTACACCTTCATTGCAACCAAATCTCTAGTGCTCACATTCATGTACATAACACTTAATAATATTTGCTTGTTTTCTCTTCCAGGAGGCTCAGCAGCTTTAGCGGCATTGATCATTATTGTTGTGATTGTGCTAGTAGTGAGAGCAAAGAATGCGAAAAGAAAGAGCGAATTGAACGACGAGAACATTGAAGCAGTTGTGATGTTGAAACGTTATAGCTTTGAAAAAGTCAAGAAGATGACAAACTCGTTTGATCATGTTATAGGGCAAGGAGGATTTGGAACTGTCTATAAAGGAAAACTACCGGATGCTAGCGGCCGAGATATTGCACTGAAGATCTTGAAAGAGTCAAAGGGGAATGGAGAAGAGTTCATCAATGAACTAGTTAGCATGAGTAGAGCTTCTCATGTTAATATCGTTTCTCTGTTTGGATTTTGCTATGAAGGGAGCCAGAGAGCTATTATCTACGAGTTCATGCCGAATGGATCGCTTGACAAGTTTATATCCGAGAATATGTCTACGAAGATAGACTGGAAAACGTTATACAACATTTCCGTAGGTGTTGCTCGCGGGTTAGAGTACTTGCACAATAGTTGTGTATCCAAGATTGTGCATTTCGATATAAAGCCACAGAATATACTCATAGACGAAGACTTTTGCCCAAAGATTTCGGATTTCGGTCTTGCTAAGTTGTGCAAAAAGAAAGAAAGTGTCATATCAATGTTAGACGCGAGAGGGACAGTAGGCTACATTGCTCCTGAAATGTTTTCCAAGAACTATGGAGGAGTTTCGCATAAGTCGGATGTGTATAGTTATGGAATGGTGGTTCTTGAGATGATCGGGGCAACGAAAAGAGAAGGAGTTGAAACTTCTACGACCAATAAAAGTTCAATGTACTTTCCAGATTGGGTCTATGAGGATCTTGAGAGGAAAGAAACCATGAGACTATTAGAAGATCATAGAATCGAAGAAGAAGAAGAGAAGATAGTGAAAAAATTGACATTAGTAGGTTTGTGGTGTATACAGACCAATCCATTGGATCGTCCACCAATGAGAAAAGTTGTTGAAATGTTAGAGGGAAGTCTAGAAGCTCTACAGGTTCCACCTTAGCCTCTCTTGAATTTACACGTAGTAACAGATTGGGAAGGTAGTCAACAGACTTCTAGTCTGTCGACACAAAGCTTGTTAGAGAGAAAAACTCGTTCGAATTACCAATATACGCCAAGTGTTTCCAAAGAAGCGGTTTAAGATATTGTGGAAGAGAAACAAGAGAGTTGTCAAAATGTTGGGATCATCTTGTTGGCTTCTTGATGACACTTATTTTGCTGATCTTTATCATTGCATTATTCATGTGTAAGTGTTAGCCCAAACTAAACGAATTCTTTTCTTATGTAGGGATGATTTACATAAAATTATTGGGAAAATAAAAGTTATTAGGAAAAAAAACAAATACTAATTTTTTTTAATATGTATAAAAAACAATTATCATATGAAAAAAGGAGTATAAATCATTTGAATATGATTGAAACTCCCAAAAGATTTTCTATTATGAACAAGTAAAGTTATGTGTTACAAGAAAGAATCTCTAGGAGCCATGTGACACTCACGTGCGGTTAGGATTTAGGAACAGCTCTGGCTCTGGACACTGATCTTGTGTAGAGTTCTTCGTACTGTGTAGCCGATGATCCCCAACTGAAATCTATACTCATCACTTTCTCTACAAGTCTCATCCATTTCTCTTCATCTTTCTTGTAGTGATTAAATGCTCGCTCCAATGCATAATTGAAACCCTGTTTTTTTGCATTTTCTTTTTCAGCTATAGATGGACATGTAAACCGAACTAAACTAAACCGCAATTTCAAATGTCCACCCCTATTTTGAGCTATGATGAGGAAAGATTGATAAAGATTGAAAAGAAGAGAGAATCGTTAAATTACCTGTTCGTCCGCGGTTTGAAATGTAAATCCATTTTGAAACTGTGTTGGTATTGTATCATCATCGATGTCGAAGACACTAAAAAAGAAATGAGAATAATAAGAAATGATCTTTGAAACCAATGTTATCTGAAGATAATTAATGTTTCAGTTCAGGTGTTAAGTTTTGGTTTTACCTGTCGTTTAAACCTCCAGTTTTTCGCGCAATTGGAATGGAGCCATATCTCATAGCGATCATCTGTGCAAGAGAAAGAATCCGACAATGAGATTAGCTGATATTTAGTTACATTGATGATGGTTCCGTTTCCTTCTACAGAGCATGTTTTGTATTGTAACCTGTGTAAGCCCACAAGGCTCGAAAATTGAAGGAATGATGAACATATCAGATGCTGCGTAAATCGTATGAGACAGAGCTTCATCGTACTTCAGTAACAACCGGACATGATCATGGCTTTTAAACTGTTGTTCAATACCTTCAAATTCCCTCTAGAAAAAAACAAAATGCATCAAAGCTCAAAACCACGAAACTGGAAATTAATTTGAATATATTCAGAGGGAGAAGCTACTGAGCATCTAAGGGACCAGGCAGGTTACCTGAATATGTGGAACCGGGCTAGAACCAAGAAGTACAAACTGTCCACCTAACTCTAATGTTCTGTATATGGCATGTCTGATTAGATGAACTCCTTTCTGTGGTACTAATCTTGTTATGCAACCAACCTGTACCAAAATAAATGTATATAATAAATTAACTGAATCTGTATGCGCAAGACTCTCTCGGCATTATGCGGAAACATGAAGTTACCAGTGGCCGTCTTGACTCGGCTGAAGAAAGTCCAAGCTGCTTTCTAAGGGCGTATTTGTTTTCTTCTTTCCCTTGTAGATCTTTAGCGTTAAACTGGGCCTTGAGGAAAGGGTCGGTGGCAGGATTCCATGAATCCGTGTCAATGCCGTTGAGGATTCCAATGAATTTCTTGGAGTGAAAATTGAGTGTTGAATGGAGTCCTTTTCCTCCCTGCAAATACATTAGACTAATTACTAATTAGTATGGAAGCTCTACATAATTAACATAGAAAAAAACAAAGGATATTCTTCTACCTCAGATGTTCGAACTTCTTGTGCATAAGTAGGGGACACGGTTGTTACAATATTTGAGAAAATTATAGCACCCTGGACCAAAAGGAGAAAGAGAGATGAATAAGAGTAAAATCTTGAATTTCTCTCTCGGTTGATATTGGCTTTGTGATCATTATTTACCTTAACAGGGTTGACTCTATCTCCAGACGAGTGATCCTGCATTCTGTCTGGTCTATTTAACTGGTTAACATCAAGCCCACAAGATCCCAATTCTGAAGCAGACGCGGTACCTTGATACTCAAAATTGTGACATGTAAAGCATATTCTGGCAGAATCTAATCCCTTTGGAGCATACAGATCCCAATACAGTGGCGCCTGTAATAAAAACAAAAACAAAAACAAAAGAGCTTCAAAATGTATCATAAACAAAATGAATTATGCGACTACTTCAAAATAAGATCAAACCGTACAACAAAAGCTGTTTGCCAGTCATGACAATGTATGATGTCGGGTTTTTTGCCGGACTGAAGAAGCAACTCTAATGCAGCTCGGCTAAAATACGAGAAGCGTCTGAAATCATCTTGCTCTCCGTAAAACTGTCCTCTCCAGAAGAATTTGCTTGGATGTTGAGGTTCAATGAAATGTACAGGCAAACCTGTAAACAGAGAGAAACTTTGAATCATTTTGAAAACCAAAAGACACAAAGGCAAGAAAAAAACAAAGTCTTCTCACCTTCAACAGTGCCAATCCAGATTTTGTTTTTATATAACTTCCCATCAAAATATGACTCCACAACAGTATCCAAAGCCTGCAGTGAATAAATCAAACCATCATCAAGAACAACTAAAAAGTTAAAGTTAAAGTCCTCTTATAATTTTATTGTAACATCATATTGGACAACCACATTACCCTTAAGTCACGGACACGGTCATACTGCATACAGTCATATTTGGGGAGAATAATCTCTACCAGATGACCTCTTCTTTGCAATGCCTTACCAAGACCTGCCACAACATCTCCCAAACCTCCCACCTACACAAATTACATAAGGAAATTTGGAATGCTGATAAAGTTGAAACTTTACCATGCAATGCTTCTATTTCTGAAAATTAACATGTAATAAGGGATTTTTTTTTTGGGGGGGAGCTGAACACACCTTAGCTACAGGTGCCATCTCAGCTGCAATGTGAACGACATACAATCCTGAACTAGAATCAACACAAGATGAAGAAAATAGGTTAATTTTTCAAAAATCTTTGAAAACCAAAGAAACACAAGCATTTCCAATAGGTGATGATAACCTTGTTGGAGATGACACAAGCTTGAGAAATGCAGATATGGCATCACGTTCATTCTTATCTTTGACGGCAAGATACGTATCATGAATTCTTCTATCTTTCTTCCATACCATGTCTCTCAGTAAGTCAGCATCGTTGCTTGCTATTTTCTTCTCAAGCAGCCATCCATCAACAGTTAAAAGTAACCGACTCCAATAATCCCAAGGCATATCATCAACCGGTTCATCTCTTGATTTTTTCTTGCTTTCTTCCTTCAAACTTTCAAGTGTTTCCTGGAATTCTTTTATCGATTCTTGATATAACTGGACATATGAGAATATCTCTGCATCAGACTTTTCAAGCCGCTCCTCGAGTAATGTCACCTTATGTTGCATTAGCTCATTGTACTGCTGAATTTTTTCTGAAGATTCTTTATAAACATTGGCCTCTTTAAGTGATTCCTCGATTTTATCAACCTTATTTCTGAGATCTTGATTCTGCTGTAACACTATAACTGCTTGCTCTGCTTGTTTGGTAGCTCTATCTAACAACAGCTGTAGATTCTCTGCCTTCGCCCATAGATCAGTGAATTCGGTTTTAAGAGTAGAAACCTTCGAGACATCTTCCTGAGAAGCCGATAACTTAGACTCCAAATCCTTTACAGAAGTTTCCAAACCTGAGCACTCCTTTTCCAACACAACCACACGTTCACCAGTATTTTTAACACTGTCAAGTTCTGACTTAAGCATTTCTATATCGTTTCTCAAAGAGAGATTCTCCATCTTCAATGTTTCGAGCTCTTTGCTAAGAGCTAGAGCATAACCATCACTTTCTATAGGGGAGATCATTTCATGACGAAGCTTCTCTAACTGTTCTTCCAGAAGCTCTACATGTACTTTCTCTTGACCAGCAGTTTTAATCCTTTCATCAGTCTCAGACAATTTCATTTCCAAGACATTGATTTCTCCCTGCAAAGCTTCCTTTTCACTTAGAATCTTGTTAAGGTCATCAAGAGCAGTGGCCCGTGCTTGATCAAGCCGAAGAATATCTGCCACAGTAAGACATCAGGAATTAACAAAGGCTTTCACAAGATCAGGAAATACACATAACTAATCAGATAAGAAAATTTACTTTTTTCTGCATTTCTTATCATTGTCATTAGTTCCCCAAACTGTCCATCTGAAATCTGCTCGCCTTCACTTTTGTTAAGGGACTGAAAAAAGATTTACAAAAATGATCAAAAGAAGGCCTAATTTCAGAAGTGGAGAGTCACAATATACCATTAACACTAAAACGAAACCCATACCAAAGCTTTTGCAACCTCAGGCACAGTTATATTACTTAAATTCTGCCCATCATCAATATTCTCATCCTTCTTCTTTGCAGGTTTATTCTTGCGCCGAGTTACTTCAATTGTTTGTACATCATCTTTCTTTTCAAGATTCTCATCAGCATGATTCAAATCTATGGTGCCATGAATACTATTATCCTTTTCTGCATCTGACTTAAGACTCGGCGCACTGTCCGCAGAACCATTCTCCGGATCAGATTCCTCATCGTTGTTGCACTCAAGACCTGAAGTTATCGATAGGATCGGTTTAGGGGAGCCTTTCTTGATTTCCTGTCTTTTACTAGAGCTGCAAATTTGTCAAGATATCTAATGTAAATCAAATGGGAATTGAAAGGAACTTGAGCTACAAAGAGGCTAGCTTAACAAATTGGAGACATATCAAAAATCAAATGCAACATTTTGATCTGATTACTAAGTAAAGTCAAAGTTTTTATCCTCAGAGTCTTCTCCAAATTCATATTTCCCAAACAAATGAATCTAAAACATATAATCATAACCAAATTCACATATATGAGCATTCACCATAACTCTAAGCTGAGAAAAAAACAAAACTTTACAATGCAAACAAAAAAAAAAAATCAAATTTTCAAGATAAGTTTGTAAGACAACCACATCACGCAAGATATCTAAGAGCAGAATCACTAAATTCAAAAATGCCAAACTAAAATTGGTTACACAAATCAATCAAATTCTACATACTTCTCAAAAATCAACACAGCAATCGAGTGAAATTGACAAAAAAAGCACTCACTAGAAACCACGTTGTTGTCGCATTTTACAAGAAGTAGAAACCAATCGACGAGAAGGGAGATAGAAAAATCGACGAGAACTTCCATGTTCTCTCTCGCAAGAGATTCCCGCTAATCCATGGGTCAAGAAACAGAAGCTCGATAGCTTCGTCGTCATGTTTAATTAGATAATTCCTAAACGAAGAAAGCTACAAAAGTTGCTTCAATGGAGGTTTTGAGGAAAAATCTCATTTTTTTCTAAGTAATGTGTAATTGTAATATCTTCTTCATGAGTTCTTAGTATCTTTTTAAGATTTAAAAGAAAAAAAATTGGGAAATAATTACATGTTCGCTGGTCCACCACAAGATAAAGTCACGTGGTTACGCCACGTGTATTCTAAGCAATATCCAAATCGAACGGTGGTAAAAAGAAGACACACGGTAACCAATTATATTCAATTCCCTAATCCTTTTCGTTCCCGTCACCGCCGGGATTCTCCGTCGCCGGTGAGTTTTTTTTTATTTCTTCCTACCTTATAATCGCCGTCGTGAATCTTCAATTTCGGTTTTCAGAAAATGGATTTGTCTAATTTCGAGCTCGTTTTTGTTTTGTGATCTGATTTTGAGTTGTTTCTCGATAACGTTTGGATTTTGACGTTTTCCGATCTAGTTCAATTTTTTTTTTTTTTAATTCATTGAGATAGATACTCAAGTACATGTTTTGTTGTTTGTGAAGAGAAGAGTGTTGTTATCAGGATCATGGAGGAAGGTTGCAGCTGCATTTACTCGAGGATGGCCTCAAGATTCAGCATTGGTTTATTGATGATTTTGGCAATCGTTCTTCTTATGGTTCGTGTACTCTATGTTATATACCGGTGTGGCAAACCTCTTCCAAAAGGAGTTTCACAGTCTTTTACTACTCTTATTGTTCTTGGTTCTGGTAAGTAGAGTTAACACAGTTTCCTATTCCATTGGATTTATGTGCATATCATTGGTTAGATGAAATTTTACTGTGGGTTATTTTTATTAGGGGGACACACGGCTGAGATGTTGAGTCTCCTCTCTGTTTTGCGGAAGGACAGATTTACACCAAGGTTTTACATTGCTGCTGCTACTGATAACATGAGTCTCCAGAAAGCTCGTAGTTTTGAAGATTCTGTAGCTGAGAAGGTTCAGTTACATCCTTAATTTCGATTTTGTTTGAATTTTTGTCCCTCCTCTTTGAATTTTGCTGCTTATTGGTTTCTTGTGTGGTTGATACTGCATTGATCAGTATGATACTGGATAATTCTTCAACCGAATGATTTATTCAGGTTTTTTGCTTGATTTGACTGTGGTATAGCCTGCTGTTAAGGAAGCATCACAGTTCATGCAAATTTACCGGAGTCGTGAAGTTGGTCAGTCTTATGTGACTTCTGTTTGGACTACCATTGTTGCTATTGTTCATGCTCTGTGGCTAATGATCCGGATCAGACCACAAGTGGTATGATCTTTATCTGAATGCTTTTCAGACTTTCTCTAGGGGTTCTTTATTAAACCATTTGAATCAGGTTATTGATTAGATCTGGTTGAAGTTTTTCAGATTCTTTGCAATGGTCCTGGGACCTGTATTCCTCTGTGTGTGATCGCTTTCGTATTCAAGGTATACACACTTCACTTCAAGATTCTTTGCGGTTCTTTCCTCTACTTTTTTGGATGACCTTGAATGGACTTGTGACCAAAAAGTCATGGTTTCTCCATTACATCTAGAATACCAATAAGTGCTTGTTTCATCTTGGGTTACAGGTACTGGGAATTAGATGGTCATCAATCTTTTATGTTGAGAGTGTAGCAAGAGTGAAAAAGCTCTCATTAAGTGGATTGTTGCTTTACAAGTTGAGAATAGCTGATCAATTCTTTGTTCAATGGCCACAACTGCATAAGAAGTATCCTCGGGCTCACTATGTTGGGTGCCTGATGTAAGCTGATTGGAACTCTCCTTACACCTAGATATATTACAAAAACTTAGAAAGCTACATAGTGTACACCTTCTCTTTATATGCAGGATTGAGTTTTAAACAATGAATTTTTGTAATCAGCTGTTCTGACTTTGTTAATGACTTAATGCCATTTCAGTGAGCTTATAATGTGGTTTTGGTAATCTTATTCCAAACTAAACCAGAATCGTTCACTATTTATTTAAATAAAATATATTTCATGTTACAATGATGCAAACATTTTCAAGCTAAGACATCACTTGAGTCGCATCACAAATCTATTATGTTTATTCTTCATTGTAGGCTGCCTTCAGGCCAATAAAGAAAAGTAAGTTTACTCGATCAGCTTGCTTTAGTCTGTAAACTGTGTGACACTCTCTTTGAAATAACAGCTTATTTTGATTGCTCACTTGACCCTTCTGCTTCAGGTGGGTCAGGGGATTCTGTTGTTGGGATTCCATGACTTTTCTTCAAGTTTTCTTCATCAAGATATTGTTGGTAGACATAGGATACGAAACCCCAAATAGCTAGGATCATAGAAATCACCTTTAACCCGTTCATTTTGTCATGGAAAATGATGAGAGCCAGGATAGGAACCACGGGGAGTCCCAAAGCGCTGATTGCATTTGAGAATAGGGAGGAAAGCTCGAAGATCAGTCCTGTGCCACCAATGGAGAATACCTGCCAGGTAACAGCTGTCCACACTAGGTTCATGACATAGGATACCTTCCCAAGTTTGTAGTTTTCCATTTCATTGCTCAAAGTTTTCCACTCGCTACTAGCAAAAAGACCCACCACACTAACACAACTGGCCACTAGACTCATGTAAATTATCAGATCCATAACTTCTGAGAAAGTTTGCTTCTTTAAAACTTTACGGAAGGCTAGCTGTTGTAGGGATAAGAGTAGACCAAAACCAGCAGATGCACCAACGGTGCATATGAAACCTTTGACATACTCTTCTTTTGTAACCTTTTTGGAATTTGATTCCTCACTATTAAATGCAAGTAGGGTGGAAGAAATAGTGAGGAGGAAAAGAGAATTCAAAATGATAGGAGTAAGTTTTTGTGAGTTGAGTAAATAAGAGAAGAACGCGGTGAAGGCTAACTGTGATGCACAGATCAGGGAAAGGGTAGAAACAGGTAGGTAAAGCAGTCCAATGGAGTATAGGTAGCAAGCTGCTACTACAAGAAGTCCAAGCACTATGTAAACCAATGCACGGTTCCTAAGTGAGGTTATTTTGCCATCTCTATGAGTTGTTGTATGTGTTTTGACTGACAAGAGATAATATGGAAGTAGAATAGGAAAGCCTACAACCTGAACTACTGTTGCTAGCCATTTGCTGTTTCCTCCATTGTCATAGTATAGTCTGCCCAGAATTGTAGCAACTGATTGGCCTGAAATGACAAAGAATGTATAGACAGCCATCCGCAGCCACCGTTTGTATGTAGAGTGAGAAACTTTTGTTTGGCTGCCACTGACAGAACTTTTTTCGTCCTGATCTGTTGGAATTGGTTCTTTTGCCTGCTGAACTGGTAAGTGATGGAAAATAACGCAAGAAATTAGTTTATGAACCCTTTATTTGTTGTCACTCATAAAGAATTTTGATATATTGAATAATAAGATACCATAACCATCTTTTTCGTTCTTTTCTTTAAAGATAAAAGACCAGTAGGTTCTCGACGATCTGGTTTATGCTTACTCACCAATGACTTGTAGTTCTTGATCCCCCTTCATAGTAGATGTGGAATCCCCCTCCTCTGAGATGGACAAGGAGGTACTAACGATGTTCTGAACAGATTCGAAGTATTAGGTATCTTATTATCAATTTTCTTGGTTACTAATGCTACCAAGTGATTGTTCCTGTGATATGGGTGAGACATGCTGTAGCTATATATTTAGGGATTAGGAATCGGTCGCCGTTTATGTTTTGATTGTATTTGTCCCCACATTCAGTAAATGCCAACTGTATATCTTCTCTTGGTATGAATTTAATTTCTTTTGTCACTATTGTTGATCTAGAGATGAGTCGACAGTCGAGTCAAGTCAAGAAGGAAATGATGTGTAGCCATTATTCACTCAGTATTTTAAAGCTGTGTGACACATCAACCATATGCATAGATACAAACTTAACACGCATGCACACAATTTGTATGATTGTATGACCTTCAGGATGACTATTTTGAAAGTTCTTCTTCTTCTTTAATTCCTTTGGCTTGTTCCGTCTGACTATCTTTCTCTTATGATCAGGCATGTGGATTAGGAACACATTTATGGAGATTATGTCTCGTCTATCTTTTCAAAAGAAGACATTTGCAACACAATATTGGATGGCAGAGGAAGTCACTTTATTAACTGCTAAGATAGAGACTTCCAAAATGGTATTATTTCCACTCATTTACTTTTTGTACAAAGCTCTGTTTCCCCAAGGATGTTTGGACCTATCTGATTAAGATTTCTTCTTTCTTCATTCGACATGATTTTCTGTTTGTCCTTGTTTCACAATATTTCAGGTTAAACTAGAAAGCGGAATAGTGCATTGAAATCTTCGTAAGTTATAGCTAACTGGTCAATTGGGTGTCACACTAACAAAATGAAAATAGCACAAAATTGACATGATTTTTTGTTAAATAAATGTCTGCTTTTATCACTCTGCCTACTCCTGCACGTTCTGGTTACATACAGGGTTGAGTTACATTTTATCTTTAGTTGCTATGAACGCAAGTTGTAATCAGCTGTTCTAAACTTGGTAATGCTGTTTCACTAAACTAAACCAGAGTCATTCAGTATTTATTTAAATGAAATCTACTTTCTGTTACATTGATGCAAAAAATTTCAAGCTGAGACTTCACATTAGTTGCATCAAAAATGTATTGTGTATTCTTCATTGTAGGATGCCTCCAGGCCGATAAGTAAAGTAAGTTTACTTAACCAGATTGATTGAGTGTGTAAACTGCGGGACACCATCTTTCTAAATATCGGTTATTTTGATTGCCAACTTGTCTCTTCTGCTTCTGGTGGGTCAGGGGATTCTGTTGTTGTGATTCCATGACTTTTCTTCAAGTTTTTGTCATCCAGATATTGTTGGTAGACATAGGAAGTGAAACCCCAAATAGCTAGGATCATAGAAATCACCTTTAACCCATTCATTTTGTCATGGAAAATGATTACAGCCAGGATTGGAACCACGGGGAGTCCTAAAACGCTTATTGCATTTGAGAATAGAGAGGAAAGCTCGAAGATCAGTCCTGTGCCACCGATGGAGAATACCTGCCAGGTAACAGCTGTCCACACTAGGTTCATAATGTAGGATACCTTCCCAAGTTTGTAGTTTTCCATTTCACTGCTCAAAGTTTTCCATTCGCTACTAGCAAAAAGCCCCACCACACTAACACCACTGGCAACTAGACTCACGTAGATTATCATATCCATAACTTCTATGAAAGTTTGCCTCTTTAGGACTTTAAGGAAGGCTAGCTGTTGTAGGGATAAGACTAGGCCATACCCAGCAGACGCAGCAACTGTGCATATGAAACCTTTGACATACTCTCCTTTTGTAACTTTTGTGGAATTTGACTCCTCATTATTGAACGCAAGTAGGGTGGAAGATATAGTTAGGAGGAAAAGAGAATTCAAAATGATAGGAGTTAGTTTTTGTGAGTTGAGAAAATAAGAGAAGAAAGCATTGAAGGCTAACTGAGATGCACAGATCAGAGAATATGTAGAAACGGGCAAGTAAAGAAGTCCGATGGAGTACAGGTAGCAATCTGCTCCTACAAGAAGTCCAAGCACTACGTAAACCAATACACGGTTCCTAGGTGAGGTTCTTTTTCCATCTCTATGAGTTGTTGCATGTGTTTTAATTGACAAGAGATAATATGGAAGTAGAACAGGAAAGCCAACAAGTTGAACTACCGTTGCTAGCCATTTACTGTTTCCTCCGTTGTCATAGTATAATCTGCCCAGAATTGTAGCAACTGTTTGACCTGAAATGACAAAGAATGTATAGACAGTCACCCGGAGCCACCGTTTGTACGTGTCAGAGCGAGATACTTCTGTTTGGCTGCTACTGACCGAATTTCTTTCATCTTGAACTGTTGGATTTGGTTCTTTTCCCTGCTGAACTGGTAAGTGAGGGAAAATAATGCAAAAATTAGTTTAATACTTTATTTTGTTGTCAATCGTATCATATATTGAATAATAAAATATCATAACCATCTTTTTCTTTCTTTTTTTTTTTGAAGATGAAAGACTAGTACGTTCACTACGAACTGGTTTATGCTTACTCACCGATGACTTGTAGTTCTTGATCCGCGGTCATGGTGGATGTGGAATCACCTCCTTGGAGATGGACAAGGAGGAACTAACGATGTTCTGAACAGATTCGAAGTAATAGGTATCTTATTATCAATTCTCTTGATTGCAAATGCTACCAAGTGATTGCTCCTTTGATATTTATTCAGGGATTAGCAATCGGTCACCGTCTAAGTTTCATTTTTCTTGGCCCCACATTCAGTAAATGCCAACCATATCTCTTCTCTTTCCATGAATTTAGTTTCTTTAGTCATTCTACATGCAAAGATGCCACTATTGTTGACCAAGAAATGAGTTAAGTCGAGGAGTAAATATGTGTAGCCCATATTCATTCAGAATTTCTTCTGCAACTTGGAGAAACATGAACCCCATACGCATAGACAAATAGAAACTTAACACGCATACGCATATATGACGTATGTATAGTTCTATGATTGTGTGATCTTGAGGACGAAAATGTTGAAAGTTCATCTATTTGAAGTTCTCTGGCTTGCTCCGTCTGACTATTCTTATGATGTGGCATGTGGATTATGAACACACTTCAGGTTTCCCTGGCTAGTCTTGAATTTTTTGTCTCCCCTATGTTTTCAAGAGAAGACATTTGCAACAACAATACTGAATTGCATAGGAAGTCGCTTTATAAACTATTAAGTCATAGATTTCCAAATGGTATTATTTCTGGTCATTTACTTTTTGTTCAAAGCTTTGCTTATGTTGGGACCTGTTTTTCTAAAATTTCTTCTTTTTTCATTATAGACATGGTTTTCTGTTAAAGAAACGTCAGCTTTTATCACCCTGCTTGTATTGTACAATTCATTTCTTAATAGAAGTTCTAAATATCTGAAATGTGTGTACCTTATGTACAGAATTACTCATTTACTTATTACTGAATATTTGACCAAAGAGACTTGCACATTTCTAATATATATGCTCTAGCTATGTAGAGGGACATGTGTCCCATTTGCATGGGCCATTACAAGAATTACATAGACAAGATTTATATATATTATATGCATGATTGTGTGCACAACTTTGTATGTTTGTTTGTGTGACCTTCAAGGCAGCTACCTTTCATCAAGTTTGTGTATCTTCCTTGACAGATTTTGTGTGACAAGTCTTTAACTTCTTTTCGTCGAGGTAGTGCTGATAGACAAATGAAAGGAAGCCCCATATAGCTAAAATGATGGAGAAGATCTTCGATGCGTCCATCTTATCATGGAAAACTATCACTGCTACAACTGGAACTATAGGCAACCCGACAGCAGTTATGGAATTGGAGAACACAGAAGATGACTCGAAGATTAATCCCACACAACCAACAGTGTATACTTGCCAGGAAATAGCTGCTGAGGCCAAAGTCAAGATATATGACACTTTCCCCAGTTTGTAGTTTCTCATCTCACTTGGCAGAGTTTTCCACTCTCCACTTGCAAACAGTCCTATGAGTACAACACAAGTTGCAACTAGAGATTGATAATTGGCCAAGTCCAGGACTGCTGAAGATGTATGCTTCGTGAAAATTTTCCTGAAGAGCAGTTGTATCAGAGATAGCACCAATCCAACCCCAGCGGAAGCACCGATGGTACATATGAAGCCAATCACATATTGTACTCTAGATACATTTGTTGTGTTTTCTGAATCAGTGTTGACCACGAGGAGGGCAGAGGAAACCGTAAGGAGAAACAAAGAATTGACTATCAATGGAGTGAACTTTTGCGAGTTAAGGAAATATGAGAAAAAGGCAGTGAAGGCCAACTGTGAGGCCATGATGAGGGAGAAAGTAGAGACTGGTAAGTAGAGCAACCCAACTGCAGACAAATAAGCATAAGCAGACACTAGCAGTCCAGTGCACAAGTAAACCGATGCAAGGGTGGTGAAGGAAGGGGACTGACTGAAATTTGTATCTGTTGATTTGGGTTGTCTGATTCGTGAAAAGAAGCGGAAGAGAACCAGTACAGGGAAGCCAATGAGTTGAAGCAGTGTTACCACATATGTGCTGTTCCCTCCATTTTCATAGTACAATCTACCCAGAATTGTAGCAAGTGGTTGGCAGAAGATGACAAATATTGCGTAAATGGAGACACGAAGCCACCTTTTACAGTTCTTCGTTTGAGGTACCGATAATGATTCACTGACCTCATGATCTATAAGGTTTGCTTCTAAGTTCTGGTCACCTGAAAAATGAACACTCAACGTTAATATATTTCATCAAAAAAGAATCAAATGATCTAACGTTATCAGGTGCTTTTTGCATACCATTGGCATAGAGTTCTTGAGATTTGCCCATGAGAAATGAGAAATTGAAAGAAAGAATATTGTGTTTATTGATTTCTTTCGTTTGATATGTCTTGCAGATACACAAGATACATTTCTTTATACACAAGATAAGTTGCACTAATCAAACTTGACAGACTTTTACTAATTTGTGTATAATAAAGATGGGGCAGGCGATAGCTGACAGCAGTATCATAATTCAGTAGTCTCATGTTGACCATTGACATTTCTTATTTGCTTACACTTGACTTGGAATTCTTGAAACTTTTGAATGGCGGCTCTAAGAGTACTTTTTTTTTTCTCAGTGTCTATTGTCTAGTGATGTTAAATCAGAAGTCAACAAAGATACAAGAAGCCAAGTTCCTGGAGTATACTTTTTTGGTATTTTAAGGAGATTTGTTGCAAGTCACTGTTCAAGTCACTACATTGTTTGTTTGTTATGTCAGTGGCTTCCAAGTAAGTTGGTATTATTTCTGTTCCCTTGTTTTTTTTTTTGTTCAAAGCTCTGTTTTCCCAAAGATGCTTTAGCCTATTTGTCTCTCTGATTTCGTTGTTTGCTCTTGTTTTCGGATGCATTGCAAAATGACAAAGCAGAGTACTGCATTTGCATCTTTAAATTATGGCCATCTCTGGTATATAGAAGTTAAAAAAAAAGTCTGAATTATTGGTATCTTATGTACAAAACTTATCAGTTAACTATGACTGACTAGTTGGCAAAATAGATAGGGCAGACGAATCATAATTTAGTAGTCTCATGTTGACCATTGACTTTTCATTTTTGGCTTAGACACGACTCGGAATTCTTGAAAGCTTTGAATGCTCTAAGAAAACAACAATGCAGTATGCCAGTATCTATTGACACTATATCCGAAATCAACAAAGATACAAGAAGCCAAACTACTGGAGTACATTTTTTTGGTAATTATAAGAAGTTTTGTTGCAAAGGAATAAAAGAGTTATTGTTCAAGTCGCTACATTGTTTATTACTTTATTTGTTATGTCAGCGAGTCCAAGTGGTATTGTTCCCTTGTGTTTTTTTACTTAAAGCTCTGTTTTCTCAAGGATGCATTAGCCTATCTGTCTCTCTCCTTTCATTGTTTGCTCTTGTTTTCGCTGTTTCAGATGCATTGCAAAAAGCAGAGTATAGCATTGCATCTTTTTGTTATGATTATCTCTGGTGTCACACTCACGAAACGGAAATATCACAAATGCGACATGGTTTTATCTGCTAAAAATAATTGCTTTAATCATCTTGCTGGTATTACACATTTCTCTTTAGGATAGAAGTTAAAAACAAATCTGAAATATTGGTACCTTATGGCCAAATATTGGTACCGCAGTTACATATCACTCACTAGTTGGCCAAATAGAGTTTCATTTTTCTTATCTTTTCTCACATTGTACAGAGAGAGACATGAGCTTTATACAATATATGCATGATCATAACCTTTGTATGTTTATGGGACCGCCGACAAAAAGAAAAAGTAAGCTTGTGTGATCTTCCTCAACAGGTAGGTGAAGAACTTCTACAGCACTTGTGTGGCTAGTCTTCAACTTTTTTTCGTCGAGGTAGTGCTGATAGACAAATGAAAGGAAGCCCCAGATAGCTAAAATGATGGAAAAGATCTTCGATGCGTCCATCTTATCTTGGAAAACTATCACTGCTACAACTGGAACTATAGGCAGTCCCACAGCAGTTATGGAATTGGAGAACACAGAAGATGACTCGAAGATCAATCCCACAAGACCAAGAGTGTATACTTGCCAGGAAATAGCTGCTGAGGCCAAAGTCAAAACATATGACACTTTCCCAAGTTTGTAGTTTCTCATCTCACTTGGCAAAGTTTCCCACTCTCCACTTGCAAAAAGTCCTATGAGAACCACACAACTTGCAACTAGAGATTGGTAAATGGCCAAGTCCATGACTGCTGAGGATGTATGATTCGTGAAAACTTTCCTGAAGAGCAGTTGTATCAGAGATAGTAGCAGTCCAATCCCAGCGGAAGCACCGATGGTACATATGAACCCGATCACATATTGTACTCTAGAGACATTTGTCGAGTTTTCTGAATCAGTGTTGACCACGAGGAGGGCAGAGGAAACAGTGAGGAGAAACAAAGAATTGACAATGAAAGGAGTGAACTTTTGTGAGTTAAGGAAGTACGAGAAAAAGGCAGTGAAGGCCAACTGTGAGGCCAAGATGAGAGAGAAAGTAGAGACTGGTAAGTAGAGCAACCCAACTGCAGACAAATAAGCATAAGCAGACACTAGCAGTCCAGTGCACAAGTAAACCGATGCAAGGGTGGTGAAGGAAGGGGACTGACTGAAATTTGTATCTGTTGATTTGGGTTGTCTGATTCGTGAAAAGAAACGGAAGAGAACCAGTACAGGGAAGCCAATGAGTTGAAGAAGTGTTACCACATATGTGCTATTCCCTCCATTTTCATAGTACAATCTACCCAGAATTGTAGCAAGTGGTTGGCAGAAGAGCACAAAGATTACGTATATGGAGACACGGAACCACCTTTTATAGTTTGTCGTTTGAGGTACCGATGATGATTCAGTTACCTCATGACTTATAAGGTTTGCTTCTAAGTTCTGATCACCTGAAAAATGAACACTAGTGGTTAGTGGTTACTATATTTTCATGAAAAAGAATCAAAGAATCTAACGGTACCAAGTGTTTCTTGCATAGTGCATACCATTTGCATAGCGTTCTTGAGATCTGTCCATGAGAAAGAAGATTGTGTTTATTGATTTTTTTTTTTTTTTTGAGATGTCTTGCAGATACACAAGAGACCTTTCTTTATACACAGATTGATAGTTTATTATAAAAGCTAAATACCCTACACAAGTTGCACTATCAAACATGGCATGCTTTTAGTAAATCTTATTATATAGATGGGGCAGGCGATAGATGACAGCAGTATCATTATTTAGTAGTCTCATGTTGACCATTGACTTTTCTTATTTGCTTACACTTGACTTGGAATTCTTGAAACTTTTGAATGGCGGCTCTAAGAGAACTTTTATTTTTTCTGAGTGTCTATTGACGTTAAATCAGAAGTCAACAAAGGTACATGAAGCCAAGCTCCTGGAGTATACTTTTTTGGTATTTTAAGGATTTTTGTTGCAAGTCACTGTTCAAGTGACTACATTGTTTATTTGTTATGTCAGTGGCTTCCAAGTAAGTGGGTATTATTTCTGTTCCCTTGTTTTTTTTTGTTCAAAGCTCTGTTTTCCCAAAGATGCTTTAGCTTATTTGTCTCTCTGATTTCGTTGTTTGCTCTTGTTTTCGGATGCATTGCAAAGTGACAAAGTAGAGTATTGCATTTGCATCTTTAAATTATGGCCATCTCTGGTATATAGAAGAAAACAAAATCTGAATTATTGGTATCTTATGTACAAAATTTATCAGTTACCTTTGACTGACTAGTTGGCAAAATAGAGTTACACGTTTTTATATCTATTCTCAAACTGTACAAAGATACATTGGCTTTATACTGGAAATATACTTTGATCATACGCTTTGTATGTTTGTATGACCTTCCTCAACAGGTAGATGAGGGTCTCCTACAGAACTTGTGTGGCTAGTCTTCAACGTTTTTTCGTCGAGGTAATGCTGATAGACAAATGAAATGAAGCCCCAGATAGCTAAAATGATGGAGAAGATCTTTGACGCGTTCATTGTATCATGGAAAACAATCACTGCTACAACTGGAACTATAGGCAATCCTACTGCAGTTATGGAATTGGAAAACACAGAAGATGACTCGAAGATCAGTCCCACGACACCAATGGTGTATACTTGCCAAGAAATAGCTATCGAGGCCAAAATCATAACGTATGGCGCTTTCCCCAGTTTGTAGTTTTCCATCTCACTTGTTAAAGTTTTCCACTCCCCGCTTGCGAAAAGTCCTATGAGAACCACACAGCTTGCAACTAGAGATTGGTAAGCGACCAAGTCAGTGACCGTTGAAAATGTTTGCTTCTTTAAAACCTTCCTGAGGATCAGTTGTACCAGAGATAGCAGCAGTCCAATCCCAGCAGAAGCACCAATGGTACATATGATCCCTATCACATATTTTACTCTAGCCATTTTTGCTGTGTTTTCTGAATCAGTGTTAACCACGAGGAGAGCAGAGGAAATTGTAAGGAGAAATAGAGAATTCACAATGAAAGGTGTGAACTTCTGCGAGTTTAGGAAATAGGAGAAGAAGGCAGTGAAGGCCAATTGTGAGGCCAAGATGAGGGAGAAAGTAGAAACCGGTAAGTATAGTAAACCAACAGAGGACATATAAGAATTAGCAGACACTAACAGTCCAGTAACAATGTAAACTGATCCAAGAATGGTGAAGGAAGAGAACTTCCTGTAATCTGCATCTGTTGATTTGGGATTTTTAATTCGGGAAAAGAAGCGGAAGAGAAACAGAACAGGGAAGCCGATTAGTTGGACAAGTGTTCCCATCCAAGTGTTAGAAAACTTCTTATACACAACGTTGTTAACATAAACTGAGTTTGGTGAAAACAGATGGATCTTATTCTAATCTTATTGGCTCGAGTGTCCCTCTTACTTTTTTGTTAGTATCTATTTTGTGGATTTAGAAGTCAACAACGATAGTGCTTAATGTATCAAATTATCAATTAACACGAATCAAGCAACACGTTATTAGAAGAATGTGATTATACAAACCAATGTGAACACTATAAATTGAAAATGGTTGTGGACTGGTGAATATTATGAAATAATAAATATCAATGCATGCATGCACAAGCTAGTCATTCAACTTACAACAATTGGACTACCTATATAATGAATGTTGAGAACATTAATTACCTTTACTAATTTCAGACTTATTAAAATTGTTGGCTAACTAACGTAGATCGAGATACGATACCAACTATGATCTATGAAAGTGACAGACTTGTTTTTCATTATGTCGTAGTTTTAGTGCTTTTTATTATCGTACAGTGAAAAACAGGAGCATGGGAAGACAATGAAGATGAAATCCAAGGATATGGAAAGCATGAGTGTAAGCCTTCCAATTGAAGATCCATCGAGATTGCTCACAATTCTGTCAAAAAGTCAATTCGAGCAAAAAAAGAACCCATCAAACGAGGAATCACAAATCAAACAATCTGAAAAAAATAGAGATCATTGAGAAGACGAGTAATGACAAAGAGAGAAGCTTTACTGTTCTTTGAGATGACTGTTTGGATTCAGAGTCTGCTTTGGTAGAGAATCCATCATCAAAAACAAACTCAGAGATACAAAGATCTAAACTTTGAACAGTTGTTCTCGTTAATAAACTATAAAGATTTAATTTGGTTTGAATCACGAACCGACCGGTTCAATTGATTGGTCCGGTTCATCATACTCTATCCGGTTCACATGAATAAATATTTTTATAATTAAATGTTTTTTTTTTTTGTGTTGTAAAATGTGTTGACGACAAAAATAAAAGAAAACGGAATGTTGTCGTGCGTTAAAAAAACTCACTTCAGCCGGAATCCGAATTAAGTCCGTCCACTAGAAGTCTGTGTTTGAAAAATTTTGTAGGTTTCGGATTTTAGTGAGTCAACCTTGAAAAAAAAAGCCGATAGATTTCGAGTAACACTGTGGGGACTCGACTTTTTTTAACCTTTGTAGTCGTTTTAGTTTATAAAAATTTGAATAGTAAATTCATTCGATACACTAAAATCTCTATAAATTCAAAAAATGTTGAGACCATGATATTTTACTAATTTTAAGAGATATTAATTTATAAAGAGACTTGTTTTAATTATAAGTTTTTTTGTAAAAGATGAATTTTTACTATAGAAAAGATGAATATAGATAATTATATCTATAAAATTAGTGTTTTGGATGTTTTCATCAGAAAAATGATTGTTATTAATTTTGTAGTTTTGGCCTTTAAATTTTAATATTTGAAAAAAAAAACTCTTACGACAATAAATTGCAAAGGTTATAGATGAATTTTTACTTACACAACGATATACTTAAATTCAAATTTATGAATAATGATTTTAGTTGTCATATTTTAATAGGTATAAGAATATCAAAATGAAAATGATACATATTCAAAATTAAAAAATTACAGAATTTTTTTGATGAACTGAGTCGTACCATACAAACCATGAGATTGAAGTTTCAATCGGAAGAAGTGTGTCGTTTATTGGCGACAAATACTGAAGCTGTGATGGGACAATGAGCCATGCGAAATCCATGCTTCTTTTCAAGCCATTTTACCTATAATATATTACCGATTATTATAAGTAGTTTCCTTACATTTATCTATGTAATTAATAATAGTAGACTTACCAATCAAAATAGAATTATCTAATCAAGCTATTGTCAAATTAAAATATAATATCAAACAAAATCAGGCACTACAGTTATGTTATCACAATGAAACTATAGAAATGATACAAACCAAGAGTAATAATAGTGTTCCAATACTAACTATATATGCAAGGCTCAAAAAGAAAAAAAAACATGTTCTGTTGTTTACTTTTATTTATTATTACCTCATAAATTGTTTTGTTCTTTTTTAGCCACCGGAGAAAGTGTTGTAGAGCGAGTCAAGGGAACCTAGACGAATTAACACAAAAATCAGACCGGGAATAAGAGTGACAAGAGAGAAGAGACGAGCGTTTCTCACGGAGGGAGATTTGACAGCGGAGGTTGGGGTAGTCACCGGAGAGCGAGTGACGGTGTTTGGGGAAGCCATGAGAGTAAGGGAAACCTAGACGAAATCAAATAAAACAATCAAATCGACAAATGACAAATGATAACGATGGTGATGGGTCTATGAGCCGTTCGGGTTTAAAAAAATATTTAAGCCCTCTTACCGTGAAGCTGCTCTCTGGTCGGTCTTCACGTTGAATGCTTCCAGGCTTGATGGTTATTTAAGCTTGAGTGAATTCCGTTTAGCATTTATTCATCTTGGTGTTAACTTCACTAAAGTTGTATGATCTGTGCACAAGATGTACAGATGTATCCAACCGTTTCTACAAGCCTATTAAAGTCTCTTACAAAAATTTATGTGGGCTAACTTCCATTGCTTGTCTTTTCATGCACCGCACATCTAATCCTTTCAGTTGGGACAATCTAGTTCGGAGCACACACAACTTTTTTGGTGGAGATGATTGGAGGTATGATGGGAAGATACTTCATCAAAGAAAGTCTTTTTGGGGCTTAGCCTGGTCGGGTTCAGACCGTCCCGAAAAACCCTTAAAATGATATTTTGACTTTTCTTTTGTTAATATTTTTATTTAATATGAGACTTGTTTAAGGAGTTTTTGTTAATAGAGTTGAAAATCTTAAACCTTTTTTTTTATGTTTTACTATAAATCTAAATATCAAATCTTGGCTCTACTATATACCTAGTTTGAAGGCTTCTGATTTTATATTTTATTAATTTGATATGAGTTTAAAAAAACTTATTTGGATTATTTATTTGATTTTAAACTTTTTCTTTAAAATAAATTAGCTTTAGTTGTTATTTAAATTCCGATTGACTCCTTTCTTACATAGATTCTTTTTTCAAGATATATTATAAATGATAAGTTTATTTTTTCGTCGAAAGAAAAGCAAAAAAAAAAGCCCGGAAAAGTCTTGTAGCCCTGTTAGAGCTCGGCAAGACTCAGATATATGCGGGTTTTACGGACTTCCGGCCGGGAAGAGTTGGGCTAGCCCGATTGTCATTACAAAACCAATCCCTCGTCTTTTCCAAGTTCCAAGTCACTTGAACTGAACTCAGAGACTCGTCATCTTTGGTTTGTGGCCTCTTATCTACGTATCACTTGAACAGTTAACAAAGGTACAAGAAGACAGAGTACACTTGATATTTTAAAAACTTCCCAATTTTATTCTAGCTAGTGACTACTATATAAAACTGTTTATTGGTTCATATTTACAAGCTTTGATTCTTGGATCTTTGTCTAAGGTTGGCCATGAGTATTATCTTCTTACATTTCTTCTTTTTCTTCATGTTGTGGAAGCTCTTGCTCTTCTTCTGGTTTTCGATCATCGACATAATGCTGGTAAGCATAAGAAACAAATCCCCATATGGCCAAAAACATTGCAATCAACTTGATTCCGCTCATCTCATCGCGGAAGAACACAACAGCGAGAACAGGAACCACGGGTAAACATATAGTGCTTATGACATTCGAAAAAAGCGATGAAACTTCAAGAATCAAACCAACACTACCAATCGAAAAAGCTTGCCATGATATCGTTGAACCAATTGTTATCAAAACATAAGAGTTTTTCCCAAGTTTAAACTCTTGCATTTCTGTACTCAACATTTTCCACCCACCACTTCCAAATAGTCCAACCACAACAACACAAGTAGCTACCAAAGACGGATATGTAGCCATATCTAAAATCGCCTTAAAAGTGTATTTCTTTAGGATCTTTTCGAACGCGTAATCTGTTAAAGAAAGCACCAAAGAATAACCAGCTGAGCCACCGATCGCGCAGATATATCCAATCACATAGTTGGACTTAGAGGAAGAAGAATTAGATTCAGGCTCATGTTGGATAACAAGAAGTGTTGAAGATATGGTTAAGAGAACAAGTGAATTGAGTATAAATGGTGTGATTTTTTGTGAGTTTAGGAAGTAAGAGAAGACGGCATTAAAAGCCAATTGCGACGCGGAGATCAAAGAGAAAGTTGAGACAGGAAGGTAGAGTAATCCAAAGGAGTACATAACACTGTGTCCAGCAACAAGCAAGCCAAGTCCAATATACACTAAAGACAGTGTCAAGAAGGAAGGAGTAGCTTTTTTGGTTATGTTTTTGTTCTTGGAAGGCTCAGGCTTTATGTAATAATAGCAAGGAAGGGTTAGAGGAAACCCTACAAGCTGAACCAAGGTCTCGAGCCATGTGCTTTTACCGCCTTTGTCGTAGTAAAGTCTACCTAAGAGAGTGGCTATTGTCTCTCCAGCTAAGAGGAGAGTGACGTAGAGAGACACTCTTAACCTCCACGAGTAGTTGTGACATCTCTCTTCTGTTGATAATTTCCCTTCAGGTTCTATCATCAACACATGAAACAGAACAAGAACATAAGTAAGAGGAGAACAACACAAGAAGCTCTACGCCGGAAATTCTGGAAGAATACTTACCGCCATTTACGCGAAGATGGAGTTCTTGAGTTTCTGATTCTACTTCCATCATAGAAACCGGAAGGAGCAATATCTCAGGGAACAAATAAAGATGGTGTTGCTTCCTTATATAACAGGCAAATGCGTATGCATATATTATTCTTTTATAAACAAACTTAGTATTATTTTACATTAAGATTTCAGTTTTTAAAATTATTAGTACTATTACTATATCGTTATAATTCGTGCTACTAACCATTCCCCGGAAATTGTTAAATGGCACTCTTGGAATGAACCATCTCCTCCATTTTTGTAGGAACCAATCTTTAAACGAACCAAATTTTATTACCAACCAGTATTTTCTAATGATATTTCTTTTATTATTTAGCCAAACAAATTCCTTAGGGTACTAGCAGTTTATCTATAGACAAAAGTATCAAACTTACCAACCGTTAAACACGAACCAAATTTTATTACCAACCAGTATTTTCTTGCCATATTTCTTTTATTATTTAGCCAAAAATATTCCTTAGAGTAGTAGTAATTTATCTGTAGACACAAAGGTATCAAACTAAATATGACCATATGAAGATAACGTGTCCGAAAAGAAAGAACAAAAGTTAAGTACAAGATAAACTTCAAAATGATGAATTGATGATAGTGATGATGATGATGATTAGTGACATGGAGGTGGGATTTGAGTTCCAATGTAATTAGCTCTAACGTTTCTACAAGAAGAAGAGACAGCTTCATTTCCTCTGTTTCTGCTCTGTTTTCTTCCTCCATCAGAAGAAGAAAGATCAAGATGAACATTCTCTAAGTACACTTTTTTACATGGCATTCCTCTGCTACAATGCAGCTGCACCGCGACTCGTGAAGATGATGTCCCTCTTATATTCTTGAAGTATATCTCACTCAGCTCCACCTTCGAAGGTACCTACAACAACAAAATGAATCAAAAGAAAACTCTCAGTCCCAAACACAATGCTAAACCGGCGTTAGTCCCTGTTTAATCTAAAAGTAGCTAGAGATTTGAGTGTTAAAGAAGACTCACATTTGAAATGCAAGAAGAGAAAGGACAATAAGACTGATCAATGATGATTGGATTAGTCACATTTTTCATAATAATATTCTCAAAAGTCATGTTGGTAGCAGCACTTAGACCAGGAGAATTAGCCCAAGTTTTGATCCTTATCCCATTCGTCGTACCGCTAATCTTGCAATCCTTCACCACCAGTCCTTTAACATCTTTCTCATTTGGATATCTTCCTAAACTTCCAACACTTTAAACGCAAGAAAACAAACCGTTTAATAAACTCAACAGCGAAAAGCCGAAAACAGTTACAAAAAGGCGGTTTTGTTATATTTTACCTGATACCATGTCCTGGTCCACATTTGATACTTGTGATTGTGATCTGAGAATTTCCTTGTCCTATAGAGACACAATCATCTCCAGTTGCGATATGTGAACGCGAGAAATACACATTCGAGCTGCGTTCGATATGAATACCATCTGTATTTGGACTATCATAAGGAGCAGTGATGTTGAGTCTTGTGCCTTTAAAGTCTCTGCACTCTACTAATGCTATATGAAAGAACTTGCTATTCACTGAGCTTATCCTTCTTACAACTGTTCTGTTCATCCCCACAAACTTTAAGCTCTGAAATCAACAACCGCACGGGTTTCGATTAAAAAAGAGAAAAACTTTAAGATCAAATTCAATGTTTGTAGAGTTTCCTCACTGTTGGGAGGAGTTTGCAGTTAGAATCAGAAGTACAGTTATTAAACGGCCAAGCTAAGGCGCCTTGACCGTCAAATGTTCCACCTCCGGTAAGAGTTAAGCCATTGATCCATCTAAACTCAATCCAACCACCGCCTGATCTATACTTTGATAGATCAGTTGATGCCTTGAGATGACCCTAATTTCAGTTACGTGCACAGAAAGTCATTAATCAAACACACAACAAAGACAGATTTTGGAGAGTGTTGTTGAAACTACCTTAACTCGGACAGTGAGATTGGATACATTAGTACAAGGACCAGAGAATCTGAGAGGACCAACAGAGAATTCACCTCTTGGGATTAGAAAATGAACAGAGCTTGAAGATGATTTACATGCCTTGTCCCATGCTGCTACAAAGGCCTTTAAAAACATCAATTAATTAGCTGATTCTTGTAACTTAAATAGATTCATCTACAAAAAAAAAAACACAGATCTGTTGTAAGAAAAAAACCTTGGTGTGGTCTCTGTGGTCATTAGCTCGAGCACCAAAGCTACGGACATCAACAAGGTAAACAGAGCTTTTGTCTACTCTGGTTTCTGCTTCAGAAGAAGATAATAATATTACAAAGATGAAGGAGAAAATTTTCAGGTAACGAAAATTCTCCATCTCGATGTGCATACATACACTGCTCCTAAGATTGAAAACTGCTTTGCTTTGCAAAACTGTAAATTTTAGTGAAGTAAAAAAAGAAATCATTTTTTACAATTAGTTAACCGTTTCTTTTACCCCCACGATCTGAGCTAGTGGGAAGCTTGAACCTCGTGAGAGCTTTATCGTTCATTGGATCACAACTTTGGGCTCAATTTGGATTTCCATACTTTTGGGCCCATTTATTACAATTTTTGGAGAAATTAGAGAAACGTCATTAGTGTTATAAAACTATAACTTAAACATATATATAATATAATAATATATATGTATAATCAAAGAAGGAAGAATAAAATGTAGAGAGAAGAGGAGCAAAGTGGGAGAGAAGCAGGGGCGGACGCAGGAAGGCACAAGGTGTGGCATGTGCCCCACTCTAATTTTTTAATTTCCTTAAATAATTAGTGTAAAATTTATTTAGATGCCCCTAAATTAATTATTAGTTATAATAATGCCCCATACTAAATTTATGTCTAGATCCGCCCCTGGAGAGAAGCAAAATACAACTTCTACGTATCATACATCTCAAAGTCATGAGTTTATATAGTGCTAGAAAACTTGGTGAGCAAGTGCCTTGCATCCCAAGCTACATATGGATAATGTATATATATTATTTAGATGGATAATTATATATTTTTCAACACCCCCTTAATTATCCATCATTATTAACGTATTGCGTACTGCCTCGTTAAAAACCTTATCATGGAAAAACCGTATAGGATAAAAACCATGATAAGGGGAAAAGAGTACAGTGACGCAATCTCCCCCTGGAATAGACGAGTCTTGTTCTCTCCATAGCTTTCGTAGATGACTCGATCATTCTCTGCGCTTCTTTTGATCTCGTCAATATATGACAAAGATTTTTGAAGATAAATAGACCTTCACTTTGATGCCTATCTTTTGCGTGTTATTTGCTGCCTCGTTAAAAACCTTGTCATGGAAAAACCCAGAGGGATAAAAACCATGATAAGGGAAAAAGAGTGCAGCCACGCGTATTATCATATGTCTCCCCCTAGAAGTGTCATCTTCAAAAGATGCATTTTGAATGAGGTAGCAGGCAGCCCCTTTGAACTAAAACTGCTACATTGTTACTTGGCCGGATGTATTGGACATCAGCTTCTTGCTTCTTCTCAGATTCTTGAGTGCAAGAGAAGAATCTTGGAAAAATATGTCTTGTCATCTCGCTCTTGACATATCTTTCTTTGAGTTGGGAAACATATGTAACAATATCTTGTTGGTGGCTCTTCACCTGTGACTATATTTCTTGCTTCTTGTATATGTTGAGGGCATCAATCTGAGCCATACAGATTCTCGACATGCTTCATGGAGCGCAATAATTTTGGCATGGCTTGAGCAAGCGGCGACCAAAATTTGTTGTTGGAAACGCCATGTAGTTGTTGTTTTGCGATATATATATTTATATAGATCATCCATCTGCAAAACCAACTAAACCAAACTCGGGGTTTCTAGAATAAAATAAGTCCAAGTCAATCGTACCTTGCGGATAGTGAAAACATGTTTTTAACTCATCCCAATGTCTAGTCGAAGGAGATGAATTAATCCTGCAAGTAGATCAATAGCAAATGCTAGGTACAATATATTCACTAGATATATAAATGCTCGTCAGCATTTATATATGCTAGCTACAATTCACAAAATATATAAATACTCGTCAGCATTTATATATAGTGCTTCATGATCAAATATATAGACTCGACTTCCTTCAGAAGTGACTAACATAACATCTCTTTCTTTAGATGTTTAGTTGGAATATTTGGAGACACTTTTGTCTTTCCAAGATCTTTTATTCCAAATAGCTCTTTAAAAATTTTGATGATGTTCAAAATCATCTTGCTTATAAGTTCCCGGGAATATAATTATGATATCATATATCTTTCAGGGATTAGTCCTACAGACATCCCATAAGGCGCAATTCAAGTCATTTATTCATCAACTCAATATCGAGTGATTTTGACAAACCCGGTGCGACACACCGTTTTGTCTTAAGTATCATAAACTCTTTTGATGCTTGGACCATGTGTCCAAGAATTACTCGTTTCTTATACGAGATTAATATAGACTTGGTTGCGTCTTTGTTTATTGGCCAATATATATCTCTTTACGCTCACAGAGCGGAGATTTATGATCCTCATTAGTTTTATTTGCGCGCTATATAATTTTTATTGTCGACATTGTATTGTCTTTGGTTCCATATTTGCCGTAATGACATGGTTAATCGTGATCTCTTAATCATTATAAATGATTTTATTCACGTACCTGATATCGTTATTAACCAAGACAATCGGTCTTTTTACTCCTCTTTAGGAGTCTCTTTGCTCCTCTTGAAGAGTCTCTATACTCCTCTTTAGAAGTCTATATGCTCCTCTTTTAAGAGTTTTAATCCTCTTTTTAGTAGTAATATGCTCCTTTTTTATTTTCGAGGATTTTCTTTATATTTGGAACCAAAGTTGTCTATCACGATTTTATCGTGTTATAGACAATAATATGTCATCCGCCAGAGACATATTTTTGTAGAGCATTTTTAGCTGGGACGAGAAATTTTCTATGAACTTTAAGTTCATATGCATTTATACGAGGATCAGTAATTTCATGAAATCTCATCCATCAGCTTTTTGCATTTGATTTGCATTATACTCTGAATAGTGATTCTTTTGAACTTTTGAACTCTAAAGTTCATATTTATTATATTCATTTGTTCAAAGATCTAAACTATTCAATGGTTCTCCCATGATGGAGAATTTTATCATCAACATGATGATTTGCAAATCTTGCAATAGGCACATCTCTCATAAGATGGCTCAGTATTTGTAGAGCAGAGACTCATCTCCTGCATCTATATATTTCATCCTTTTTTGGATGATATTTTTATGCGGTGCAGAAGAGCATTTATAACATATATCTCACACCCATAAAATTCAAAATGAGAAATATTTGATCTCCAATCATGTATATAAAACATGGGAGAAATATTTCGTATAAATCGTTGGCCTTATATATAATTATTACTACATGCAGAACTGCATGTTCCATGTAAAAACATGGAGATTGAATCACCATGAATCGTTTTGCAATCTCTTGGATTTGCGCTATGAACGATTCGCTTAAAGCTCATTTTGAGAGTGAACATCAATTTTTAGATGTTCTACTTTATCACAAAGTGATAAATTTTAGGATATGGCTTTACCAAATTTATCGACTTACTGACGATGTGGGATTCCTTTAATTCTCCCCCTCGAGATGATAACTCTTCGAGTTCATTCATCTCGAATTGAATCCCACTTTAGGATCAATAACATATCCAATACGGATCATGTATTTATTCTTAGATCCTTATAAAAATATGGAACTTGTAATAACCCCTCCCAAGATGATGGTTTTTCAAGCCTATTTATCTTGGACCGAATCTTATTTTTAGATCGGATATATTCGGGGCTTAATTTGGGGATTATTGAGGAAATCAACCAGCATATATAATGAGCTTTTAAAACAAATGGTGATTTGGCCAAAGACAATATGATTCTGGAGGCATAACCTACTACAGAATTAAAGAGAAGAAGGTATACAACCTTCGACTTCATATATAATTTAAAGTAATTTAAATGAACTAAAATAAATTCAACATAAATTAAATGTTACCTCAGAAATATGGACGGAAGCATGCAGTGCTTGAATAAGTTTATCTTTCTTTACATAAAATTTTAGTGATATTTAATCACTCTTTTTAAGTTCCAAATATTTAGATCATCAATATATACAGCAATGATCACAAATCTCGAAAGAGATTTCTTAATAAAGACGCAAGGGCATATTTTATTATTAATATACCCTTTGTTTAACAAATAATCGCTTAAGCGATTATATGCGTCTGGATTGTTTTAATCCGTAAAGTGATCGCTGTAATTTGACCGTACATATTCCATTAGACTTTGAGTCTAATGTCTCAGGAACTTTAAATCCTTCTAGGATTTCATGTATATTTCATTATTATACCGAGATGGCTTGACCGGTTATACTAGGCTATAGCAATTAGCAAACCTCTGTTTACTATCATAAATATTTTTACCATCTTTATTTTTTGCATGATATAATCATACATTTGTGTGTCTCCATTGTGGTAGGACATTCGATACCACATTTATCTATAGTCTCAATATAATAATTATAAAAATAAATATCTTTGAAACTACAAAGAGTTTCTTTGAGACTTTGGAGAACACGAAGCATCGATTATTATGAATCTGATGCATTTGGAAGTCGAGAGACTAGCTTATCTAGACCTTCTAATTATTTTGCACTGTCTAAAAATATATTGACATGTGCTTCATATATTCTCACAAGAGAAATATATTTTTGATTTTAAAGACATATTTCAATGTCTTTAAATCTCATATAATACATATTTATTCTTTACGAATAAAATAAATAAAAATAATTAAATGCATAAATTCATTAATAATATAGAGACCAAAGCCTTTTCAGACAAGAATTCAGGAGGCATCGCCTTCCATTAAGAATTCAATAGGCATAGCTTTTATTTGATCGTAGAGAAGGAGGCAGAGCCTACCATATATATCGATCAATCCGGAAAAAAATATAAATTTTCATTTGATCGTTAGGAAGGTAAAACCTACCATATATGACGATCGATCCGGAAAAAGCATAGCCATTTATTTGATCGTAAAGGAGGCATAGCCTACTATATATAACGAGCTATCCGGAAAAGACATAGCTTTTTATTTGATCGTAAAGAAGGTATAGCCTACCATATATAACGATCAAACCGGAAAAAGGCATAGTCTCACGATGTCTATAATATTTCTGTTCTACAAACATAAATGAATTTAAATAACAGAAATTATAACTTACCTCGTAAACACTCAAGCGGTAAAGACATCGTGCTGATAACGTGTTATAAAACTATAACTTAAACATATATATAATATAATAATATATATGTATAATCAAAGAAGGAAGAATAAAATGTAGAGAGAAGAGGAGCAAAGTGGGAGAGAAGCAAAATACAACTTCTACGTATCATACATCTCAAAGTCATGAGTTTATATAGTGCTAGAAAACTTGGTAAGCAAGTGCCTTGCATCCCAAGCTACATATGGATAATGTATATATATTATTTAGATGGATAATTATATATTTTTCAACAATTAGGAATAAATACAAGATAAAGGTTTTTTTTTTAATGTTAAGAATATAGAATTTCTTGTTAATACAATCCTTGTACTGAATTTCCCCACGGTTTTTATACATTGGATTACTCTCTGCATCACTACAGCCTCCTTCTCGGTTCAGATTAATGGTGAATTAGCGGGCTATTTCCGAAGCGCAAGAGGATTACGACAGGGCTGCTCTCTATCCCCGTACCTTTTTGTCATAAGCATGGATGTTCTCTCAAAAATGTTGGATAAGGCGGCTGGTGCAAAACAGTTTGGGTATCATCCGAGATGTAAAAAGCTAGGTTTAACTCATTTGAGTTTCGCCGATGATCTTATGATTCTTTCTGATGGCAAAGTAAGATCAATTGAAGGGATAATAGGGGTGCTGGATGAGTTTGCAAAACGGTCTGGACTGAAGATAAGTATGGAAAAGTCTACTCTGTTTTTAGCAGGAATACAAGACCTCATTCATCAAGAGATAAGCCAACGTTTCTCCTTTGAGATAGGAAACTTACCGGTTCGGTATTTGGGGCTCCCATTGGTCACTAAACGTCTTACATCTGCAGATTATCTCCCATTACTTGAGCAAATCCGACAAAGAATTGGGTCGTGGACATCAAGATTTCTATCTTATGCTGGCCGGCTAAATCTGATAAGTTCGGTCCTTAGAAGCATTACTAATTTCTGGATGGCTGCGTTTAGGCTACCTCGGGCCTGCCTTCGGGAAATTGATCAGCTATGCTCGGCTTTTCTATGGTCAGGATCGGCAATGAGCTCCCATAAAGCTAAAGTATCGTGGGAAGCTATTTGCAAACCAAAACAGGAGGGAGGACTTGGATTAAGATCGTTGAAAGAAGCAAATGATGTGTGTTGTCTGAAATTGATTTGGCGAATAGCTTCACATGGAGATTCATTGTGGGTCAAGTGGTTAGAAACGTACCTTCTTAAGCAAAAATCATTCTGGTCAATCAAAAGCAATACAGTTCTGGGTTCATGGATTTGGAAGAAGCTTCTCAAGTATCGAGGTGTGGCAAAAAATTACTGCAAAGTTGAAGTGAAAAATGGTAACATCACTTCTTTTTGGTATGATAATTGGTCTACTTTAGGAAGATTGGTGGATGTTGTAGGTGAGAGAGGAGTCATAGACCTGGGCATTCAACGAGGTATGTCTGTGGCTGAAGCTTGGCACTCACGTCGCAGTCGACGGCATAGAACAGAAGCTTTAAACCAGATCGAAAATGTATTAGCGGTGTCAAAGCAAAACCGAACAGAGGCAGTGGACATTGTGTTATGGCGAGGTCGGAATGACATGTACAGACCACAGTTCTCCACAAGAGATACTTGGAACCACATTAGAACAACTACAAATAAGGTAGCATGGCATAGGGGAATTTGGTTTACTCACGCGACGCCAAAGTTCTCCTTTTGTCTTTGGTTAGCAGTCTTGAACCGCCTCTCTACAGGTGATAGGATGGCAAGATGGAATGTGAGGTCGTCAGTGGCATGTGTCTTCTGCAATCACTGCATGGAAACCCGTGACCACCTATTCTTTACATGTGTCTATGCCTCGGAAATTTGGACAGCCACTGCAAAGAACCTTCTCAAGGCGCGTTACACAACGGATTGGCAAACTCTGATAACCATTGTCTCAGAAATGCAACGTAATCGAGTGGAAAGCTTTCTCTTGAGATATGCTCTACAAGCCTCGGTTTACACAATTTGGAGAGAACGAAATGGAAGAAAGCATGGAGAGAAACCGAACTCAGCTACACGACTTATTGGTTGGATTGATAAACAAATTCGAAACAATCTCTCATCGATTAGAATCATGGGAGACCGGCGGTATGAAGAAGGACTTCAAATCTGGTTTGCTTCAAGAGTGTAAAACAATTTAGTCTCTAAAATCTCAGCTTTCTCTTTCAGCATAATTTCGAAACCGTTGCACTAGTTGTAAAAACGATATATTTTTCTTTTGAATATAATTTAACATTAAATTCAAAAAAAAAAATACAAGATAAAGGTTTTTTTTTTAATGTTAAGAATATAGAATTTCTTGTTAATACAATCCTTGTACTGTATACCTTTAAAGACCGTCAAGAGTGAGATTATTTATGTCCACTTAGAATTAATAATGTTGACACTTAAATTGACGTGCCTAAAAGTTGGATTATTGTATTTGTATCTGTCATTTAAATAAGAAGAGACGTATCAAAGATGTATTGAGGAGGATAGTAAAATACATTTATTTACCAGCAAACTCCAATTATTGATTGAGAAAATTGGTCATTAGAAACATATTATATAATTTCAACAATTCTATTCACTATATAATATGAATGGAAGTCAAAAAGAAGGTGGTAACAAAATATAAGACCAATGATATCCTAAAGCATAGTTGTTTATAAACTATATATCTTTGCCAACTTTACCTCTAGCTTTCATACCGGTTTGATACAAGGACTTTAGGTATTAATTCATCATTACTTGAATACATCTCTAATTGTTGACATGGCGGATTTGGATTCGAATGTAATATTTTGCATGAACCCATGAGTTTGTCAACTATAAACACTTTTTAACAATATCCACGCATTTTTCATTAGTACAATCAATCGGTCATTGGCAATTATTATTCTCTCCAAAATAGTTAGAAACGATATCTACACGTCCAAAACGATTTCGATGCCTAGGTTTGTGTTTAATTCATCTTGGAGAAGTATTTGAAAGATGATATTCCGCCATTAGAATATGATTTGAATTCTTCCTTAAAATTGACGTGATGAATTGATTTTCTTGAGATATAAGATTCTTTTTCACTTTTAAAAACGGAGCTTTTGTATGTTTTTGTATGTATTACTTCTACTTGTATTATATAATGTTTGTCATATCATTATAGTTGTCTAGGGACTAGGGGGTTTGGCAATTACTTGATTCTCCCGGAAGATCTTTTATAACTTTGCTTCTCTTTCTAACATTCTGGCTATCTTTTTGTTTTTGTTAGGTGAATTCGATTACGACTCCGAAAACAAAAAAATCATTATCACGAGATTTGTTTGTAATTTGTATCATCAGCAAATTAATATATTACTGAAAAATACTAAATAAATGTTTTCTCTAATACAGATTTGCGTCAAATGGATTTTCCGTATGATTCGATTTATGATTGGACTTGGTTTGGTTTGATTTGACCACATCAATAATTATCTGTGTAGGCCAAATTATTCTCAGTCAAAACATGTACAAATTTAGTCAAAATCTAGAACATATGAAGGATTTATATAGGTATATATTTATTAGGTTTCTCAAAATTGCTATACCTTAGCTTTGTACGAATTAATACGTAATGTTATGGCTCTATTGATACAATTTTCAAGTTTTTTGTTTCACGAAATACTCCACTGCAAATTTTGCGAGTGATCATTGTGAATGTGTCACACAATCTTATAAGAAACGTCTTACAAAAAAATCTACTGTATTTGAAGTGATTTAATACAAATTGAGTATGATGATTGATCATGAAAAGATTCGAGATTGGACATATCAGTTGAATTTCAAAATTTAAGCATAGTTTTCAAATAGGAAACTGAAGTTACATTGGAGCGCGCATGTTGCATTCAGAAAGCCACATGATCTATAATCTCATGACTCATCATTCATCTCATATATGACATAAATGCGCTCCCAAATAATAGTATTGCTTATTCAGAAATTTGGTACTATTACTTTCGTCATAAAAAACTTATATATAGAATTTACTATTACTTTGTTGCCTATATTTTCATATGCACATACACATTTACAAGTTAATAAAGAGATTTTTTTTTTCTAAGGTTATTCTTCGCATCCTTCCCCTTTCCTTCATTTTTTTGCCGTTCATTAATTCTTTATAAATCTGAGAATTGATATATTTTAAAAGAATATACTTTTATGATTATTTTGTATTCTTATTTGTATTTTTCGTTTCTTGAATTTAAACATTGTTTTCAGTTTTGATGGTAGGGGTAATATTATTGGTCCACAGTCTATGTTTCCATGTGTGTGTGGATAAGATAGAAAGCAGAGGCAGTCAAATCTTTTATTCGGGTCCATTCTCTAATTAGGACACAAGGTAGAACTCAACTTGTTTTGTTTTTTCTTTACTTGTTCACACACATAGATATTCGTCGTCCACAACTTAAACTCTTTATATCGACACCCTTATTTTAAATTCTTCATCTCATATGAGCTTGTTCATTTTTTTCTGTTAAATTAATCAAGAAATGTCTAGACTAACTCTCACAAATTGTGAAAATTCAGATACTTTAAATCAGTAAGAAATTTACCATTTAAACTTAAATTTAAAGTTAAGTTTCCCAAAATCATATGTATATAACCAACATTTGGGAACTCTATCGTAGGCTCCTAGCTAGAGTTATGTCTTTTTTTCGCTTCTACATATGATAGTACACATTACATGACATAATATCATAATGTAAAACTACCCAAAAGAAAGAAAATATAATTTTACGAAATCGAAGCAAAAATATGTATCCAACGTGCGGTAACACATTAAACATCATCAAATATAATCAAAGCCCAATTTCTGTCTCATTCTCTCATGAAAAAATATGTACTGCAAGAGAGACAAAATAAGATCTTAGTTACATATAAGTTTTTTTTCTCTACCTCTCTCTCTCTCAATAAATATAAGTAGCTAGTATATGAGTGAATATATATAAGTAGCTAATTATAACAATGATCGATCAAGGCTCTTGCTTGAAGAAAATTGAAGGAAAGATCTCCCTCAAGAGCTCGTACTCACCCCCTTGATGATACTCTTGATGAGAACTAGGGTTTGCATTCACACTACCATAACCACTTTGTCCATATCCATAATCCAAAGCCGCCGCCGCAGAACCACCGTTAGTATAAGCCGCCGTCCTAAACATATCATGTGCAAAGCTTCTTGGAGTCATGAGATCTGCAGAGAACATAGCAGCCGCCGCGGAACTTCCCCGGAGATTAGTCGGAATCGGGTGGTTGTGTTGACCCTCGTAAGTTGTAATCACAACCGTTGGATCTTGAAACGATCTCTCCACTCGTTTCTTCACGTTGCACCTTTGCGTTGTACATCTATAGTAACTCCTATATTTTCGTTTGCATTGGCTATTATCAGTTACACTATAATGTTCCGAATTTTTGGTCAAACCAAAAAAACTACAAACGAAAATGCAAAACAAAAAGAAGGAAAAAAAAAAAAGTAATTACCTTGGATAAGGGCTATTTTTTACAGCCTTTTGGCCGTATTTTCTCCATCTATAACCATCTTCAAGATGATCAACTTCACTTTTAGTCATAAACGAGACTCGTGGCTCTCTTTGTTTCTTCACCTCATTCTTTTTCGTTTTCCCACTGAAATATCATACACTATAAATTAGTACACATGGTAGAATAAATTCTTAAACCAAAGGATCAATTGCTATTCCATGTTATTTCATAAAAGTTCCTATAGAGTTATTATGACTTACACTTTTTTGGAACTTTGATCTTCTTCTCCGACTAACTCTCGTTTCCTCCTACTCTTGCCGGAATCTTCGCCGGGATGATCAGCCTCACTAGAGGAAGAATTAGATGCAGAAACCCTAGTTTCAGTCTCGTTGCATGCACCACCATTGATTACTTCATTAGTAACATCACGGTTCGATTCTTGATCGATCGAAGAGTTGAAAACCTCTGATGAAGAGGGAGAAAGACCAAAAGATTTTTGAAGTAGAGATTCATACGCTCCTGGAGAACTTTGGAGGCAATCGGTGAAGGAGTAAGTAGATGGATACAAACCGTTTTGTGATGAGATGTTTCCATAAGAAGATGGATTTGAAGTAGGCAGATTCATCATTTCGTGCAACGAAAACGATGATGGGTATTGGTAGTTGTAGAGATCTCTGGTTTCATTAGACATGGTGAAGAACAATGAAGAGAGAAAAAAAAAAAGTAAAAGAAGACAAAGAAGAAGAGAGGCGATAAGCCTTTTAGGTTTGGGGATTAGGTTTTTAGGTTTTTTCCTAGAAGGTCTAGATTGGTGCTTGGACTTTAATTGGGTCTTCGTCTCTCTTTCTCGTATTTATGCATTTTGAAACTCAAAAAAAGGAAGAGAGAGAAGAATAATATGATTTTGGTTACTTGGTTTGGAAATAAGTTAATTAAGTAAAAGTATGATGGGATATTATACAATTGTACGTGTGTGAATCCAAATTCATGTCAATACTTTTATTTTCTCTTAACTTTGTTTTTCTTTAACTAATCTCAATTTAAATTGTATAAATTTTTTCTATGAAAATTTATTAATCTATTAAAAGATGTCTTTTTAAAATTAATTTTGCCCTCACTTTTATCAGTAGAATTTTGAATTCAATATTTAAAAGTTCAAATAGTCATTTTTCTTGTTTTATCAAGGGATCAAGTGTGTATAAAGTAAGTTTTAAATTAATAATGTGAACGAGCAAGTTAATGTGTGTGTGTATATATATATATTCAACAAATAAGATATATAAAAGTGGATATTTTTATTTGTGATATCATGTTATGCCTTTTGAATAACTTTTTGGCTTATGGCAATAAGAACTTTACATAAAGCTAAGTTGACAAAAAAAGAGCTGCAAAACTGGCTTCTAGTGAGGAAACATACTTAAGCAAGCTTCTATAATTTTAATGCATAATGTTTTCTTTCTGAAATTTATTTAATTGCAAGTCCTTCTATATTATTCAAGTCTTTGAATTGTATCTTCGTTAAAATTTCCTAAAAATCTACTTTTATTTTCCCACATTTGATAAACATGCAAAAATTTTGGGTTCTTTTTGTGTGCTACCTTTTTTATGGGGCCAAAAAGGAAGACATGAAAAGTTCCAACCTTTTATTTTCTTTCCCACTCTTTACGTGGCACAGTGAACGGACGCGCTACGACTAAAACGGCGCGTGGAGGAAGACGACGTAATTGAAGGAGTCATAGTCACCGAAGACTATGTGTTACCGGAAACCGGAAACAGTCCGTCACTCGTTGGTCCCTTGGTGAGAAGAAACAAGTAAGAGGCAGTCAAAGATTCAATCGAAAAAAAGTTAGGAAAAATAAAAATTTATGTTTGGGAGTATTAGGCTGCCACGTGGAATTTACAGGCACCGGCATTTGACCGTCGCCGACACATGACTTGGCACGTGCTAGCCTGTCTTCTCTTCTTCTTCTTCCTTCACTGTTTCACGAACCTTAATAAATTATTCATAGATGAATACTCCATATAATTCCTAGTCAAGAGGCAATAATTTAGACCCTACATATTTTGGTATAAAAAATGTAAATATATGAACCTCTTGATATTGAAATATTTATTAAAAAAAACTATAGTGTAAAAGAATCATATATTGCTAATAATTTGCTTTAACATTCAAAGAAAATTAGTTACATATGGGACTTTAAAGTGACGTAGCTTATGTGGAGTGGATCGTTACTTAAGCTGACGGATAAATGAGATCATGATTACGCTATAACAATTTCTTTTCACATTCGAACTTTCTGTTGGCAAGTAAAAGAGCATCTTAATTTTTTAATAAAAGATGGTCAAACCAATAGGACTATTTAAATTATGAAAATGGTAAACATTATGTTAACACTTTATACACAGTCCGAACTTTTTTTTAGATGATCGTACAATTTTATCAGCGATAATTGTGGGGAATTGAAGTTGTTATGAACCTTATGCTAGATTTTTTTTTTCTTTTGTTTATCTAGCTAGTAATCGTTTTCATGAGTTTGTGGAAATTGATAGGAACATATTAGGAAAAAACAAAGGAGACATATAATGCCTAACCGACATGACAAATGAGAAGGGGACATACATCAACTTTAAAAATGTGGTCAAAGTGAAATATTTACTACTATGAAAAATCACTAAAATATGGCAAGATATAAACAAATACTGCTATCTTGGATGAATTTTCGTTTTAATCACTACAAATTTGATATTTCATGGTCTTTTGGTCACAATCCATTTTTTTGGTAGGTGAAGTGTTCAACTCTTTTTTTTTTGGTCACACCGAAGTTTTTGGATTGCAAATTACAGTGGATCTGATAATCTTAATGCGTTTAATAATTACTGATATAAATTATATCATATAATAGCTACCATATTACGGATTGCCCGATGATACATACATATATATAGTCACTAATATTGGGGAGGAGTATAAACTATTTAAAATGAATCAAAATACTCTGCCTTTGGTGTGTAATGAATGTAAAAAAGGAATAATAATTTCCATGTTTTTAACGCTTTTTGGTCAAAACAAACTATGATGAAAAACGTTTTCGATAAAATCAATACCAATCTAATAATCTTTTGTCGAAATAAAAAGAGCGAATAATTATCTTTGAACCAAAAGAGAGACATCAACTATTTTCATTGACCAAAAACGTCAAATTGTATACATGCTTTAAATTGGGAAAAAAGAAACAGCAACTATTATCAGATTCCATACAAGTAATATAATAATCTCTAAACCAAATAAATTTCAATCTTCGAAGTATATATTCAATCTTCTATTGCATACTAAAATAATGCCATAATGGTAGTATGAATCTGTTTCTCGTACCTAACCACATAAATGTATACTAAGTAGATGTATATATTATAACACATTTATAGTTTAATTTAGGCACAAACCAAACGCCGTAATTGGTGCCTAATCGTTTGCGTTGTCATATCCATAAGCCCCACATTTAAATTAAGTTCTTGTTCACTTAATTACCCAAAGTTAGACCGTGGACCTCAATATATTTGTAAGAGAAAATTAAAACGTTAGCTCTATAATTACACGTATACATAACTGTATCTGTCTGCAGTTGAAATGTCTGACCTATTTTGGGGATATGTGCCTAACATCTAAAGATATTATAGAAAAAAACTATTTCTACTTTCTAATAAACTCATAATTATTACATTATATTTAAGTTAAATTTATAAGGAAAAGAGAGTGAAATTGTTGACTTTAGCTTTAGAATAGAATAGTTGGGGCAGGTTTGTTGTTAGGTTTGTCATGTGTGACATTTTTATTTTTATTATTACTCATGTTATCATATATAAATATATATGAATAAAAAGGAATCTCTTGTATTTTCTGTTCTTTCACACACATTATCCTCTTTCTGAAATTTGAGTTGTTAGAGCTTGACTAATTTAATATATATGATATTTGTGTATATTATCAAGAATAAGAAAATATCAAAAAGACTACATTTTCATTAATTTTGGTTACAATGCTAATTAAAATTCTCTTTAGTTGGAATAGAACTAAACTAAAATGAAAAAGCTGATAATACAACAGCAAAACTTTTTTAAAAAATGTTGATAAAATTCGAATTTATGTTATTTAGATTGAAAGTTACAGTTTTATTTCCATACTGGACCAACAAATTTGGACCAAACCTTATCCAACCAAATTTATTTACCTTGAGCCCATATAACTTCTGTTCCTAACTATATCTGCAAAAATTACAGGGGTCGTCAAAATCTATGATTCAGATGAGAAACATATCTTACCATCGTACCAAAGTAAACCAATGACATAACCATTTGGCAACATATCAACCCCGGTTAAGAAAATCCACAATTCCTCTCCATAATCTTGGGTGAGAAAGGAGAGGGTAACTTTTGGTGATGTGAGAATCAGTGAATCCTGCTTAACCAATTATGCAAGACAAGACCAAAGACATAAGAACGGTCCAACCAGTTTACACTGGACTCCTCATCCTTACCATTACGATCGTTGATCCGTTGTAATTAGCAACTGTAATCTAAGCTAAAGCAAAAAAGTTGCAGAGGATCAATCGCCACTGCCACCTTCCAAGAGATCTAAAAGAGTAATCTTTCCGTTGCTGCATCGGTCGAGTTTGTCAAACTGTTTGGAGATTGGAATTATGTCCTTATCGGTTATTTTCTCCATCTCCTTCAGTTTGTATATCACATACTCTGCTTTACTGCGAACACACAAAAAGATAATACCTCAGATTAGAGCTAGCAAACAAAGCATTTACATGTCTTAAATCCAAAATGCGACTAAGCCTTCCTTTCACAGTAATTCAAACTTTATATCAAGCTGAAAACATTATTAATCTAGATGACCACAATGACAAAATAACGATGCTTTCGCATAACACATTTACAGATCTTCAACTTAGCATAAGACCATAAACTATGTTCTTGAACAAAAAGATTCATAAAAAGAAGTGCAGAAGATGAATTAACTCAGAAATCCAACACCTTCAAGAATCTAATAAACTAATGAGCTAGGAATGTTTATGTTTTCAAAGATCCTCTACACGAACAAAAATTAAAAGACTAATAGCAAAGACAAAATCTTTTGGATGACTCCTAAGAAATGCATACAACCTAAGGATGCCACAAATTGATATATTAACAAACCTATGGATCAAACAATTAATTCGAAAATCGGTTTAAGATTCATAAAACCTTAAGGAGTGTGGCAGAGCATAAAAAATGGATAGGGAAATGAGTCAAATACCTCACACAGCCATTGTTATCAATATCTGCAGCAAAAAACTGAGAGACGGACATTGTCTCACAAAGCACTTTCTTCGCCCGTTCTCTATTCCTCTTATCCACTCTCGCCTCAGCCAAGTACAAAAAAGCCCGAGCCACAGCTAATGTAGACACAAGCAGCCATATCGCAGCGAAAAGCCTACCGGGCAATGTTTTAAAAGCCCGATCTCCATAGCCAACAGTAGTAACAGACATAACCGAGAGATAAAACGAATCCAACCACCCGATTTCCTCAATGAAATGCATTATCCCAATCCCAACAGCAATGCATAAAACCACAACACCCAATGCCAAAGCCACTTTCAACCTAATCCTCATTCTCCCTTTCTTCACATCGATTATATAAGATCTCCTCTTCTCTGGCTCATCTCTCCGCTTAGCAGAGTCTAACATATAGCTCTCTTGAAGGTCAAGAACATAAGAGACCATCCCACTAAGCAAAATATCAATGAAACCAAAGCCAACAAGAACAAACATAATCGAAAACAGCTTAGTAACCACACTGTTTGGAGTGATATCTCCATAACCAATGGTGCACATTGTAACGATACAAAAATACAATCCATCAACAACAGGATGGGTTTGATTCACAACGTAGTGATCACGATTCAGCCAATAGATAAGCACACCTAAAGATAGATACACAACGAGAAGAGCAAAAGCTTGTCTTACTACAGATCGTGATGTCTCTGTAGGATCTTTTTGACGAATTGGGTGATGAATATCATTGATTACTGCCATCGCTGGTGCTGTTTTGGATCGGTGAAGTGCGTGGCCTTGACAATGACTCGAATTTTGGTCGGGAAACCATGGCTCTGGTTGTGGTGGTGGTGGTGGGAGGAGAGGCTCTAGGGTTGAGGAATCAGAGAAAGGATTAACGGCGGTGGAAGAAGACGACGGTGAGGGTGAGGGTTGTTTCATGGAATCGATGAAGTGAGACGAATCTCGCGGCGAACGTGAAAAGGGTCCGAAGATTAATCGTTCTTTGAACTCCGACGGTGTCATCGGCATCGGAATCGCGACTTCGTTGTCTTCAGGTAACGGAAACAGAAGCTGTGGAGGTTTTTTCAATCTCGGGCTAATCATGTATTGAAGTAATGGGTCACTTCCTTCGTTAGCCATCTCGCCGGAAAACTGGAAGTGGGTTTCCGATTAAAGTTACTGAATTATCGGAAAAAGATCGTTTTTTGGTTTGATCTATAGTCGAAACTTGAAGGGCTTGAAGCGAAGAGGAAGAGGTAAGAGGAGGGACGTGAAACGTGGGAAAAAGGAAGAAACTTTATCTCTCTCACAAGGATTGAAGTAAGAAGAAGCAGAAATGGCGCTTTCTTAAAGTTTCTTGTGGCTATTACAATTTTTAGAGAGAAATCAAGGTTTTATTATATATTCGATATTCGATATTCATTACATTAAATATGATTTGATGCGGTTAGCAAAAAACAATAAACATTTGCATATGTACTACAAAGCCTGTATAATATGGGTATTTTAAAAATAATATGGCATCTTTTTTTTTTATAATCAATAATATGGCATCTTCTTCAGTAATAATTTATTCAGATGGATTTTATTTTATTTTATTTCAGATGATTGCACAAATTACACATGCTGGCTGATATTTGAATTGGTTTTCTTGAAACTATTTGTAAAAAAATACCTTTATTAAGTCTAAATTGAGTTTGAGTCCTTTATTATTTTCGCTAACTAATTTATCAAAAATAGGTTGATTGACATTATAAAATTTGTGTTAATTTTTCTGATAGATCTAATTGGTAAATTTTTAAATCAGCAATAAGAATTATATCGTCAAAACGGTTGTAAGTCATAAAATAGAAAAATATAATAGTATGAAAAGTATCATAATTTATTTTATTACATTAAATGTTTTTATTATCATATATTTTATTTTTCTCTTGCTAAATGTTTTCTATCGTTTTGTGATTCAAAATGAATTCTAACATATGGTTTATATCACTTAATTCATTATGTTATAAATTAATATTTTAAAATATACTTTAATTGACCATTAGGTAGTAAATTTTTATATTATAACATATATTTTTTCCGTTTCAGTTAAAAAATCGAGTTTAAAATTTGTTTCATAATAAGTGTTGTTTTAGGTTTTTATGCAGATTTTGACAGTTTTATCTTTAATGTTTTAATGTATTAACCAATAATTTTTTTTATAAACTATATTTAATAAATAGAAAATTCGTTTATTTTTCTATTTTGTGTAAAAAAACTTTAAATGATACTTAAACTGAAATTTAAATTTTCTCTCATTAGTCTTTAACTATGGAGGGTGAGATAGTTAATTTTAAAATGGACGGGTCAAAGTTGTAAAGTTTGAATTCCATTAAACACTTCGACCGAATTAAGTGTCAACTATGTTTGACAAAACGGCACGGCGTCTCTCTCTCTTATTAAAAGTACGGAAAAATGGGTAGAAAAACCCTCACCTTTCATAAAAACATAGAAAAAACCCTCAACTTTTTTTGTGGGTTTTTAAACCCCCACCTTTTCATAAATGGTAAAATAAACCCTAGTATTAAAAAACTTAATTTAAATTCAAAAAATTGTTATACTAAAACATAAATAAATAGGAAAATTTTGATTGCGGGTGTTTCTTCTAAAATTCTAGTTTACAATATTTTTCTAAATTGAAAATATGTAAGTCATGATGTAAAAAAGTTAATTAGTGAAGTTTTATTCGGTGTGTTACAAAAATTCATCAACGTGAAACCAAACAGATTTTGTTACGAATTATATGTAAATTCTTATATCGAAACCGAATATGAGTTTATATTAATAAAGGTTTATTAGGTTCGACCACACAAATTTACTAACGTAAAACCAAACCAAATTTTATAATACTATGAAAAGTACATGAATTTCCACATCAAAATATTTTCATTGGACAAACTAAATAAGATTTACTAACAATTAATATTTCTCTATATATATATATTACGATATATTAAAATATAATATAAATTAAATTTAATTAATCATTATTTAACTATATTTTTATCCAAAACCTGAACACTCGAATAAAAAAAAAATCAAATGTGATATCCTATAAATTTTGTAGTTTATATAACATAACTTCTAATTATAACAAAAATAATTTGCATAATCTCAACTAAATGGTGAATAAATGTTCATAACACAAAAACCCTAATTTTAGAAGGAAAAAAATCGTAAACTCAAATTTAAAATAAAAAATCATAAATTAAATTTTGTTTGTTACTTACTGTTTTAATATAATGATTTTTAAAAAATTAAATTGAGTTTATTAATATTAAGGTTTATTTAACCATATATAAAAAGGTGAGGGTTTAAAAACCCACAAAAAAAGTTGAGGGTTTTTTCTATGTTTTTAAGAAAGGTAAGGGTTTTTTTACCCATTTTTCCTAAATGTACACATAGATGACTTGTTTTTTTGGAGCTGAGAACAAATAAAACGGCGAGATGTGTCGTATTCTCAACAAACCTCACATGATGTGGTTTTTCAGAGTTAGATAAGTACAAACTCTCTCTATTAGAGCATCTCCAATGGGGGAGTTCTCTCATGAACTCTCTCAAATTTTTTATTATAAATTTTGAGAAAGTGTTAGATGAGAACTTTTAACTTTTTTTTTGATTTTTTTGTGTCCAATGGTAGGTTCTCTATTGGGGTTCTTAGGGAAAAAAAATTTTATAAAAAATTGTATATCATAAAAATAATTATTGCAATTCATAAAATATTAAACATACATTATTTTCAAACATTTTTTAAAAAAAGTAGAATACTTATGTTTATTTATTTATAGTAGAGGATATAGATAGTGCAATTTCAAAATCTGAATTGTGTTAATCTAAAAAGAATTTGGATTCCCTCAATCTCAATCTTTTACATGCAAGAAATACTTAAGCATGTGATCGGCTCCATTCTTGTTGGGTGAAGTCGTTAGATTGAATATCAAAAGGCAATCTCTTGAAGAAGAATCTCTGTGACCTGCGTATGAATGTTGCCAGCATAACTGCAATATCAGTGAACAATTTACCAGTTGAAACTCTGCATTATACCAAAAGGCGAAAGAAAGAAAGAAAAAAAAACCCATTGCAATCAAAACACACTCACACACTACATCAAGTAGTCGGATCAAAACCAGGAGGAAGGTTTCCACTTGGTAAAGGCTCCATCTGCAACAAATACAAACATTAAGAGATGATTGCAGAACAAGTAGCAAAAACCACTCCTTTTCTACACGAAAATTTACCATTACCATCAAAATCAAACACAAATCAGCAGATAAAACCGAATTACTAACACGAAATACAAGCCCACAATCAGAAGCTCAAAACTTTACATAATAATTAGCCAAAAGCTCAAAATCTACCTCTACCACAACTATGGTTGATCAAATTGTGATGTGTCATGTGATCAGTTAAGGTCTATAACTTTACATTAGCTTTAACATGAATACAAAACAGTCACTACTAAATGTCTATAACTTGGTGTCGGTATACACACACTACTAAATTACTAATACAGCGACAAAGATTGAGAAGTAAAATTCAAGCCAAAATTGCAAATCTTCATCTATCACCCTCTTCCTTAAACTTGTCTCTCATCATCTATCACCACCTTTCTCAATTTCTTTGTTGTACCTCGCAGAAGAAAACCAAAACATATTGATACACTAAAGATTCCTCGCAGAAGAATCATCAGCCGATGGTCTTTACCGTGAATCCAGCTGATGATTCCGGCGGCAGGTAAAAGAAACAAACCACGATTCCGGCGTAGAATCATCGGAATCTCACGAAATCGCGATGATTTTGAGGTGTTCATCAGTTTTTCGCAATCGCCAAATCGAGAGACAAAGTGTTTTTTTTGGTCGGGACACAAACTAAAAAATGAGGGGTTTTTTTTTTCTTTTGTTATAACTCTCCCTCCAATAGAACACTGACACGTGTCCGGTTCTCTCAAATTCTCAAACCTCCCTCAAGAGAATCGATTCTCTCATTTTAATTCAGTTCTGAATTATTTTTTTCCCAAAATCAGATGAGAACTCATCTAAATTTAGAAGAGAACCTCCCATTGGAGGTGCTCTTAACTATCCAATTAAATATGTGTAGACTAGTACGAAACAAAGAACACATGATTTGATTAGCTTTCTTCATTCATAATTTCATATTTGTTATTGATACACACAACTTATTTAATAGATAATAAAGCATAGTCACAGTGAAAATGTGTAAATAATAATCTTATTTCTGGTTCCAAGTTCTTATGGTTTCTTTCAAAGCTACCTAATATGATGACTTCAGAGTTTGGTCCAGACATAACAATTTTTACTGTGAAGTTTGGTCTGATATAGAATGTCAAGACTAAAGAGTTAAAAGAGTAAAATAGTAAGAAACAGACAAAAAAGAAAGAAAGATAAAACATAGTTTTTTTTTAATAATACAAGAAGGTTAGCAAGTAATCAAGCCCGCCATTGAAGGTCTCTCACCAAACCCCCTCATAAGACCCTACCCCGAACCACAAACCCACACACACACACAACACAACTCCATTTTCACAATACGGAATCTTCCCATCGCTACTCAGGAATGAGAGATGGAAAATGAAGGGGAAAGAGGAGATTTGACTGATTGCTTTTGATCAGTAGTTGTTGGGCCATAACTGCTGTTGGGCCTGTTTAGACGCGTCTCTAGCATTTTGTTGTTGTTGGTGATGAAGATGTTCTAATGACATTGCTGCTTGTGAATGGTAAGGACTCACATAGCCATGTCCTCCATAATGTTGTTGTTGTTGTTGTTGTTGTTGAGACGGCTGCTGCTGGTGTTGTAGTTGTTGGGTTTGACAGAAACCGGGAGGCTGCTGATTCTGATGACCAGGGAAGCTGTAATATCCGCTTCCTGGAACTACTCGCGAGTTGGGTTGTTGTCCTTGATGCCATGCTGCTGAGTTTTCGTTCTGCAGATCATAGCAAAACAAAGAAAGCTATTTGTTAAGGTTTGCAATACAAAGACGGCACAAATAACACCGATCCAAAATAAACCTTATCCAGCCAAAACCAATCCGCTACCAAATCAAATAGATGGAAATTCATCTAATCATACTAACTAAAGACAATTCTAATTAGAAAATTGTTTTGCATTTTAGTTTTTTTTTGTCCCAAACAAAGCCTAGCATGAAACCAAACTAAACTGATTTTCTTAAAACTAAACATTTCTAAACAGAGCCAAACCCATCCAAAACCAAACAGAAACAAAATTTTGATACTCCAGTATAAATTCCAGCTGACTAAACCGAACAGAACCAAAACTTCAAATGTCACACCAACAAGATTAAAACCTGAGAGAAATTTCATGGTTTACCTGCTGCTGAAGAGATGATGCCAAGTGATTGTTATCATTAAACTGGGAGCTCAAGACATCATCGTAGGAGTTTGCAACACTTGTGGGATTCAAAAGGAAGCTGTTACTTGAGGCATCACCACCGCCAAACCCGTAGACAGAGGGAGGAGGAACAGGAGGAGCGGTTGCTTGAGTTTTGTATTGCGGAAGCATAGCAGCTAAAGACTGAAGGTTCCCAGTGGGAAACGCTTGCTGAAAAGGTGAAGGCATGTAAGGGTTGTAACTCTGTGCCAAGAATGGGTAGCTTATCAAATTACCATGATGCCCTAAAGGCATCCTGGGCTGATGAGAGTATGGATTTAAGGCGAGGTGTTGTGTAAAAGCTGCTGCTTGTTGTCCTGCACTGGGCATTGCGTTTTGAGATGAAATACTCGTAGCTCTTAGTGTCTGCAAGCAAATTTGTGTAAGCAATGGTATTAGAGGAAAGCTCGGAATAAGTTTATCTGAAAGAGAAAAGAGTATTTAGTTACCTCGGCCATGGAATTTGTTGGGCCGCTAAGTGAAGAGGGAGCAGTAGTGTTGTATTTTGTTGTGAAAGGCAAATAGTGAAGATCCGATTCTCTTCCATCTTGAATGTCTGATGGGAGTAGAGTGTTGGCTAACGAACTTGTATATCCTTGCTGCTGAACATTAAGAAAAAAATAGTAGAGATGGTTAAAATCTTTTCAGTTATCCTTTCGATTGTGTGATGGATTTTTAAGGCTGAATAGTGTTTGGATTTTACCATTACGTTGGGGTAGGTATCGAGATTCTGTATTTGAGGATTGGTTTCTGATGGAGGATTCAACTGTTGGCTGTTTTCAAATCCATAATCTGCGGAAGAAGAAAACTTGTACTGATGACCTTCTTCTAGCTGAGGTTCATGTTGCACTGCTTCTGTCTCAGAATGGTAATTTCGGGTACTTGAATCGATTTGATATGACACTTGTTCATTAGTAGCAGTATTTCTCATCTGTTTTTCTTCTTCTCCATAAAAGTTAGTCTCAGGATGTCTTAATGAAAAATCATCATGTGCTTCTAGTGGTTCATCCAATTTATCATTCAAGCCACTAGCTTGACCAGATCCTATCCCGGAGCCAAAACTACCGAACATTAGGTGAGAGCATTCTGCGGTATGGACTTGCAGGTGATTGGGAATTATCACTGCAAGTTTGTCGTCTCTCGGTAATGCTTCCTGCTCTTCTTTAGTATCAATAGTAAGTTGTTGAAAACCGGTAACAAGAGATGCAGAAACATCTTCAGCTGAAAACAGTAAGAAAAACAAACATAAAAAAAACATGGACAAAGAGGAAGAAAGAGATTAAAAAAGACTCACACAGAGATTATGAATATCTCACCTCCATTTTCCTCATAAGAATGTCTCTCAGCTTTGTTATTTTCATTGTCATACACTGAGGAATTTCTTGAATCATCGTTAACCAAATTTCTGCTTGATACTGAAGCATGCGGATTGTGATCCACATCAGGAGGAGACCCAATTGGATTTGTTTTTGTTTCGTGGTGGTGGTTATCCAAATGAGTCTCATCCAGATGTTGAGACTCACTAAATTGGTCGGCAGAAATCTTAGATTCAGCAGATGGTTTCAAGATAGAGGATGATGGATAAGAAACATCTTGCTTCTCAATTGAAGGACATTCATCCTTCAAAGGGGTTTTACTTACGCTCTCTTGAGCCTCTGATGAACGAGGTAAAGCCACATTCTTCTGCTGGTTAGGCCTACCCATTTTCACAATCTCAGCCATAGTTCTTTTCCCGGGGTTAGCACTGGCCCAAGCGGATTGATACGCAGGAGAAGGCAGCGAAGACGAAGTAACTGCATCACTCGGGCCCGTTAGTGCTTTCTTGACTTCAGAACTTGGAGGATCACTGCAAAGCAAAGGAGATACTAAGATAACACAAAATAGTGGACATTTTAACAAAATCAGATACTAAAAGACCACATGAAGGGACGAACCTGTTTGATGGAGGTTGGCGTCCAAGAACACCAGATGATACAGAAGAGCCAGCCCAATGATTACGTCCACCGTTTTTTCTTTTGTTTGCAGGCACACCTTGAACATTTCCTATCTCTGAACCAAAATCCAGAAACAAGTTTAGACATTTACCAAAACCACAACCAACAGAAAAAAAAAAAAGAGAAAAGAGAAAACTCTCTCTTGCACAATTTGCATCTTATTACCGTTAGAATTATACTTGTTTCCGCTACCTCGAGAGGTATTGTAACTGTCATTACTGCTTCTAGCTCCCCGATTCGGGATGTTACGCGTCCAGGAGTCTGCAGGGTCTTTAGTCTGATCAAACAAGCAAAATAAATGAGAATCATATATTACATTAAAACAATTTGCATATAACTAAACTAGTAGCTGCTTTATCTTATAATCCACAAACCTCTTTCTTCTTCTCTCGTTTGCTCTTCACCTCATGAAAAGTATCTAAAAAGTTTTTTTAACGAAAAAATATTATAATAAACATGCAACAAATAAAGGGAGAAAACTGAATTATATGTTATTTCCAGAAACAGGTAACAATGAAGATTCAACCAAATCCAAAGACATTACTATTTCAAGTAACTTTAAAGAAAACAAATAAAGTTCTGACATTCTCTTACACACGAAGTTCTAACAGCTTTAACATGAATGCAAAAATTTCATCACAAGGTTAAATTAAAACACTTGGAAGTTTTGATTTTTTTTTGCTTCCGTTAAACAAATTCGAAGCTAAAACCTAAAAACCCAAACAACAGATAAAAAGCTATGGAAGCTTGAAGAACAAACCTTGAGAAAGGAGACGATTAATAGCTTCATCAGGATCCATATCGCACTCAACAAGCATCGCATAGATCTCTAACTCAGAACAGTTCACGATCTCCTTCAAACCCTGAACAACCTTCCTCGAAGACGCCGGAACACCCCCGTTTGCGTTACTAACACCGCCGTCGCCACTGTCTTGACCACCCATTCTCTTCTCTCCGGATTACCGAAAAAAAAAACAAATCAGATCTGAACTCAAAAACTTCTTCGACTCACGATTCTTTCACGAGCGATTCTAATAAGGATTCTCGATATTTGTATCTCTCTCTCGCTATTGGCTTCGAGTATCGGAACAAGAAACAAAAAAATCCCTCTTTTTATTTTTTCTTTGCTCTCTTTGGATTTGGGGGTAAATAATGGTTTTGAGAAAAAGGAAAAATATTCAAAATTTTGGAAAGTTATGTAATAAAAATGGTATTTTGTTAATTAATAAATTTATTTTGGTAGGTTAATTACTTTTTCTTTAATGGTAATTAATAATTTGTATATTTTTGTCAGATTTTTATTTAAAGACATGATGAATAGGTTGTTGTCTGAGATTCTATTCAAAAAAAAGTCTTAAGAAATTTTTTAAATTTTAGATTTGAGAAAAATGAAGTAATTCACGCGCTTAAACAACGCGTGAAGAGAAAGAATTTGAGAGTTTTAAAATAATTAAATAATAAATAAGAACATCTTTTCCGGACCTACATATATAATATGGGCCTAAGCCCATTATACCTAACTTCAACAAAAAGAATAAAATTTAACAAAATTAAAGGATCAGCACCTGTCAAGTTACAAGGGTGAGTAGCTGAGCTGGATAAAACTTTATACGTGTCATCCTATTACAGGTTAAAAACCCGCCCACCAAAAGTTTTGATCGGAATAAAAAAACGTAATAAGCTTCTCTCATTCGTGGAAATTGTCCTTTGAGAAAAAGAAAAACAGAGAGGAAGGGAAAAAAAAATCTCTTGCTTCTTCAGGTTGGTCTTCTTCTTCTTCTTCCTTAGCTAAATCTAACTCTTGGTGTTTTTTCTGTAATTTTGATTGTTAATGATCTGTATTTAACGTTTCTTCGCAAAAAATTTTTGGTTTTATCGGTTGACTTGTGGTGGAGAAGAGTTTGAGTTTGTGAAAATGATCAAAATTCTATTACAGATCCGTATGTTTATCTTACTAGATTCTGTCTTTTCATTAATAAGCTGACTTTTGTTTTGCAGCATCGATCTTGAGACCATTCCTTTTGCAGACTATGCCAATGCCATTTTTGAAAATGAAGAGCAAGATAAGCAAAGACTCGTTAAGAGAAAAAAGGGTTCTTGGTGTTTGTAAGAAACCGCATAAGGATTTAAAAAATTCATGCTTTGATTCCAAAATATCGGAACGAATGGAACATTTGGTCACTGCTACTCAGAATTTCCACAACAATGAGGAACAAGATTTAGGTAAGACTTGTTTCTTGAATTCTACATATAGGTCGGTCATATTTTTATTTTAACTGAGCTAATTTTGTTGTGAATTTGTGATGATGCTGTTGATTTCTATAGGTTTGGATTCTTCTACTAGGGATGTTGAAACAAACGAACCCGAACCCGAAGACCTGCTAGTTGAAGACACTTCCAATAATGCTTTGAATATGGATACAATATTTTCACCTGTTCTGGATGATGAACTGTATTCAGAAACTGATCGAGGTATTCTCTTACTCTTTCTGTTTTTGTCTTTTCGATTTAAGCTAATCTTTGAATGAGTATCGAGTAATCTAATAATGGCTTTCCTCAGTATTTGTGGCAGGAAACAATGTGCAATGGGAAATGCCTAGGTGGGGAGCTGATGAGAGCAGCAGCAATCAATCTTGCAACGATTCTGATTACTTTCTTTCTGATGTGCTGATTGCAAGCTTGCCATTTTATGAGACTGGAAATGTTGATTTTTTCACTGAGATAAGTCCCTTGCCTCGTTGTATCTTTCCAGAGACAAGTGCGTTACTAGATGTAGCTGAGCAGTACATGCTATTACCTTACTTAGAAGATGGATCAGCCAGCAGTGATGATGTTAAGTCTGATGAGGATAGCAGGATTAATGTTGATAGACATGACATGTTTATGGCTTTCAATCGGTCAAGATCACAAAACTTGGAAGCTGCAGATGCTCACGCTGAAGCTGAACAAACTGAAGATTTTGATCCTCAGCTTTTCTTAAGAAATCAACCGGAATTATCTGATGTCGTATTCAATTATTTCCCTGATATGCAGCCTAATGACTCTTTAAAAAGGAAGGCGGTAACCCTTGTTCTCGATTTGGATGGTATGATATGAATATCTCTGCATAGTTTGATGTCTATATAAATAAGTTTTGTGTCTATAATTGTGAAGTGGAGTGTTTCTTTGTTATGCATGGTTTGATGTCTTCAATTTAGCCACTTTGTTAACTATGTGCCTCCATGGTACCACCACACTTACTAATCACTTATTGTGACTTGCAGAAACTCTGGTCCATTCGACTCTGGAAGCCTGCAGAGATACAGACTTTTCCTTCAGAGTGTCTTTCAATATGCAAGAGAACAATGTTTACGTCAAACAAAGGCCACACCTTTATAGGTTCTTAGAGAGGGTGGTTGAACTTTTTCATGTTGTCATCTTCACAGCTAGTCACAGCATCTATGCGTCTCAGCTTCTAGATATATTGGATCCAGATGGGAAGTTTATATCGCAACGTTTTTACCGAGATTCATGCATTCTTACAGATGGGATTTATAGCAAGGATTTAACTGTTTTGGGTCTTGATCTGGCAAAAGTGGCTATAATTGACAACTGTCCACAGGTATTTTCTAAAGGATTCACTTCAGTACCTGTGTTTCATTAATTTCTGCTTTTCACTCACATTCCAATAGAAGCCTTAGTCTCAGTGATAGAATCCACAGTGCAGAATTTGTACATGGACCCTCATTCTCATTGTTCTTGTTTCAGGTGTACAGATTGCAAATAAACAATGGGATCCCTATCAAAAGTTGGTATGATGATCCAACTGATGATAGTCTGATTACAGTACTTCCCTTCTTAGAGTCATTGGCTGATGCCAACGATGTTCGTCCTGTCATTGCCAAGAGATTCGGTAACAAGGAATAAGAAATCTCTTCCTTTTGTTTTCCTCTATAGCTTGATTGCAGATTCTGGATTTCTTTTACAGATTTAGTCATAGACTAGTTTAGTTCCTCAAGACTTGTTAGGTGCTATTTAATTAGTGAACCATAGAATAATGATCGGTGATGTTAGTACACAAGTAAGAGTAACCCTTGTCTTAGCCAGGATAAGAATAGATCATCGGAATCTTAACAGTCTGTTCTAAATGTACAGTTGGTGAAGCTGAGATACTTAATGTATAAAAAGTGAGTAATTTTTGAGTGAAATGTCAGTTTTGGAGGTTAACATCACCTTTATCTCCTTGTGGTAAATCCAAACTGTTGGTTAGATCTTTGTACTACTGCATTGTCACTAATATAATGAAGAGAGGTTCAAGCTCGAACCTTGTTTTCGTGAATTTTATCGAATTTCTAGCTTCTGTGGTCTTTCAGAAAGGAGGAATATCGTTATCATCATCATCGGGGGACCGGATCTGGTGATTCCATGGTATTATAATAAGCTATTTAATCTATAACTCTCAGTAAAAGTTTCATGATTCTACTTGCATGGTCCTTACTGTGCAGATCATTCAACAAGTTATTTTGATTAGGCGTAAGGAAGTGACCGGACTTTGTTCTGCTCTGTGTTAACATGTATCTTTCAGAGTTGTCTAATGGTCCTAAGCTCCCTGACAAACTTGCCAATATGTAAATCTATAGAATGTTTAACTTGTTTTCATTAAAATTTGTTGGTCATATTTTGTTGTTAGTAGGTAAATAAACCAAAACAGTCAGAGGAATCTTATTTCTTAACGTTGTTTCTTATGAACCAAAAAGGTCATTGATTTCTTACATAACATCAGTCAATCAGATGCTTTGGAGATTAATAACACATTTAGTCTCATAAAAAGGAAAGCTGCGTAAAATAAAATAATCAGTTCTAGCTGGTGCTCTGATTACTGTTCAAATGTATGTTGTGGTGGTGAACTCGACTGGTTTAACGCCTTAACGGATCATGATGTCACTTGGAGGTTAATTTCTTGAAAATGGCTCTGATAATGATAATATGAAAGTCTCTCCATGAAATATACACCATCAAAAGAAAAGAAAGACAATAAATTAAACAGACAAATCTTGGGATGATCTTCCTTCTCCTTTTTAAGCGCACCTGAAAAGAGACAAAATATCTACACACAAAAGTATACAATATATAAGAATATTAAGAAGCATGGGTAATTTAATCATCCAAACATTAAACTATTACATATCCTAAAGTTTCAAATGTCGAGCGTTTAGACAGACTAAGATAAGATATAGAGATAGAGAGACAAAGAGTTCAGAGAAAAGAGTTCAGAGATAGAGATAGAGTTTGGTGTCGAGACTTCCTTCACTGCTTGTCTACCGCCGACACAGATGGTGTGGAAGATGATCCGCCATCACCTAATCCTTCTCCAGCAGCTGAGCCAACACCAGACGTTTCCTTGCAGCCCGAAACCTTTCTTTTCTTCCTTTTGCTTTTACCGCTCCCTGTCTCACACCAAAAGAAACAAACACAATTCAGATTTTTGCAAGAAAATATCAGAATCGTCTCCTTCAGCGGGAACAACCAATCAAATTGACCACCAAGCTGTCGAATCTAAGCTTTCTTCACATTCGCTAACAAGCAAACACAGCCAGCAAAGAGAAGAGAAAACGATACACTGATAGATAAAACCTTGAGAGCAAACCTGATTTTGGTGTTTCCGAAGTTGTTGGCGGCGATTCTATAAACGTGAAATCTCTAAGAAGGTAGGACGGAGACTTTACTTCAACAGCTTTGCGGCGACCATAGATATGTTTGCTTCCACGGTATCCCACATCGACTAGCATCCTTGTTAGAGACACGAACATGTAACCGCCGTTGCCTTTCTCTGTACCATGGCTGGACTTTACAACAGCCACGAGCTTATTATTCTCTCTAGTAAGTGCGACGACGATCACAGAATGAAGTCCCTTGTATTCTGACCCATCACTGGTACACCCAACATATATTCCCTGTAAGTCATACAAAAAGGTTTACTGGTTTTAAATTAAAAACAGAAACAAAACAAAACAGAAACAAATTAAACTAAATTACTTACTCCTCCAATCTGATCAAATTCTGGATGGAAAAAGTGGACATTTGCTCCAACTGGCTGTGTCCTTAACATCCTATATAGATCCATCAGGTCATCAGACACCACCACTCGCACTTCACGAGGAAGATTGTATAGGGGTGAAGAAGGAAACTGCTCTGGTCGTTCATAGACGCAGCTGAATCCATTTATCGCATCATTAGGGTCTTCTTCTGGCACTCCCTTGTCTCGAATGAACTCTATGGCATCTTTGATATGATATCCGTGGCAATGGTGTGTCTCTGGTCGGTCACCATGAGCTGCAGCTTCTTCTCTCATACTCTCAGAAACATAGTACGTGAGGTACCGAGCACTGAGGGTCACAAAATGATCATCCAATCTGTTGATGTAACGCCATGCGCTACACTGATCTGTGCCTGCATAAACCCAGCAGTTGTCTAGGAGACAAAAAAAATGTCAAATACATTAAAACAATTGTCTATTTAAGTGAAGAAATGAGAAGATTACAAAATCAGAGAGTTATATTACCATGGTCCGATTGGTTTCGAACAACACCTGCTCTGGGTGTCCAAACCAAAGCCCCACTATCTTCTGGTTTGATGTCTTTATTCTCCCTGATCTCTTGAACACCCCACTGCATGAATATTTCACCTGTTCTAGCTACCCTGCGTTCCATCCTGCCATATGGTGTCTTGGTCTCTATAGCTACTATAACCTCGTCAGGCACATCATGCATCACAAGAAAGCTGTGTATCCACGCTCTGTTAGCAGGTTCTGGCTCTCTGCGCTTGCGCCCAGCCCTAGGAAGTTGCTGTGATGTAAACAAAGAAAAAAGTGAATCAAAAGATAAAGAGAGATGCTTAAACCCCTTAGAATTTCAGAGCTCTAACCAAAACAATAAATCACAAGCGTCAAGAAAGTTTATCCTTTAAAGCAAACACAATTTGCAACTAATAAAGGCAGCAGTAACAAGATGAATGATCAAAAGCCATCACATGCTTCTATATATTCACAGCACATATACCACAAGTAAAGAGAATGCTTAAACCACTTGCCAGCTCTAAACAACACAATAAATCTTAAGCAGTGAGGTCAAGTAATAACCATTATGGAGTTTATCCTTTAAGGAAACACAGCTTACGACTAATTAAGCCAGCAGCAATAACAAGAAGAGTGAACTATTGTGTAAAGCTTTTCTTTCTAAATATACTGGTACTAATTTAGCTAAAATTCTTCAATCCACAAACCTGAGCCAGACGTGTAACAACAGGAGAAAGTGAACCCTTAGCCAAGAATTTGGAGCTGGTCAACAGCTTGTTGACTCTAGGAAAAAACCTTTCGAAAGAAGTAATCAGAGAACCGGCCCCTGCGTCCACCATCCTAGCCAAACACATTGCAGCTCCGGATTGTACCTCGACATTCTCCTCTCCCATTGCATCCAACAACGGCTCCATAAACAGAGCCACTACCGATGAGGCTGAACCGGTGTTGTTCCCTTCTTTCAAATAAATGCCAGCCAAAGAACCAATGGTATCTTGACAGGCGAGACTGGACTTAGAATCCTTCAGCATGTTAACTATCCGAGCGATGATTCCAGTGAGGTATGAAGCCGCCAAATCAGAATGTACTCTACAGACGTTCGAGAGGAGTTGTAGGCACTCCTTTCTCACGGCGGGACTGGGATCGGAGACGGAATCATAGACACGGTCGAGAAAATTAGGGAGGGTTTCGGCGGAGAGAGCTTCGACCATCTTCTCCAGATCTTCAACGGCCGACTGGCTAATAGCGGTGGCGATCTTCTGATTTAGCTCCTCCATCGAAAATTCTAGGGTTCTTTTCCTTTTTCCCGTCCCCTTCTCTCCAATTTATATGTATTCGCGATTTTCTCTGGCGCTGGAATTAAAACGGCAATTTTTCTCATTTATTTAATTCATGAATATTTCTATTGGTTCCTTTTCTGGATTTTAAAGACTAAAATTTGCACTGTTATAGTTAATTTCGAAAAATACTCTATTTATTGAGGTGGTGGTGGTGATGCAGGGTGGTTGTAGAAGGTAAACATGATTAGTGATGGCATCAGGACAAGATTGAGCTTGAAGAAGCTCTAGTCTCATGAAAAGGTGCACGAACTGAAGTATGTAATCTTCGTCTGCAAAACACATTGTTGGAAAATATAAATTTAAGAGATCATCTTCCATTGTTCTATGTAACACAACAAAAAAATAAACTTACTGTCTTTAACAGTGCCGTATAGCCAGCAAAGAACTTCATCGGCAAATGCCAAGCACACTCCTCCCTAATTCCCAAAACTCAATTTGATTATACATAATTATCATTCATGTCTGTAATGAGAATAACTGATAACACTTACCTGCCAAAAGTTTTTCAATCTGGCTCTGTGCGCAATATCTTTCGTTTTTAGTCTCTCTGTGCGAACTATTCTTCCTCCATCATCTCTACACCAATATGAAAAGGGGAATGGGTAATGTTTACTGGAAAGGTTAAAGACTTTTTGAGTTTATCCTTATAATGGTTGGCAAATTCATACCTATATCCAACGATAATGTATGGAACTCCTGCTACGAATGATTGTATCTGTAGCATGTTAAACCATTTTAAGACTGAACAAGAATGGAGAGACAAAGAAGATATATGCAACCCGTGATACACAATACGTACCCAGAATTTGAGCAGTTTCTCTCTTTCAAATCTGTCAACCGTACGATCATCCAACTGGAGAGTAAACAGTACGGACATTACTGGCCAATGTGTATGTGTGTGAAATGAAAAAGAGAAGCTGAAACAACAAACGAGCTTTAAGGAAAACTGTAGCAAGAAGAGGCATACCTCACGTGATGTTTTCAACTCTACGTAATACCTTCTTCCCTCTCCAGTTTCATCACAGCAGTCCATTTCAGCACCCATCAGAACTCGGTGAGTTCCTAGTTTAGTCTTGACAACAGAACAAAATTCAACATTTGCATCCACATGATGTATTTCTTCTCTATAAGGTCTTCCTGGATCTTCCGTCGCAAGGCTTTCGAAACAATAACCCCAGTAACATCTGATGGAAATACATCAAGTTTATTAGTAGCAAAAATTGCAGAGCAGTGTTATAAAGTCTTTATGACTTTTTTTCAAAACATTGCTTCCTATTTTTTAACATTGTCTTCTACGCCGACATTCTTTAGCACCATCTATAATAAAACTAGTAGAATCACTCTTTTCCAGAAATATAATTAATACGAAGATTACCTGCGGCGATCTAAGCCACTCTGCGGCCTTTCAGGCAGTTTATGCACATCTAGATATATGGTTCCCTTTCTCTTATGGACGCCCATTTCCCATGGTTCATGCCGATTGTAAGCAGAGCCCAATATCTGAAAAAATAAAACAAAGTGCACAGAGTGCTTCATTTGATATCATAGAGGTCAAATAACTGTTGGGGATCTCACTTACCTTGTTTAGATTATTACGAAATGTCTGTCCAAAAAAGCAAAAATAAAAGACACCATTAAGATAACCTCTTCAAAGTAATGAATTGACAGTGAAATGGACTTATATACATCAGCACTTCATACCACAAAATGAATGTTCTCCAGCACTTCATAAGCATTGCTGCAAAGACACAGATGGATGGACAAGTCTCTGGCGCAACTCCAATCTTTCAACCATATAAAAACACAATTGTTGCAACAATTCCTTACGAAATGTACACCAATTGGGCTAAGATCAGCAACTTCTTTTCTCCTTCCTGTCACTTTTGTAAATTGAACATCAAAAACTAACAAAACATGTTCGTACATGCGAGAAACGATTCCTTCCCCACGGCAAAAACTTGAGTTAGTAGCTGAATATGCATAATCCACAACGAAAGACCATCCTTTTTTTCTGAACAAACCAAGGGAACCCTTTGAACACCCAAAATCACCATGATCTCCATGACTTGGACAATTTATGTGTCTGCAACAGTTGTTGAACCCAATGTCCTTGATGGAGCATTACATCCCACATTCGATATGCAAAAAAGTAGGTCTGGACATCCCCGTTGAGTATACAATAATCGCAGCCAATCCTGTGTCAATAACCGAGCCAAGAATGTTGGCTTAAACATATTCCAATCTATATAACACACACCCTGAAAATCTCTGGAAGGAGGAGACCCTTCAGCTGAGAGCTAATCATAATGTAGAAGTTGCAGGCTATATGTGTAGCCCAAAATGAAACTCCTCATCAAAATCATTGTTCTCAATTGCATGCCCAAAAAATGACTGTGGTATCTTAGATCTCCATATGTGGTCCATGAGGAAGTTCACATTACCACAGAAAAAACTCTTGCATTTCCTCTTGAATCATGTCTCACTCCCGTTTAGCACATCCGCCTTGACATGTGTGATTGTCTCATCTTCCCCAAACGCTTAACTTTGTTCCCATATCGCATTGATCCGAGTTTAAGTATTAGAGCAAGAACTTATGTAGTTGCTCCATTCGTGGCATGGCTTCTCTGCAGCCCTTAAGGTACTTCATCTGTTTCTTCTTACTTGTTTCGCTTAGAACCATTTGATCGAACACTTGGTGTGCACTTAGCAGGTCCTGGACATCTGTTAAATTTTGTGCCAACTTAGCCACCATTTCAGATACGACACGATGTCGATCCTCAAGTACCAGAATCAATACCTGAAGAAGTTGTGGGTACTTCGTCAATCTTAGGCAAAACATGTTGAACTGATTCTGCTTCTTCTAGCTTTGATTCTTCTTCATTGCAATCGATGCTGAATTCTCGGCTTGAATTAGTGCTTTCGTCATAGCAATCGATGCAGAACTCGATATCATCTCCAAAATCACCTTTGTTTCGTTAGACGAATTGATTCTTGTGGCTTCAGCGATGTTGTATCCGTCCTTTGGATCGTTGCCACTTTTGTCCATCCACTTTTCGAAAGCAACCATTGTCTGTCTCTTGTTGAACCAAGACTCAGCTTCACCGCCGAGAAAACCATAAGCGAACGCCAAGTTGTTCAGCTCGGAAAATGATCTTTTGTCATCGATATCCATGGTTTTAAAACACCATTTTTTAAATTTTGAATCTCCACGAAACTGATCGCGTCGATTCGACCCGCCAGCTCCGTGGCCGATCTATTGATTTCTTAGATTCGAGGCTGCGATTGCGAGATGTTTAACCTTTCGCGTTTGGTTCCCTTTTTGCCCGTTATGATTCTTTGTTGTTCCACTGAATCCATTTTTTTTGTTGAACCGGTTTATACGGTTTGAAATATGCATGACTCGTTCGGTTTGAAATATGCATGACTCGTTCGGTTCTCGACTTCCTATAAACCAGACCGTTTGATATAATGGTTTTGTTCTTTTTGTTGCAAGAGTTTAATCCTAATTTTCTACTTTACTTATGGGGTTTCATATTGAATCCTCTCAAATTAGTCTAAAACAATGCAAATCCTTGATCATAACGAATTAGATTTACATCTACTATACATTTCTGCAGCAGTTTTAAGGGATCCTAATCGGGTCGGGTTTTTTTGAATTTTTGACCCGGAACTGATTTATTTTGACCCAAAAATGAGTAATCGGATCTTTAATTTTTCTTAGACTTTCCAAAAAAATCAGTCGGATCTTACCTTATTGCCTACCTTCACTCCTACAAAATAGGTAAACGAAATTAACAACCTTTGATTTTGGAAATATATCAATCATATATAAGATTATCATAATTGTTATTTGGTAACTAAATCTTACAAATAATAATAAGAAAATCGAAACATATATTTGGTAAGTAACATTAGGCATATTCTTTACATATTCGAATATTAAAATCTTGCCTAAACCAAATGATCTTTAATCTTTTACGATATTCCATCGTAGCTATATTGTTATTATGTGAAATCGTAATCTTTCCTTACACATTTGTATCATTCAGTGTAATTGATCATCAAATCCAATTTGTTTAATAAATCTAAGATTTCCTACTTTCTCTCCAAGATAGTGTGAAATCAATTCAGTCTAAACCCAAGACATTCATACATCTATATATATATACTATGATCGGACCCGCGGTGCACCGCGGAAGAATATTGGTTTACATATGTTGAGTTTAATATTGTGTGTGTTTTTAGTAGAGCGAATTGTGTAGTATACTTATAAATATTCATAATAACGAATTGTAGAAAAAATGTTAAATTGTTTATAAATAAACCCATCGTATTAATTATGATTTACAAAATAGAATTTTGTGTTTTACAATTATAAAATTAGACGATTCATGGGAATTAGAGCAGTCACTTTAGGTCAAAAACCGCAGATCGAGCCAAAATCATCTCACTACGGGGCAGAATTGGGAAAATATATTAAACTCGCAAATAAGCGGGCCACAAGGATTAATTCGCAGTGGGTCATAGGTTTAATCGGTTTTTATCAGCGGGTTGGCGGATCAGCTCGCATGTTAGTATTTATTGATAAAATTATAATTTATTCAACATGTGGTAATTTAAACAAACTCTTAATAGTATTTTTATTTATTTATTTATTTTAGTAGTATTTTAAATTTTGATTACTTTAAAATTATTTAAACAAAATCCACGGACAATCCCGCAAATCCGCATACATTCGCGGGACGGCTTTGTATTTCATATATGCTATCCGCGGGTCGTACGGACCGACTAACTACAAGTCAAAATATTTTTTGCCTTTTCGCAAAACAGGCTTAACGGGACGAATCAATTCGGTTTGACAGCTCTAATGGGAATATTATTTAGTCATACAACAAAATGAAATTTGAACATAGGAATATTAGAATATGTATCTTATTTGTTAGATGAGAGATTAAAAGATGAAATATAATGATTAAAAATTAATTATTAATTTTCATGATTCACAAAATTTAATAAATACTTATCATCTTGTTGAATAATTCTAAATGATATTCGAGAAATCTTTATAGATTGAAAATTAAACTTCTTTGGTAAGCTATAGCCTATAGGTATGAAAATACCATAATTTTGATTTAATCTAATTAAATTAAATTAATTAAATTAAAATATCAATTTAATTTATAAAACAGATGGGTTATTTACTTATTTGTGATAAATTTTCTAGAAATCTTTAGAAACAAGTAAGATATATTTCAATTAATGATAATTGGCTAAAAGGAGCGAAATTAATGACAAAAATGTTGATTGTTATGGAATTAGTTCCAAAAATATATGAACAAATTTATTATACGTAATTACTGTATAATATTATTCAGAATATACTTTTATAATTAGTTACCATAAGTACAATCAGATTTTATTTTATTTCCATAAATATTTGATTTTTATTCAATTTATCATTATTAATTCGAATTTATATTCCAAAAAAATTTTAAAGATCCGATTTCAGAATTTCAGGTCAAATTTTCTGATTTTAACCCGACCCATTTTCATTTGTACTTCTCTTTTAATAGTATATATAACAATAACAATCGTTAATCAAGTTCACAACTCATCAGAGCAATACCTCATTTTATGTTTTGAAGTTTTGGCGGATAGAAGAATATAGAGGTGTTCACTAATACTCCTAAGAAATTATTGAGTTGTTTCTTTGTTCCTATATTGTATGATACCTTATCTAATGACACATATTTTTTAGGTCAACGATGTCTCCTTAATGGAATTAGATGAATTTTACCTTGATTCGAAATTTTCAGAACTTGAATTGATCTGGGAAATGTTATTTTAGTTTCTCCCTTTTTTTGTACAACTTATCTATGAACTTAATAGGCAACTTTACTAATAAGTTTTATATGTTTTTTCTTGCAGGTCTCTCTATACATCTTTGCCTTTCATTGCAAGGAATATCAGAAATTTATAAGAGATAATTGGGTGAGAGACATAGAATCGGAATGAAATAAAATTTTCGGTATATTCTTGTCGGACCCAAAACAAGGTAAATATTTAGCCCACTTTTTGGCATGTTTTACCCTTACGCGCTTCATTATGGCGGTCCAAAACTTAGCCCATTTCTTGAGACATTGGAAGTGATTATGTAGTTCTCGAGGCAATAAAGGTTGCGTCTGACGCTTCGTTTCTATTTCATCATCTCTCTTCTCCTCATCCCGCCATTTCACTCTGAAACCCCTAAGATCTCTCTCTCTCTCCAGTTTCCAGTCCACTTATTCTCTTCTCAGTCGTATCCGACGACGACGGTCCTTTATTGTTAAAGCGTCGGCGCTTCAGTTTAGACACTTTGAACGGTGAGCCGGCGAATATTGTTCTTTCCGTGTTTTTTCTTTTCGGCGAAGCCGGGACCTATTACTCTCCCCAACAAAGACCTTGTTTTCGTTTCTATTTTTCATAGAATTTTTATGTGTTTTGGTTCTGCCTTTCCGTTTTCCAACAAGCGATTTGTGCAGATCTCTTTTTAAATGCGTCTATCTTTTCGTATTTTGATACCTTCTTCCTATTGAATACAAGTTTTCCCTTTATCGTTTCGTTTCCATAGTTGTTTCTCTGTAAAAAAAATTGTTTCCAACTGATTTCGGTTTTGCTTTTTCGTCTTTATACATGGGGACCCAATTGATCTCTCGTTTGATGCATATACTGAGTGCTCTTTTACATATTTTATAGAGATCTATAAAATATTTAGATATCTGTTTACTCCTTCATATTTTTCAATAGATTTGTATGTTTAATCCATGGATCTACATGGTCATTCACATATTTTCATAGATCTGTATTTCATGTTTATAGATCTGCATAATTGTTCACTACCTGTCATAGATCGGTTTTATGATACTAATGATACTAATAGCATTAGTCTTCACATTTTATGATACTAATCTTCAGATCTGTTTGTATCTTCACATAACTCACTTAGATCCACTCTTAGACACCCATATTTTTAATTAGAGCTTTATACATACTTTGCATGTCATCGTAACCTTTTTTAGATCTATATTTTTTACCTAATTAACGCTTCTATCTTGCAGGAAAATGGCAGATATTGACCTTCCTTCTAGGCTTTTTGCGGACAGAGAAGAACCTGTCGGTAATTGTGTTAACATGTACTTTAAGCTTAACACCATCAAAGCCGTTCTAAAGGCCCTGACCCCCAAGGAGATCGAAACCATTCGCCCTTGCTTTGGGAAATTATTGGATCTCTACTCAAAGCCGGTTTTCTCCGGCAAGTTGGCCCACTTTCTTGCAGGATGACTGATACGGAGCTTCCTTCTCGTTTATTTGCCGAGAGAGAAGAACATGCCAGTGATACGGAGCAGTTGGTGATAGAACTGAACCAGAATCCGACGATGAAGATGTGTTCCCTGTAATTTATTTGAAATTAGATAATGTGTGGGAATTGGATGTAGTAGATCAAGTATATTAGACCTCTATGTGTTTATATAAATGTCCATTCAGTTTTTGTCAAGCGACATTTGTTTAGATATATAGCTACATCCCTTTTTAACTTCTATAAACTGCTTTATATAGATAACTATATTTATAAATGCATGTATACCTAGTTATATACAACTACATATTCAATTAGTTTTACTCCTCTTGTAACTATGTAGACGTATATATTAAAATGTGTATATCTAAGCAGATCTTATGTTGGACATGCACAGATGGACCGCGTAAGGGTCAGTTTAACTTGACAAGCATTAAATGTGTTTTAAATTTCGCCGATATCTCCCAAATCAATGCATTAAATGTGTGTCGCATCATTCTTATTGTAGCCGAATAAGTCTCACTTCAACTGCAGTTCATTTAATATATGTCAGACTGTTATTCCGTTCGTTCGAAGAGGGAACAAAATGAATCCCACGCGCATGTTGACGATTGTAGCTGGTTATTTCGTAATAAATTACAAACCCGAGCCTCTTTTGAACGCCTTTTGTATCGTTGTCTTGGACGTCCAACCCTATTGTCTCTCAGCTAATTTTCTCCCCCATTTTTACCTCTGCGCTAATTCACTCAATTTATAATCGTATGAAGAAGGGGAGATGGAAAGTGTTGGTGAGAAGTGAGAACTTTTAATTGTTTGAATATTATGTTAAATTACATGGGGTACAGAGTCTTTGTCTTCTAAACTAAATCTTTGTTTTTGAATATTGTATGTTTAAGGATTTTATGTGGACAATATTTTGTATTCACCTCTTAATTTTTAAACCGTTATCACGATAAAAATCTTTCAACACAAATTATGGAAAATTATCGATTTTGTTTTTTTCCAAGTAGCAAATAATAATTGATATAAACGGTGAATTACTGATATAAATTTTGCTGTAAACCAAAAGCATATGATATACAAAGCATCTCAATTCAAGATACTGAGTTCTTTTATAAAAGTTTGAGCTGGTTTAGAGTTGGTACACATTAGACCTTGCATATTACCAAACCAAATAAATCGTTTTTTCTCCTTTGTGTTTAGCGAGTAACCGCAAATAAACCGGCTGAACTACAAAGCATCCGGTTTGGTCCTGAATAGTCACGGTTTATTTTGGTTTTGACTTTAATAGAATTCAAATAACCAGAGCTAAACCGGACCACAACATCCCTAACTACAAAGAGAAAAAAGGATTACATTATTCAAAATATAATATGACTTACTTTTTCTAATTTGATAAAAGAATAAAAATATTTAAACGTGACAACAATTATTTCGATAAAAAGGTTTAAGATCTCGGGGAGCAAATGGTAGAACGAGTTATAATTAACATTAGTGTGATTTAGGATGAGTCAAATGGAAGTGTTAAACTTCTTTGACACCTCTAAAATATTATAATTAACATTAACAAAATATTTGGTTTGATTTTGACCCGAAAATCTTTAATGGGATCTTTCATTATTGGCTTTTATTCTTAAAAGAAATTTAAACAAAATTAAATGATTAATTTTAAAAATATAGAAATCGCATATGTAGGTATAACAAACAATTATTTGCTAACTAAATGGTTTCCTATTTAAATGCTAACAAAAAAATTAAACTGGAAAATGCTAAAAATGATTTCGAGATTCAAGAGAAACAAGAGCAATTGGAAATTTTGCAATACTAAATGATTACAAAATTAACAATCATTGACGGAGATATATGGTGGAGCGGGTTTAGTTCGATATTAATACGGAACGGTATACCACAAGTGAAATCCTAGAATTAACAATCAAAATATAAGTATATAATCATAAACACTAAACAAAACAATAATATTAACAAAACAACCACAACTTAAAATTTAAACTTCTTAGTTACAAAAAAATCAATCCGCGGTAAACTGCGGGTTAAAATCTAGCTTTATTACAAACCAAATACAATCATAAGATTATAAACAAAAAAATTCTTAGTCAAAAATATATAACACAAATAATCAAGTTATAAAAAAATACAAATACAATTTTATTTATCCCGCGGTGTACCGCGGGTCATATCCTAGTTCAGATTATAAATATACATAAATTCCACATAGTAATCCACTTCTCTTATATTTTTGCTTCTTCTTTTTTTTTTTTTTTTTTTTTGAATATTGGCTTAAACTAATCTTATATTTTTGTTTATAAACCTTGAACTTTTTTCATAATCTCCAACCATAAAATTTCGAATTTTTAATTCATCACATAATGCGGATCCTTCGAGTATCACCTTTTACCCCTCGTGTTCTCTCCATTTTTCCAGTGATTCCATCCCAAGGCGTCAAGGATATTTCCGTCAATCCGCATTAAGGGAGACCTGAGAAGCAATTTTGTTTGCTTTTAAGAAAACTTATAAATGAGTTTGAATATGCCAATAAGGTTCCCCTTTTTAATGCATATTTTTCATGTTGGTCACCTCGTTGTTATTAATTTCACTTAATTAATTTGTATTACTATATGATTTGTGTTTGAACAATTTTCAGGAAAAAAAGGGTTTATTCAACATTCCTTTTGTTTATATGAAACGAAGGAGAGTGGAATCTGCTAAAAGACAATTTATGAAAAATCTAGAGTTGCTTGATCTAGTATCCTTAAATAACTTTTTAACTGCTCGATCTTAGAGTTGGAGTTGGAGACTAGGGCAAAGAAGTTGGTAACGTACAGCACAAGTTTGAAATGGTACAACACCACACTCGAGAATGATCTTGAAAGACAAAAGGAACACAACAATTATTTGAAGGGTGCATAATTAGCTTTAAGCCAAGTAAGTTTTTTTTTTTTCTCTCTCTCTCTCTATATATCACTGTCTTTTATCAAGTTTAATGGTCTCAGTTTTGCTTAATGTGTGATCAAGATTTCGGAAAAGGAAGCTACAAAAGACAAGGATAAGTTGTATTCCTTACTTCCTCGAGTCGTAAAATTCCCTTAAGGAGATCCTGGTGTAGAAGGAGAGATTCGTGCACTCGTCGCAACTCGAAAGAGCTAAATGCCTAAATGTATAGCCTATCCCTGATTTAATACTTTTTTTTTTGGTTTTTTCTTGCCTCATGGTATTTTAAGTTTCCATCTTTTAACATTAGCTTTGATCAATGAAGTTATGATCTTTTCATGCATCATTACTGCAAAAAAAAAAAAAAAAAAAAAAAGACAATCAAAATCATATTTATTTCTTCATATATGTAACGAAAACTCCAATTCACTATAGCAATTCAATTTCTTCTGTTTCACTCTTACAATAACTTTGTTTCTGAAAAGGACCCCACAAAATATTCTGGACTCTGTTTTCTCTCTGTTTCTTCTTTCAACAACGCCAACTGTTCTGTTGTTGTTGCTTAGCCTCAAATGCAGCACCATCATTAAGCATATCATTAGCATCGGTCTCCACGCTTCGAAAGCGCTAAAGCCTGCATATAAAACGCAGTAGACCACTCCGGTATGCAAACTTGAGCTTGCATTGCGTCTCTTAGCGCAAGCTCCTGTTGATCCTTCATTAAGTAGGAAAATGCCCGTCTTGCGAAAACCGTCGCAGATGGAATAGGCATCATCACCACCAACTGATATCAAACAGTTTTACAAGAGCTAATAGATAAATGTACAAATCAATCATTAGATTTGCTGTTTATTTGTTTTGTTTTGTTATATTATTACCTTTGAATAACATTCAATCGCCTTATTGAAGTCCTTGTCTCTGAAAGCAATGTCTCTAAACTTCTTTGTGTTGAGCATCTCCTACACTGGTGTCTGGTTGTGTCCATTCTTGAAATGAAAGCTGTGGAGACAGATTGAAACCTCTTTCTGCTTTTGTAGTGGTGCCACTGAAGAGAGAAGGAATTTGGTATCGGGCCGATCTTTCGCCTCAGACTGAAGACATTTTGATGCAAGATCAACAAGTTTAGTCGCGTCTTTGTTTGCATATTTCCCTTCAAGTGATGAATCCATAAGTAGCAACACGTTTTTCCCTCTTATTATATCAAGAGCCTGGTATTGAACACCTATCTCTCATTTCAGGTTTTTGGCAAACTTGACAAAAAAAAGTAGGCAATTCAAGTGAAATGAAACTACAAAAGTTGCAAGGACATTACATGACTTGGTGGAATGTGTTTGCCACTCAAAATATCTAAAAGAATAGTTCCATAACTGTATATCACACTTTTAGGGATCACTCTACCTGAAAAAAAGAGAAGAAACTCTTTAGATTCAACTAAATAAGAATCAAAATAAACATATTTCTTTATACGTTCTTGAAGTAAGTTTTGTTACCTGTTCGTAAAAACTCGGGTGGAGTATAAGCTAAGTTAGTACTATAGCTTTTTCCGTCTCTACTATTCTTCATAAGACCAAGAGTTGATAGACGAAGATCACCTTCTTCGTCAAACAAGATTCTGTATGCATTTAAATCATGATAAATCTTTCGGTTTTAGATGCTGCAATAATCAAGCCTCTTTCTTTATCTCAATCAAATAATGACACACTTAAAAAGACTACACCATTACTAAACTATCTTCAAAAATAAAGCTAAAAGAGAGAATCTTATAAAACTACAGTATATAAAATGTTGTCGGAATCCTGGGATAATGTATCTTTAGCAACCTAAAGTTACCTACTTTATCTTCAATTTAATAGCTACCAAACAGAAATTAGCAGCTACCAACCTTGTCAAGATAGACACTAACTCATATCTTAGTCCCTCATGCAACTAACAAAACCATTTCTATCATTTGACTGGTCACTGCTATATAAGCAATGAATCAATGAACATAATATATAAGAATCTCAATCTTGAATTGACATTTTCTTATTATCAAAAAGTCTTACTACAAACTGTTGAGCATCAGGCCAGGACTGTCTAGAGGATCGCTTGATGGTGAGGAGACGATTGCCTTCAAGCTTTCCTCTGTAAACAACATTGGGAGAGCAGTCTTCTCCCTTTCTTTTGCCACCAGTGGACAATCTTCTCTCCTTCCAAAAGATGTTGAAGGACTTCGCCTAAATGGAGGCTTGGAACTAGGAGGCGGGAGAGAAGCCCTACCAGACCTTTCTTCTTCAATGTGTCGCCTAGAGCGACTGGAGGTAGGGATAGCCCTGGCCTGCAAAGAAGTATCTCTTTGGAGGGAGTACTCCTTACTTCCTGCATTGCCTCGAGAGCTACTAGAGAAGTATCTAGATCTTTGCTCGTCCGAGTGGTGAGAAGAGCCATAATCAGACTCCTCTGGCCTTTTCCGACTTGAGTTGGGTTGCCCTTGTGCACCATAAGAATGGGATCTAGAGCCATGAGTTGCAGAGTACCGACGAAACCCTGGAGGAGAAACTCTGCGTCTAGAAGGATAACGCTCATTGGCTCTAGTCTCTCTAGGCAGCTCTACTGCAATACGAGTTGATTGATGACTCCCTGAAGATTTGGGAGGGAGGTTGTCACGTTTATCTTGTCTAGAACAAGACTCAGAGCTTCTATGTGACTGACTAAATCTGTCCTTCGGAGGCGGGGGAGGAAGAGACAAAGCGCTTCTGGAACTTGAGGAGGGAGAGTCCTTGTCTTCATGATCTAAACGATGACATAATTTGCAATGCTTCTTTAGACGCTCATATCCTTCAAGTATATATAAAGTGGTTTTTTATCGACCAAACCAATAAATGTGGTAATACACCGACCTGGAAAGCGCGTATAGCATAAAGTTTTGACTTTTTGTATAGCATAAAGATTTGATTTGACTCTCGGCTTCCTTCGAGGAGAAAAAAAAAAGCCGATGGTGAAAGCGTGTTAGACTATCTCATAAAGTAGAAGTAAAGTGTTAGACGAGTAGCTTTTTGTCTATCTTTAGGCCCTTAAAAAAAATAGAACGGATGTCGTTAGCTTTTCCGTAGTCCCTTTATTTCTTAAGGCAAAAAGAACAAAAATAAAAGCAAAGATAATAAGAAACAAATAGGAACTCTTTTTATTAACCTTTTTATATCTCCACAGTTCCAAAAAAATAAAATAAAGCGCACTGAGGATGAAGTGAAAACAAACCCTTCAACTCTTCTCTTTTTGTTTTCTTCTATTCACAATTTTTATAAAAAATATTATCGACGCAACTGCTTCTTCATATTACACGATTAATTTTTCGTTTGATTTTTATTTAAGACAGACAAAAATGTACGGAGAGTATCAAGTGATGGATGGAGAAGGACATGTGGTTATGAATTCCTACAACTTATTTTGATATTTTGATGGTCCATTGAATAATGTTTTTACTATTAATTAATAGGTGTTTATTGTAGATTGTTTAAAGAAAATCCTCATTCGGATGACAAACAAAGAACGACTTGTTCCACAAGAAAGCCTAAAACTTGCACGATCTATGTGATTTGTTTACCATTTTATCGTGTGCATGTGTGTTTTATTTTTGTTGTTCTTAGGTGAAACCTTCTGTAGAAGCGAGGAAGGACTTGATGAAGCTGTCACAGAGAATATTAGACTAGATATATGTAAATCTTCTATTAATAAGCTAGATTCACTTAGATACGGTCTTAATTAGCTAGATGTATGGGAAAGTACCCTATGTATAAATACTTATCTTTGGCTATTCAATACAATGAAGTCATTACGACATATGATATTTCTGTCTGAACATAAGCAATTCGCACGGACAAGCATCAACGATAACATTTTTCCCATTATTTATCCACTTAATTTCACAGAGTTGACACAAGAAATGAAAAAAAAAAAAAAAAGAGTGAAAGGTTTTATAAATGTTCAATGAAAATCAAGGTATGATCACAATTTACTGGGCTAGCAAAGAATAAAATCGAGAACGGCCCATTAGTTAAAAGAGAGAACCTTTGCGAAACTTCCTCCCCTGTGGTGTAACAGGGAATATTTCTAATCCCAATATTGATTTAAAAAAAACCATTTTTATTATCCCAATAAACAATAAACAGTTTGTGTCTAGCTGTATCCCGTTAAATATTACCGTTAATTGGAACGGACGCCGTTTGCTCTTCCTCGATCCGGTAAAAGACTAAAAAGTTAAAAGTGAGAGTGAATCAAGAAGAAGTGAAAAGAAAAAAAAAACCTTTGACCTCCTCTTCTTTGCGTTTCTTCTTTTAACAACCAAAACAAAACAAAAAAAATTCCCGCACTGATTCTTCGTTTTTCATCAGCTACTTCCTCCAGATTTCAAGAAATTAATTTTAGAAAAAAAAAAAAAAATTAAACAGATAACTTAAAGTGTTCTTGTTTGGGTTTTGAACGGAAACGAAAGAAAAACAAATGTACGGAGAAGGGACAACGTGGTTGTAAATTCAGACGACATTTTCGGTTCGGCGTCTTCGTCTTCCCATAGCAACAACTCCAAACCCTAATTACAAGCTAGCTACCTTCTTCAACAGCCCCCCTAATTTCTCAACCATTATCCCGGTTTGTCCTCGCTTCCGAAACCCTAATTTCTCAACATTTATTACCTTCCCCCTAATTTTTATTTTTATATCTTTCCTTTTGTATAATCTAATTTGGGGGTTTTGCAGGAAGAAGAGTATGGAAATGGGATAATGGTGAGGGATGATCGAAAAAGGGTCGGGTCGGGTCGGGTCATGACCCGGTTGAGGATACACTACAATCTAACAACATAGCCTCCTCCTCCTCCTGCCAAAGAAGAAACGCCTCCATAGACACACTGCTCTTCAGATTCAACAAATGGAAGCGTACGTCTTCTTCTTGCCGTCTTTTTCAGTATCGATGGCATATGAAATAATGTTTAATATACTTAATATATTGGTGTTTTTTTTAGAGAAAATCATCACCCGCATAACGGAAATCGAATGACGAGAGATTAAATAACGCCTCTTTACAAGTCAAGTTTTTTTGGTTTCAAAATAAAAGGTAACTCAAATCATTTTTTAATTTGGTCTGGTTTGATTTTAACTAGGTTATTAGACCATATAAACCGCTTTAAAAGTCGGTGGGTTAGGAAAATCTGATCGATTTTATCACTCAACAATGTATTAACATAATTTTACTTGTTGCTAATAGTGAGTTTAACAGGCAACAACAAGACACAAGAGAGAGAGATAATGTAATGCTGTAAAATCAGAGACACGATATATGAAGTCAAGATTTTCAATCCAGTTTACAATGCTTCTCTTGCTCTTCATGTGGCAACAGACTCCGATCCGCCCTTGTGTGACATGAATGAGCCCTTGTGGAATAAGAAGAGATTAGACAATGTGTGTGTGTGTGTGTGTGTGTCTGAACGAGGAAGAGCATAAGAAGATGTTCTAAATGGCCTCCAATGAATGATGGTGATCGCTTAAGTTTTTGAAGAGAAGCTTCAAGAGCTAATGCAGTCATCATCATGATGAACACCACAACAACAACCCTCGTCAAAAGCATTCCTTGATGCTGTAAGAATAAGTCAAAAACACTCTCTTTCTTTCAATACGTTTTGTTTTTCTTTTTTAAACTCACATTTCACATAAATATGTTAAACTTTTGCTTCTTCAAGGATAAATGGTCGGAAATGTTCTGCTCCACAGTCTCAAGCGCCAAAATCTTCCGGGGTTTCTAGAGCAAGGGTGGTTCTCTTCTTCTGGTGAGTAATTTCCGTTTTACCATAGATAAGAGTGATCAAATTAAAACGCGGAAGATGGACAATGGATGGTTTTAGATTTCCCTGTTGATGGGTTTCACGGTTTTATCAAACCAGCATTCAGCTATACTACTTCTTTCTGATCAATAGGGGCGAGAACCTGCTGGTTGCATCATTTCAAGACTTGACTAATTAACGTGGTGGTACGGAAATGGAGGTGCACACGAGGCGGTTAGAGAGCGTGTGAAGAGCGGTGCGGCCTTGTGGCTAGCTGTGTTGAAGAGAAATTGTGAAATGATGGCCAGTCTCATGGCTACAAACATCACTGACCTTGGAGGTATATAACTTGTTTTACAAGTAAACCTCAAACTTCCACACAACCAAATGTGGTTTGTTATTCGTTTGTTTTTTTCTTCAGTGATACCTTCTGGTGAGAACTTTCTCTCTGAACATAAGCAGTTTTTACGGACAAGCATCAGCAAAGAATCACGACCGGGAAAGTGTGTGGTGGTCTTGTTCCTTGTGCCGTGTGAGTCACGCTTTTTCCTTGTTCGCGACAATCAACGTCTGCTCTCCTCTTTCAGGTTATAAAAAATAAAAAATAAAAAATAAAAAGGGAAAAAATGAAAGTAAAACTAGAAACTTCTTCATCTCTGCAGCTGGAGATCTTGTTCATTTCAAGAAGTTGCTCATGTGGCAAATGGATCACATCTCCTGGAAACCAATGTTAGTGATTACAAAACTTTAAATACTTGTCAAAATCCCCCAACAATCAAAATTCAAATTCACCAATTAATTCCAGGTATCAAAATTTCCGTGTCTACTACACTTGCAAAACCTATTATCAAAATCTTTTCATTTTTTAGAAATGTTTAATGAAGACGACAAGAAAAGATGAAACACCAATTCTTATTTTTACTGGAGTACGGCCCATTTAGTTACTAAAATAATAATGAGCCCCCTAACCAACGTCGCTACAAAGGAACCTTTGCCACCTTGAGTCTTTTGCGCGAAACTTTATCCACTGTGTACTCTTTTTTTTTTTTTTTTTTTTTTTTTTCTTCTCCATAATCTCATCATTAAATAAAAACACTCCTCGATTACCCGTTACATATTTTCAATAAAATCAGATTTTAGTATATATAAGGGATTTAGAATGACGTGTAAGAGAGCGTTAATGTTTGTTAGTGGGTCTTAACGAACAAAACGAATAAAAATTAAAAAAAAAAGCAACAGTAGAAGAAAAAAAAACGATTTAAATTAAAAACTAAAACCGAAACAACATGACCAAGACTATAGGGGCAAAATGGGAAATTCACAGTTCTCTTTCTCCGCAGGCTGCAGCATAAAGCAGTGTTTGCCATATTAATGGCGAAATGTGGTGACTGAAAAAAATTCAAAAAACGACAAAAAGAGATAAACCAGCCTTGGATAGGAAGAAACCAGCCTTGGACGCGAATATCTCTGTACGAACACTCACACATTCTCTCTCTCTACTTTACTCTCTCTTTTTTTTTTTCCTTTTTTTCTCTTCTTCGTCTTCTTCGTCTGTGAAATCCGCCGTTCAACTTTTCCTTTCTTTTGACGATAGATTCATTGATTTTGGAGGTTTTTATCGAACATTCTCATCTGAAATCGAATTGAAAATAATCGTTTGCGTTTACTGCTTTACCAGTTTCACCTTCTACGTTTCCATGGCTGATCGTACGGGTAACGAGAATCCTGCAACGATGAACTCCAAAGAGCCTCCAGCGAAGAAACAGAGGAAGATGAAGAACATTTTGGAGGAGAATCCCGTCAACGAGCATGTGTTACCAACGGACGAGGAAGAATCATCCAATGAACCATCTGATTCTGATGGATCTGTTGAAGAAGAAGAATATCTTCATGTAAGTTCTTATGCTCTCCTGATCAGCAGATAATAAGCCCTGGGGGATTTCACTTTTAACTGTTTTCCTTTAGGACCTTGAGAACGATGATGATGATGTGAACTATTGGGATTATGACTCTGTTGAAGAAGTGTTCTTATGAGATCTCTGTCTTAAGTCCATTTGTGTGATGATTTCACTTTTTAACTGTTTTTCTTTAGGACCTTGAGGACGATGATGATGATGATGTGAAACGTGTGGATTATGAAGAAGTAGCAGTAGAAGAAGCTAATCATGTTGTAAGTTCTTGTTAGATCTCTGCCTTTAATTCATTTGTGTGATCTGTGATGAGTTCACTTTTTAACTGTTTTCCTTTAGGACCTTGAGGACGATGATGATGATGTGAAACGTGTGGATTATGAAGAAGTAGCAGTAGAAGAAGCTAATCATGTTGTAAGTTCTTGTTAGATCTCTGCCTTTAATTCATTTGTGTGATCTGTGATGAGTTCACTTTTTAACTGTTTTCCTTTAGGACCTTGAGGACGATGATGATGATGTGAAACGTGTGGATTATGAAGAAGTAGCAGTAGAAGAAGCTAATCATGTTGTAAGTTCTTGTTAGATCTCTGCCTTTAATTCATTTGTGTGATCTGTGATGAGTTCACTTTTTAACCGTTTTCCTTTAGGACCTTGAGGACGATGATGATGATGTGAAACGTGTGGATTATGAAGAAGTAGCAGTAGAAGAAGCTAATCATGTTGTAAGTTCTTGTTAGATCTCTGCCTTTAATTCATTTGTGTGATCTGTGATGAGTTCACTTTTTAACTGTTTTCCTTTAGGACCTTGAGGACGATGATGATGATTTCAATTTGGACAAATACTCTCCTGGACGTGATGAAGAAGTAGCAGAAGAAGATATCTTTCTACTAAGGATACAAGAAAGTGAGTATATGGTGTAGTCTTATCAGATCTCATAAGGATTCACTCTCTCAGTCTTAGTTTAATGATAATTTGTTTCAGCTGTTAAAGTGCTGGACAAATTCAGTCAATTGAGGCAACAAGGCTTGGCAAGGTCTGTCTATGTTGACCAGCTTAAACATGATCTTGCTATTCGTTACGGCTACAGTAGGTTTCTTATTACAACTTTGGCGGAGGTGATTTCTCTCTGACTTTATTCTCCATGTTACCATTGTTCTAAAGATATGGCATCACCACCTCTGTTGCTAATTACACATTTATGACTAACTTGAATTTCTTGGCAGATGTTTAGTCCTGCAGAACTCTTTAAACTAATAAAGGAGTTTGAAAAGCCGAGGCCTACACATATACGAACGAATAGTCTAAAGGTAAACTTGGTTATCCATTGATGAACTGTTTAGAAAATTTCTGAGGTTATGCATCGTTATGATGAGTTTGTTTTGCTTAAGACTCGGAGAAGGTATCTTGCTCAACAACTTTTGGACCAAGGATTTCAGGTATTCCTGCCAGCGGATTGGTCAAATGTAAGTATGCAGATATTTCCTCCTCTAAATTCACAAGTATTTTTTGTGGATATATACCAATAGTTGATTCTTTCACAACTGTTTCTAGGATGGACTTGTCATTGAAGATGGACTTGCAGGTTCCATTGATTTCACTCCTCAATATATGGCTGGCTGCTATATGGTAAGGGTATTTTTACCTTCCTCTTCAATAGGCCTGGGCAAAAAAACCGTACCCGAGTACCCGAACCGAAACCGACCCGAAAAAACCGGTTCGGGGCGGGTACGGGTATTAGCTATTTACCCTATTGGGTACCCGTGGGTATAGGGTAAAACCCGATCCGAACCCGATACCCGAACGGGTACCCGATTACCCGAAATTACTTATACTTATACATATAAAAACTTTATATATATGTAATATTTGAGCTAAATACATTTATATCCAAATATCCGAGAGTAATTACCAAAAATTAAATGCACTTATATTTATATATTTAAGACTAAATATATTTATACGCGAGATGCTTGTAAATTTTTTAAATATTTGGACAAAATTCCGGTTATTCGGATAAATTTTTGGGTGAAACTCGGATATTTGAGTAAAATTGCGGATAAAATTTGGATATTAGAGTAAAATTTCGGGTAAAATTCGGGTATTTGGTAAAATTTTGGGTATTTGGGTATAAAATACCCGAACCCGATGGGTGCCCGATTTTTTCGGGTATTTAGCGGTTCTAAAAATCTAAACCCGAACCGACCCGAACCCGATTAGACCCGAACCGAAACCGAACCGATATTTTAGCCAATTTTTGCAAGAAAACTCTCGAAGTAGCCAATTTTTGCAAGAAAACCCTCCATCTCAAATAAATGCAAGTCAATACCACCATCTCAAAAGTCACCCGCAATATAGCCCTCGCGTGTATCGATGACGTGGCAGCCGTTAACTCTGTTCCAAAACGTCACGACGAGTGAACTTTTGTGCAAAAAAACCCTCAAAGTAGTCAAGTTTTGCAAGAAAACCCTCAAAGTAGCCAAATTTTGTGCAAAAAAACCCTCAAAGTAGCCAAGGTTTGTTTTGAAAAAACGATTGTCGGAGAATTCGATTGTACAGGGAAGCAAAGGAAACAATATGGTAATAATCGATTTTGATATCTTCATAAATTTCTGATCATTGGCATGATCAAAGTAAGACATGGTGGAGCCATTTATAGGAGAAGGAAAAATCTAGGGTTTAACAAAAGAATTCTGTAAAATTTACATAAGTTTTCTGTAAAACCAGAAAATCTTCTGTAAAAGCCCAAATTCGTCGCAAAAGAGACAAAATATTTTGTAAGGCTTAGAGCCTCGAAAAACGTGCAAGCCACGAAATCAACTTCTGTAAGACTCAGAGCTTCGAAAAACGTGCAAGCCACGAAATCAACTTCTGTAAGACTCAGAGCCTCGAAAAACGTGCCCGGCACGGAATCACCTTCTGTAAGGCTCAGAGCCTCGACAAAACATATATTACTTCTCTAAAAATCATAGCTAACTCTTGCGTATATTTCGTATTCTCGTTCACTCGAATTCCATCTCTGTAATCACGGAAGCACGATTATAGTTAATAAGAGAAATATCTCCGTTCGCTCCCAAAAACTCGTACTTATTTATTATTGCAACTTCGGTACGAACAATAGGGTGGATAGATTTACATACAACAATTTTTATTTTTGGGTATTATAGATTTATAGGTAAACCCGAACCCGTACCCGAATTTTAAAATACCCGAAAGGGTTTTTTTGCAAAAATTGGTTTAATGAAGGGTTTTTTTGCATTTTGGCTACTTCGAGGTTTTTTTTGCACAAAACCCACTGACGGAGTTAACGGCTGCCACGTCATCGATACACGCGAGGGCTATATTGCGGGTGACTTTTGAGATGGCGGTATTGACTTGCATTTATTTGAGATGGAGGGTTTTCTTGCAAAAATTGGTTACTTCGAGGGTTTTTTTGCACAAAACCCAAAATTAAATGCACTTATATTTATATATTAAGACTAAATATATTTATACGCGAGATGCTTGTAAATTTTTTAAATATTTGGACAAAATTCCGGTTATTCGGATAAATTTTTGGGTGAAACTCGGATATTTGAGTAAAATTGCGGATAAAATTTGGATATTAGAGTAAAATTTCGGGTAAAATTCGGGTATTTGGTAAAATTTTGGGTATTTGGGTATAAAATACCCGAACCCGATGGGTGCCCGATTTTTTCGGGTATTTAGCGGTTCTAAAAATCTAAACCCGAACCGACCCGAACCCGATTAGACCCGAACCGAAACCGAACCGATATTTTAGATTTACCCTATTGGGTCCTAAACTCCTCTACCCGAAAGACCCGTACCCGATCGGGTTTTACCCGAACCCGACCCGCATACCCGAATGCCCACCCCTACTCTTCAACATATGACTAGCTCTTTAAATCTAAAAGGGTTTTTTTTTTTTTTTTTTTAATGATGATTTTGCAGATTCAAAACCTTGGTTCCTTGTTCGCTGTAATTGCATTGGATCCACAAAAGAATGAAACGATTGTAGACATGTGTGCTAAACATGGCAAAGATACAAGTTACATTGCTTCTTTGATGGACAATACTGGTATGTGTACTAATCATTAGTTCATTTGCTCCATATTTTTAATCAGTTATGTGTACTAATGATATAATTAAAACCAGGAATAATCTTTGCTAATGAGTCTGAGGATGAGAATGGCATGCTTAGGTCACTTACTGAAAATCTCCATCGCATGGGAGTGACAAATACCGTAGTTTCCAAATACGGTGCAATAGAGGTTAGCTTCTTGAACCTATTTATTCCACTATTGATGATAGATGCTTGAGGGTAATAAAAATTCTGCATTTTCTCTTCAGCTACCTAAGGTTTTGCATGAGAACTCAAAGGATAGAGTATTGCTGAATGCTCCTTGCAGTAAAACTGGAGTAAGAATTCAACCCTCTCTCTTTAAGTGACTTGTCATGTTTTTACTAAAATGTCAACTTCTACTCTATGCAGCTTATATCAAAAGATGGATTGATCAAAACGTCCATTAACAAAGAAGCTGACATAGAGAGAAGGGTTGTTTTGCAGAAGGTAATACTTGCTTTGCTTTAACAATTAAAAATCGCCTTCTAACTCTGTTTTTACTAACTCTGTTTTTTTTACTGTAGGAACTTTTACTTGCTGCCATTGATCTTGTCAAAGTTGGTGGATATGTTGTCTACACGACATCCTCGATCTTAATACCCGAGGTAAGTTAGTGTTCAAATTCTCCACTTTGTTTCTTATTTCTTCTCTCATCAAGTGTTGCATCTCTGTTTTAAATCATTTTTACAATTTTGCAGAATGAAGCTGTTATTTACTATGCCTTGAAAAAGAGGGGTGTGGAAATCGTGGACTGTGGACTTAATCTTGGAGCCCCAGGGTACTATACCTTTTTTTTATCTGAACATAGAACATGAGATATGATATGTTTTGATACATCTAATGTCTTACCTTTTATGTCTATCAGGTTTTCCAGTTTTAGACATCTACGCTTTCAACTGGATTTACAAAAGACTAGAAGATTCTATCCACATACACATAACACGGACGGATGCTTTGTGGCAAAGGTAAGGTGTAGGAAAAACTGTTCTCAGATTTATGTTTAAAGATCAAACCGATGAACTCTGTTGATTTGTTTGTTTTCAGCTGAAGAAAAAGAGTAAAGCGAAGAAGTGATGAGGCAAAGAAAGAAAAGAAAATGGCAAGTTAAAGAAGAAACAAACTATGCTCGTGATTCATGATGTTGGAGAACAAACTTTATTAGATAAATTTTTTTGTGTTTTGGTTATATGACTCATGGCTAAAGAAACAAGAGAGTAGGCTTCTGTTGGAACCCGAACCTTACCTTACCTAGAATTCATGGCTATCAATTGCTTCGTTTATTCGAGAAAACTAATCCTCCCTTTAAACAGGATACTCTCGAGATTAAATCTTTTTGACTCGCAACAACATCAGAACATCAAGGAAAGAGAATAAACTAGTTAACTTTTATTATTTCTATTTATGAAATCTATCCCAAAGATCATTCAGAATATTTGTTTAATTGCCAATACTTATCTAAAGCCCCAATCGAATATTCTAGAGAAATTCTAAGGGCTTACATGTGTCCATTTACTCCACGTAGCTAAGTAAATTTCATTATAATTTGTGTAATGAGAGATTAATGGGCGACTGGCAACTATTTGAATGGGTCAAAAATAAAAAACATGTTCCATTGTAGACACGATAATGGTAAACGTCACGTAGTCTTAAGCGGGAACAACAAAACGGCTTTGACCTTTTTTCGGCTAAAAGCACCATCACATTATAGTCGTAACCGAACCGAAATTGTGTGTTCATTTATTTATTTTTTTTGGTTTTGTCAAAGTGTGTGTTCTTTTATAACTTTACGTTTTTGCATTATTTTATAAACTTGTGTTTCTGATCATAGCAATTCTCTTCTATAAAATTATAGTATAAATCTTGCTCCATGACATTAACATAAAAGATAGAGATAGAATCATAAAAATTGATTTGATGAAAACTAAAGATGTGTGACACAAATTAAATGAGCCTTAAATTTGGAATAAAACAGTGAAAAATACGAAAATTTGAAGTTTTAGTGGCAGGTGGTGAGCATTCAACTGCTCAAAAATTGATTATTAATTCAAAAATACCAATATTTATTAGGGAAAGCATATTTTTAATCATTATATGCCCCATTATCTTTGTTTGATCTCTTTTTTTTTTTTTTAGAAAATCAAGTTTGTTTTTTTTTTTCTTTCTTTTCTGCATATTATGATCCAAGTGTCATTGTAGAGAATGGGATCATACTACAGAAAACAAAATTTTCAACTAGAAAAGAAAATACGACACTTAAAAGGGTACATGGCACTTAACATTATAGCAATTAGCAAACCCCTACTTGTCTCCAAAAGTAGTACTTAAAGGGCATTCTTAAGGGTTGCGTGTGTCCATTTACTACTCCACCGTAGTTTAGTAATAATAATTTCTTTATAATTTGTATAATGAGAGAAGTTTGGGCGAGTGGCAAATATTTGGTGAGTCAAAAAAGACATGGTGACGTTTACATGTTCCATTGTCGACACGCCTGACGGTTCAGTCACACAATAATACTCCAACTTCACGTAGTCTTAAGCGGGAACAACAAATTAAAAAGCACCATCACATTATAGCCGTAACCGAACCGAAATTGTGTGTTTCTTTTATAACCACATTTTCCCTAAGTTATAGACTTATAGTATTAAACTTGTGGCAAGATCATTTTTACATTTTAATTAACCCACTATAATTGAAGCATTAAGCCCAATAGAAACTAGTAGTAGAAATAAATTTGAAGCAATTAAAAGGATTGAGGCTTAAAAGGCCGTGATAGAAACGACGTCGAGGCTCGAGACCACCGACCGAGGGTTACAACTTAGAAAGAAGCAGTGTTGACGAAAAGAATTTCAACTTGCTGAGATTCTTTCAAATTCTCTAAAACGCATTGACTTTGCCTTATTTTCTTTGAGAAAAGCTCTCTTCCTTTCTTTCACGTCTAGGTATGGCATTGGAGGTTGTAAATCTAACTTTTATTATTTCTGTTTATGAAATCTATCCCAAAGATCATCTAGAATATTTGTTTAATTCAACCATGCACAAACACTTACGAATAATATATATATTTGCCGGGCAGTAGAAAAACGAACCAAGGTATGATGACAAAAAAAATCTGTAAACCGGGGTTAATCCGGTTTAAAAAAATGCGTGACTGGGTTGACTTTTAATATGGACAAACCAATCCGTTGGATGTTATGGTTTTTACTTTTTATTATAATTTACTAGCCGAAAACATGTTGTTTTATTTCTGGTAACTAAATTCATATGCGTAAATAGGTTATTGTCATAGTTTAACTTATATCTATACTAGTATTTTTTCAGTCACTTTGGTGACGGGTGGGTAAAAATGCTCCCGGGTTATTTGGATATCCGATCTGTTTCAAAAAATCCTTCACAAAAAATTTGTTGGGTCAGGTTATATTTAACTCAACTCATACACCGGATATTCCATATTTAATAATTTAGATATTTAGAAGATTTGATTAAGATTTAGAATTATGATTCCCCTATTATCTTTGTTTCATTTGTTTTTAACTGTTTTGAATCATCATATAATACATAAAGTAAAAAAAATAATCAATTTTTTTTCTGCATATACTGTGATTCGAAATTTTAAAAACGGACATATATTATCTAATTGACGAAAATGTGTGTTCAACGTTCTACATCGATTAAATTATTTAGACAATGATTCAGAATCATATCATAAATAAGATCAACATTAATAAAATAAATGAGTTTTTTGGCTGGACGGATTTGGCGGGACGGGTTTTTGAATCAACAATAATAAAAAGATTAAAATATCATTAATCCGCCGCTTCAGTACGGATTAAATCTTTTTTTTTTTAATACCACCAATATTAGACATATTAAATCAGTCTCATTTAGAAAAGATTGTATAAAACCAAAAATTGTCTCGTGGTATAATGTTACTTAATAACAATATTTATAAAATTTTAAAATATCATTAACATGCCGCTTTAATACATATTAAATCTTCAGTTTATTAAAATATAAATGTCTTAGAGAATGATATGATTTGTAAACTTTTATATATAATAAATAATCATTAAATTTTAAAATAAAAATAAATCACGTGACGGGTTAAGAAATTACGGAACGAGTTATATTTCGGAAAGGATTTATATGGCAGACGAATTTGAATCAATATTTATATACCGCTTTAATACGGGTTAAATCCTCAGTTTATTAATAATTGTCTCGTGGACTCGTGGTATACCGTTACTTAATAACAATTGTAAACTATAATATAAATAAATATGTTATAAGGAGATACAATTTACAAAATATTTTTATACTAACTTTAAAATTAAATCATTATGCGGTGTACCGCGGGTTAAAATCTAGTATTAGGATTATATCGATGTTCAAATTTTATCTAGCGGTAAGTCATAATTTAGAGAAAGCTTCGCGTATAAACAATTAATCAGAAATTAAATATATTTTTGCCTAGGATTAGCTGATCACGTGGTTTAGTCTAAGATGTTTTTTTATTTTGCTGATGTACGTAGTAGATACTCTTAGAAGCCTCAATTGTCTATTTGAATTAGTTAACTTGTTTTTAATTTCTCTCATATGAAGCCCCTATTTGGTTTTGTAGAATCCCCTATATATTAATAGAGAAAGATTTAAAAAAAAAAACCTTACCATCATGTGTTATTAACAAGATTGCCACGCTGATGTGTCGCTCTCACAATGATTTGGCTTCTATTTAGATAATTACCCAAGATTTATTAGACTATTTACAGAATTTGCCATTAGTCTCATACATCCATATATCCCATTAATAATTAAAAACATACACTTTTTGTTTATCTTATATTACTATATTTTTATATTTATAGTTTTCTTTATATACATTTATATAAATTTTCTTTAGCGTATGGGTAAACAATTTTTTTATTTATATTTATATTTAAATGATAAAATATATACATTTGGTTCAAGAATCTCGAATTCAAAACTACAAAATCTTTACATCTTTCATAAATTTTTTACTTAAATAAATAAGATCATCTCCTTTCTATATATGTTACGAATACTTAAAATCCTATTTTTTTTGGAGGAGTTCTAACTTTTCGAAGAAAAACATTATAACCACATTTGTATATAAACCAAAATCTGGCCACATTATAACCATTTCGTAAATAATCCATTCATAATCTAAGAATCTTAGATTTGGAACAATACAAAATCTTAGCTTAGAAATTATCAAATCTCATCTTTGCTAAATTTTGGATTTCTTATACTTATTAAAAAAAAAAAAATTCTTTTTATACTACAAAATCTCGAAATCTTTAAAACATACGGAAAGACATATTGCCATAAATGGTAACATTTCGTCAATACTTTTTTATCACGTTGAAGCTTTATTCAAAGTTCAAATATTTCATGGGTAAAACATATTCTTATATGAAATAGTCCCAAATTTGAATAAAACAAAAAAAAAATTGTAATATGTTTCGTTTTACACAAACGGATCTTGGATCCCGGATAATAATTTTAATCATAATAATTTTACTTGAATCACTTCATCCCGCACATCGTGCGGGTTGTTATCTAGTCATATATTAAAAAAAAAAGCCACAACATGTTTGTATATATAAATTAGCATGAACGTGAAAAATGGATACTTACCTTTACTTGATTCAAATTTTTTAGGTTTAGGGAGCATAACACCAAACTTACATCATTGAATTTAGAGGGTTATTAAACAAATAGAGGGAGACCATGATATTTAATATGAAATGAAGATAATTTTTGGTGGACCGATATAAAATGTTAAAAATGCTTAATGCCTTGAAGATGATTCATTAACTTGTTTCTTTGTCTTGCAAAAATGATGTGTGCATATGGTAGAACCAAAAAGCTTGTTTTTTATCAATCGTCCTCAACAGTTTTTGAGATCTCTTTTCCTCTTGCCGTGAATTTTTGAAAGATCTTCTTCTTTGTGCTTAAACGTGTGATTGTGGAGCTAGGAGTAGACTGAAACACTGCCAAGGTTGGTCAGAGAATACAAATTAGTAATACATCTTCACTTTATGGTCTTTGACCTTGTTAGAATTACAACACCAATTCCCCAAAACATGTGAATCAAAACACTGCAAATGAGTACATAACATGTCTTGAAAATCTACAAATGTAGCGTACTGTTGGAAATTTC